ATCCTTAGCCATTCCACGTGCGACCAGACTTTTAATCTCAACTTTGTAATTTTTTCAAAACCCTATAGATCAGTACAAAAGGAGTCCAAGGGTGCTAGAGAGCACTGGTAAACAAGAGGGCATTCAGAGAAAAAAAGGAAGCTCTCTCATTTTTCAACGCTCTCTAACTTTTGAGGTTACTCATTTTTTCTAATTTTTATCCTTTTTAGGAAGCGAAAACGGCGACCTTGGCGACACCTATTCTCCTTCCGTTTCAGCGGGTCCCCAATATGTTTCCGAATTTACGACGATCGATTATCATCAACACGGCCCAAAGTGAGTTGGGAGTACTGTAGTGTGGTTGGTCTTACTGTGGGTCTCTCAAAAAAAAAAAAAAGGGTTTTTAGGTGTATTTCCAATGGGATGGAAGTACTTAGGGAATGACCGTTTTTTTAAATTTTTAGACACAAAAATATCTTGGCTTTGGAGTTTAAAGGCGCAGGACGAGAAATTTCGCGTGGAAAAGGCAGGATTTTTTTAGAGATTAAAGGGGCGTGGCTTGCCTGTGCTCTCCACCGTCCAGGCGCTATTTTTTTATTATCGTGTCAGGGCCCTTGTTTCAATGACTAAATGACTAACAGCATTTTTCGATATTTTCTTCCAAAATCTAGAAAAAGGAAGTTTTAAGGCTCATTGTGAGGTCACAATTTTCGATTTCTGTGATTTTTCCTATCTAGATTTAAAGGCGCAGGCGAATATTCGATTCTCGGTCTCGAAGTTTCAAAAAAAATTCTCTTGGCGTTGTTTTTTAAACCTTCTCTTCATGTTCTTTTTCAGAGCGAAGTAGCGGAAAAATTTTTTTGATTTTTTTGAAAAAAATATTGAAAGAGAAGATTTTTCGTGACGATGTTTAAGTAATATTTTTTTGTCGGGATCCTTTAAATTGGGAGTTTGGAATTGCGATATTTTTAAAATTTTCAGTTATAACATGTGTTTGAACGCTTCATCTGCCCTAAAAGGCTAAAATTATAAGTTTACAATTTAAAGGCGCATAGCGAATCTCTGACATTCGTGCCAGAGTCCTAGTAATATTTTTTGTCGTGATCCTTTAAATTGGGACTTTGAAAACGGAACATTGTGTTAATTTCAGTAATAACATGTTTTTGAACGCCTCATCTGCCCTAAAAGGCTATGATGATCCTACTTAACAAACTGTGCTATTAAAGGCGCATAGTGAATCTCTGATTTTCGTGCCAAAGCTCTGGAAGTATTTCTGATCAGGGTCCTTCTCCTTTTGAGTTTAGAGACGCGAAATTTCCTTATTTCCGGTTATAACATACGTTTGAACGCCTCATCTGCCCTAAAAGGCTATAAGGGTCTTCCTTAACAATTTGTGCTATTAAAGGCGCATAGTGGATCTCTGATTTTCGTGTCAAAGTCCTGGAAGTTTTTATTATCATAGTCCTTCTCCTTTAAAGTTTATAGGCGCGAAAATTTCTTATTTCCGGTAATAACACACGTTTGAAAGCCTCATCTGCCTTGAAAGGCTATAAGGGTCTTCCTTAACAATTTGTGCTATTAAAGCCGCATAGTGAATCTCTGATTTTCGTGCCAGAGTCCTGAAAGTGTTTGTCATCATGGCCCTTCTGATTTAAAGTTTAAAAGAGCGAAATTTCTTCAATTCCGGTAATAACATACGTTTGAACGCCTCATCTGCCCTAAAAGGCTATGATGATCCTACTTATAAATTTTGGAAACCTCTCAACGCCGGCTAATGCCAAACATGCACGCGATTTGCTCTTTCGCCTTCCCTCGCCCATTTTTGATTCGATCCGTTCCCTTGGCGAAAATAAGCTACCAAGGTAGGGGGGTTTCAAAAAGAGAAGGATGACTGGAAAATGCGAGCAGTTAGGATTACGGTAACATCAGTTCTTTTTATAAGTTTTTTTGGCTCTATATAAGATTTTAACAAAGAAAGCTGTAAAGGGCGAACAAATAGGGTTACGGTAGCTTCTCTTCAAGTGAAGAAAATTATTCTGATTTTTTTTAGGATGAGTTCTGGATAATATCGTATCGATTTTTTACCGGCTGTAGTTAGGGACCGCAGACGAATTTTCAAAAATTTTTTTTCAGCATTGAGCTATGTATGGTTTGATAGCTGTTTCGATTCAGAACTCAGAACCGTTTAGTTTTTCAAAAAAGATTGAGGATGAAAAAAGTTATGACGAAAAATGTGGCACGCCGCGCACCATTTTTTTAGTACTGAATTTTTGGTATTATCCATTTTTGACATTTTTCTCGATTTTTCTTCTAGAAAAAAATTTTTTTGATACTGGTCTATTATGATGTAAAAAAATTATAATAGAGTGCTAAAATGATGCTAATCAGCTAGTTTGCCGAAAAAAAGTCGGTATTTTTCCAGAAAACAAAAAAACTGACGCTTGCGGGTATCGAACTCGCGACCTCAAAATGAAGAATCGCAGCGCACGCACTGCGCCAAGCTGTCAGGTCTAGCGCGGGGAGCTTCCATCCCCCTTACCCTTGAGAAGTTTGGAAAGCACAGATTGCCTATTTCAAAAAGAAAAACTTAAAGTAATTAAGCTATTTTTATCAGAATATGTTCGCAAATCTTTACTCAAACGTTTCGTGGAAATTCACTTCGAAAAAACTGTTTTTTCAGTGCTTTTTGCCTCTTTTAACGATCGCTGCATTAAAACGGCCCCGTATATTTTTCGGCAAAGACGAATTTTTTTATTTTATTCTTTTTAATTGAAAGATTTTTTTACTAATAAATGTATATAATCGTTTGAAAAAAACCTGCGTTCGACCGCTTTCTGTCTGATAAAACGCCGCTAATTTTTATCCTCTAGTTTTCAAGAGCATTTTTTTGCGTATTAAACAACTTTTTTTCAAGCACATATGCTGTGGAGAAAAAAATTTAAGTAAGCCCATGGTCTAAATTTTGAAAAAACAAAAACTCGATTATATTCGCTTGTTAACGATATTTTGAATTATGACTTTCGGCACTCGCAAAAATGTTTGGCAAAGACGAATTTTTTATTTTATTGTTTTAAAATTACCGTTACTTGAATCAAAATCATTATATAAAAAAAGAAAGAGTGCGTTCGACCTGAAAACACATGAAAAAGCAAAAAATGAAAAAATTTTTTAGTTCCATTCACGTTTTTGTACGACATTCCGCGAGAACGCATCAAAAAAAGCGTGAAATATTTTTTTAAACGAAAGAGGAAGCTTTTTCTGTACATGTGTGTCAAATTTTTATTCGCCAGTTCCATATATTTTTGCAACTAAAACAAAATGAAAGTTGAAAACCAAAAAAAAGCCACTTTTTCTATCGCGAAAAGGGGCGTGGCTTTGCGGTCCCTAGCTGTAGTCTAAAAAAGAGAAGTGAACGTTTTTTTTAAAATCCAGCTCGGAAAATGAAGATAAATTATTAGTCTTTTCATAAAAAGTGGAGGAAAATTATATTTCAGAGGAGAAACTTCTGAGGAGAGACATGTTTCGAAGGTAAAGGTATATAAAAAGTGGAATTTTTAAATAAAATATAAAGCAACAGGATTTCATAACTTCAGTACGAGTTCGAAAAAAAGATAGGGGATTTTTTAAAAAAACATTGAAATTTAGTCTAAAACTTAAGAAGCGCCAAGCTTCAGGACTGAATGAAAAATATATATTTATTACAAATAAGACTTTTTAAAACTTAAGAAGTCAAAAAAAGAATGTTTCAGAAGACTAAACAGATAGTACTTTCGAAATAGAGTAACCTAATTGAATAAAACTAGAGTTTTTTCGTTTCTGGAAGGGGTTTCGGAATATTGCGAAAAAAATCCGTCAGAAAAAAATCTTATTCCAAGATCCACAACTTGGAAATAGTTCTTCAGGGTCACTTTTTGATCTGAAGTCGGAGTGGTTTGAAAAAACATTTTTTTAAAAGATGAAAAAAAGTTACTCCGATTTTTCTCATTTTCATGATGGAATTAGGCATGTTTCAGGAAGACTTCTGAAATTTCTAGTTGAGGAAAATTCTCAAAGGTCGAGGTAAAGAACAATTTATTCAGTTGAGATTGAAATTCTTATTTTCTACGGTGAAGTTTATGCTAAAACCTAGAATGAAGTTTTAAAAAAAGCATTTTTCACAATCTTCAAGCTCTGAAAAAATCTTTATAATCATCTTGATCTTCAAAGTTAGTATTATCTTTTGGCTTACTGAGAGAATTTGGAAAAGGAAGAAAAACGAAAAACGCAAACCCTTTTCCTACTGCAGTTGACTGTACTGAATTTGTTTCGAAATAGATTTTTGATTGTGTCAAAAGTTCAAGCTCATTTTTTTGAAACAGTAGATGATTGAACTTTAAAATAGGAAGTAGTAATGAAATAATTGACGTAGAATGAATATTTACATTTTGGAATTTCTGTCCATAATTTTGGGTAGAAGCATCAGTCACAGCCAAACCTCACAAGATCTTCGAATTTCGACATTATAAGTTCATGGACCGAAGTATCAAATTAAGGGAGTAAGGTCAGGATAAAGCTCGGTATAATGTATGGAAGCTGATGATAGTGATTACATTATGAAAAAGAAAGAACAGAGAAAAATTGGAGTATCGAAATTTCTATGTTTCGACTCAGTTTTTTGAAACTGTTTACACACTGGCTATACTGAAGTATAAATCAGTGTGATAGTACTAAAAAAAATTGACTTAAAAATAGAGAAAATTAAGAGGAACGCAGGGAAGACTAGCTATGAAACGACCAAGTTCTGAGGACTGTATAGAAGGTGATGACACTAAAAAGTATAAAAAAACCCGAAAGGACCTTGAAATTTGACAGAAGCAATCGAGGAAATGAAATAAAGGTGCAGCCAACCCAGCCTTTGTAAAAACCGGTCCGATTCTTCAGAAGAAGAATGACTAGCGGAGCTGTGAAGTACACAAAAGCAAGAAAATAATGAGGAAAACTGAGCCAAGCCAGTCTTCTTGAAAAGATCCAGAAGTGGAAGAATGACTGGCGGAGCGAGGAATCGGAGTGCAAAAAGGCGGATGGTCGTCGGGCCAACAACGTCGCCTAGGCGATTCCCAAGACAACCGTCGTCAAGCGTTTGGCAGCAGCCCCTTCGTAGTTTGTCGCCAACTTCCTTCCCGACCGACTCAATCGCCTCATCTTTGGAAGGATGAGGAGGAGTAAGTCTGCGCGGTCCGGAGAAGAAGCGAGGCGGACATGGCGAAGGCGTTCAGAAAGTAGCGTGCTTCTTATTGCTGGAACCAGCCTTAGTGAGGCTGGAACCTTGGTTTGGGACAGATGAAGTCCAATAAGTCTGCAGTCTTGAATGAGAATGGAGCAAGTCTAGCATCGCCAAAAAGTTCAGAACGAACTGCATAGACTAGAACTTAAGTTTTGACCGTATAGTACAAGTCTCAGAGGAGAAGAAGTGATTCCGTAGTTTTCCAGAAGGATGGAGTTGTAGAAGACTCTCAGAAAACGAGGAAGTCTGCAGTCTTGAATGAGAAGGAGCAAGACTAGCTTCGCCAAGAAGTTCAGATCAAACTAGCCTGAAAAGAACTAGAACTTGAGTCTTGACCGTATACAAGTGTCAGATGAGAAGAAGTAATCGTTTTTAAAAGGATGGAAGTTCAGAAGACTTTCAGAAAAGTGTCACGTCTCTACTGGCTGGACATCACTAGTCCTAGTGAGACTGGAACCTTGAAGGTAGAGGAAAACAAGGAGGTCTGCAGTCTTGAGTGAAAAAGAAACAAGTCTAGCATCGCCAAGAAGTTCAGAACAAACTGATCTGAAAATAACTATAACTGGAAAGGCTAGAACTTGACTCAGGAAAGTTCAGGTTTCAGAGGAGAAGAAATGATTCCGTCGTCTTACAGAAGGATGGAAGTAGAAGATTTTCAGAAAATTATTATGCCTCTTCTGGCAGAAGATCACTAGCATTAGTGAGACTATAAATCCGGTTTTGGTCAAGAGGAAAGCGAAAAAGTCTGCAGTCTTGAATGAGAAGGAGCAAGTTCAACATTACCAAGACGTTCAGAAGAGGATCAATCAATCAAAATCAAGGATGATAAAAAATTTCGGAAGCACTTGACAAATATGACTTTCTGAAAGCCAAGATCTAATGCAATGGGCGGTTTTGCCTCTGTTTGAGAATTTCAAGACGGACGGAGGTCAGGAGTTTCTCATCCTGCTGCAAGGATTCCACTGAAAGGTTTTCAGACTGATCAAGGTCAAGCTCATAATCGAAGATCAAGGACGAGCTCGAAGAGAAGATGAGCAAGTTTTATGAAGTGGTAGAAATAACTCGGATCAAGTCTGTCGTCACAAAAAAGTAAAGGATATGAGGCTTCCAAGGGAAATTTCTGGAGTCCGGTAAGACTAGGAAAAGTAGAACTTGAAACGGAAGTAGATAAGGAGCAGCGGAGAGCAGCAAGTCTAGCAAAGCAAAGGTATCAAGGATATGATACCAAAAATATATAGATATCAATTGTAGAAGAAGGCTCAAGTTTATGTTAAAAAAAGGAAACTCACTTGAAACTTGACGTGAAGGTTCAGCCTCTCGAGGAATATCAGAAATTTTGAGAAGGATCAGTCCCTTTTTGAAGGCGGATACTCAATTACAGTTTAGAATAGATAGGAATTAATTTGAAGGTGATCAGAAATTTGAATACCTAAAGCTCCGTAGAAGCCGTCAAGCTTCGAAAAAAGTCCAGCTCGTAAAATTATATAATCGTCAATTTTCCAAAGCTTGAACATACTTCGGATTCAGAACCGATTTCAGAAAAAGAGCTCCGAAAAATACTTTGAAGTTCTTCACAATGGAGGGTTGCTTCAAAGCCTTCCAGAAGAACGAAATTTTTCAAAAAGCATGACTCTAGTTTGTCTTAGAAGACGTCAGCTTCAAGGAGTCCAACTTTACCAGAAGAAGAAAGCTCCTTCAAGGAGTACGGCTTCGGATATTCTCAGGAAACATCTTTTGAGAAGACGTCGAAAATCTACGAAGCGGTACTCCCAGAATGCGCTTTGGGTCTCGTTTGAAGACGTCGGTTGACTCCGCAGAACGGCTACAGACGCCTTGAGGAGATGTCAGACAGCTTTCTTTCTCAAAAGGCGTTGAGGACATCTGGAACAATTCGGTAGGCGTCAAGAAGAGACGGAGCTTTGACTTCAGAATCTTCTCCAAGAAGGCTCGACCTCGCAAAAATGCTCTGAAGTTCTTCAGAAGGCGTCAGAAACTTCTTTCAAGGAGAATGGCTTTTGAACTTTTCAGAAGACGACCTAGATCTCTAGAGGCAACAGAAGACGTCAGAAATCTAGACTTGTCTCCACAACAAGTCTTCTCGAGGAGTACGGCTGCAAGGTCACTCAGAAGTTTTCAGAAAGCTCCGTCAAGGAGTTCGGCTTCTTCGAAGTCGTGGTGAATCAACAGTCCAGCTATCAGAGGCGTCGAACCGAAGGTGGGATGGAAACAGAAAAATGAGGCATTCCTGTTGGGATCGCCTTAGCAACTGGCGGAGCCGGTTGTCTTGGTACCCGAGGCACGATATTGCCCTTCATCCCTTTGCTTATCATCCACGCGTTGCCGGTTTTGTCGTCGACGCCTTGGATACGGCGGAGACCCACCCGCCTCTCTGTTTTTTCTCTCGTTTCTTTCTCTTTTTGTTCTGATTTGAACAGAATGAAGAATGAGGCTTGAGGGAGTGGATGGTACTGGGAGGTCCTTAAAAAATCTGAAGTGACCTCTTGAGAGGTGCGCCAAGTGGTCACATAAAAGACGCTTCTTTCGGTCCTTACTGGGACTGGAGATACCACAAGAAAGGGAAGAGAGGCTTGAGAATGTGGACGCTACTGGGAGGAGCTGTAAAGGTTTGGGGTGACCACTTGAGAGGTGCGCAAAGTGGTCACTTAAAAGACGCTTCTTTCGGTCCTTACTGGGACTGGAGATACCACAAGAAAGGGAAGAGAGGCTTGAGAATGTGGACGCTACTGGGAGGAGCTGTAAAGGTTTGGGGTGACCACTTGAGAGGTGCGCAAAGTGGTCACTTAAAAGACGCTTCTTTCGGTCCTTACTGGGACTGGAGATACCACAAGAAAGGGAAGAGAGGCTTGAGAATGGGGACGGTACTGGAATTAGCTCGGAATGTCTGGAGGGACCTCTTGAGAGGTGCGTCAAGCGGTCGCTTAAAAGGCGCGTCTTTTAGGTTCTTACTTGGACTGGAGATACCACAAGAAAGGGAAGAAAGGCTTGAGAATGTGGACCGTCTGAAGTGATCACTTAAGAAGACGGCTAGAAGTCCGCCAATAAGTGATTCACTATAGAGGGTCCACAAAAACTTGCTCAAACTAACATTTTTCCGAATGAACCTCTTCAAATTCAATATTTGACGTCAGCCGCTTTGCATAGGTACATGCGTTGCGGTTCAGGTCCTTTTTCGAGAAAATAACGGAAGAAGGGGCTTTTCTAAAGTGAAAATAAAGTTTGAAGATCCCTGATTCTTCTAAATGAGTTCATCAGCGTTGTGGTACAGTTTTTCCCACTTTTGTGAAGTCTGACGTCATCATCCATCTTCTAGAACGTGAAAGAGAAAAAGCAAAAAAAATTCGGTCATCATCTTTTTTTGTCAGCTTTTCCACTTGTTTTTGGAATTTTCCCGAGAAACAGAGCTTTTCGGGATCTTTGGAGACGATTCCGTGCGTTGCCCATGGCAATCTTCTCATTTTATAGTTTGAAAGGCTCAGCTCGAAGCTTTGATGTCTTAATTCATTCGGAGAGAGTCGTTTGGTTGAGATGAGATATGGGAGGAAGAGACCTGGAAAATAGGAGGAACAGTAAGAAATTTTAAAATTAATGGCAGAGATAAAGCGTTGAAAAAGTTGTTGGTTTTTGGTAAGTTGATAGGTTTTCTTGGATTTTCTTTCTTGGGTTTTTTTTTCTCTTCTCATATAGGGATAAAAGTAGATTTTAAAAATCTAACCATAGAATGGTCCAGGGCGCGCCGTGGCGCAACAGGTTGTGTGCCTGTCTACGGTCCACAGGGTCACAAGTTCGACCCCCTCGAACCAAGGGTTTCAAGAAATGTTGGTACTGGGAAACCACGACTTCGAAATTCCCAGCCATCACACAAGGACAGATATAGAGCCAGTTCACTGATTATCACTGATAAGGCCCCGGCTAATCAAGCCGTACAAATGCGTAAGAAGAAGAAGAAGACCCAGGTATGGTCTCAGCTCACAGTAAGACTTCTGAATGAGACAAAGCTCCCTGGACTTTTCCGAGAATATCTGGTCGTTGACCTTTTGAAATGGGACTACCGTAATTTTTGAGTAACGAAACTTTTCGGAAACCGAGAAGAAAAGAGGGCTTGAGTACTAACTGAATTATTCATGTCGACGTTTTGAGTAGGGTCGAGGAATATTTGAACAACGGCTTGCTAGGTTTTTCTTCTGATGACCTAAGAAAGACCTTATGAAGTACTCGGTTATGGAAAATTAGGGGGAATCAATTTTTGGGAATTTGAGTTGTGAAGGAAAATGAGCTTGATCATAAAAAGAGAATTTTGGTCGAAATAAAATTGAGACTTTTTCCGAAAAAATTCAGGTAAAGGTCAAATTTGAGCTGAGGCTCATGGGAATGATAAAGAGGAAGAAATTTGATAGAGACCGTTATATGAGATTTTATCAAGTTGGAAATTTTCATCTTAGCGTTGGAAAAATCGCTATGAACTATAATGATCACAACCGCGACGCGTGAGTCAATGCGGGGCGGTTCGTGACGTCAATTGAAGCAAATGACGTCATCTAGTCATCAAAAAGAAAAATCGACGCAATTGAAACTTAAAGTCTATGAACTAAAATGATATCAACCGCGACGCGTGACACGATGCGGAGCGGTTCGTGACGTCATTTGAAGCAAATGACGTCATCAGGTCATCAGGAAGAAAAATTGACGCAATTGAAACTTGAAGTTTCCATCAGTATGACGGCAGACCCTACAGAATGCACCTCAAAAAGCTTCCTCACAACTACCGTAACCCACGCCGACTCGTCCTAAAAGTCCAAGCAAGACCTATACGACTCGGGGAAAAACGTGAAGGCTCATTAGGAAAACGACGGGCGCATCTCATTTCGAGGAAGCCTCCGGGTCGCCATGACGGCGGCAATGTTTCCGAGAGTTTCAGTCTGAAACGTCGAGACGTCGCCGGAGACAATGGCGGCCGAAGAGGCACAGTCCCGAATGACTAATGGCCCCCGGGCCACGCCTTCGCTCCTGGAAAAGAGCCGAATTTCGACTCGATCCTTTCCGGCTCTTCTCCTCGTCTTCTTCAGCCTTTTTTCTCCTTCTGCCGTGGTAACGCAAGATGTACCTACCGCCGCCCTGCACCGGAATGTACAGGTAAGGAGGAAAGGCTGTTGCCCCGGGGCACTGTTGCCACGTGCATAATATCCGCGGACGGCTACTGCTACCAAGGCGATCTTTTCCTTGTAAGAGCGAGCAAGATTGGCTTCTTTGTTGGAGTATCTCAACCAGGGACATAGGTTTCTGGAAGTTCATCGGAGTTGTCTAGGTGTTATGAATTCTCGTAGCAGTTCTTGGATGAGATCGGCATGGCTTCGGAAAGTTTGACTGGCGTATCTTATCTTGACTCTATCAAAGCCTTAAGCTTTGGGAAGTTAGTGAGCACTCATTTGACTTGATCAGAACCATTTAGCCGTACCGAGCTCGGTGATGTGTGTCTGAGGTTATGAGGGCTACTGAAACAACCTGAAATATCTCAGCTTGAATCGGCATGAGTCCTAAGAGTTCTAGAAGTATTGGGCAGTTGGTAAAGCTTCTAAACTTCTTTGAACTGATCTAAGCCGTTTACCCGTACCAACTTGGATGGTCCTGATGAAATGAGTAATGGCTTCTTGCACTCGAAGCTTAGATTCCAGGCGCTCTGTAGCTCAACAGGTTGTGTGCCTGTCTACGGTCCTCAGGGTCACAAGTTTGACCCAACCAAGGGGTTCAAGAAATGTTGGTAGTGGGAAACACGACGTAGCCCTCACACACAAGGACGGATATTTTACTCGAACCGGTCCACTGATTATCAGGATAAGACTTCGGCTAATCGACTTGGGGCGCCGACACCGCTCAAGCGGTTCAAAGGCATAGGAAGTGAAGAAGCTTAGATTCTCTGAAAGTCGGACTATTTCTTGAGGTTTTTTGAGAGCTTCATAGATTTTTTTGATTGATCAGAGCTACTTAGCCGTACTAAATTTGGTAGTTTGGGTTTTGAATGTATCACAATGAAGAGTGGCTTCTGGAAGCTTGGTCAAGTTAATCTTGAACTTATAAATTTCGGACGGATCTTCACTGTATAGCCATACTTACTCCGAAATTCTTTAATCAGATAAATCTGAAGCCTAGCTTCTTCGGAATCAGCATGACATTGGAGAGTTTTTGAGTCGCTGAATTTTTATTACCATGGCAAACCAACTGAAACTATTTTGATCAGCCTCTTTCAAGGCAAAATTTTTGGAAATCGGAAAATTTTTTTAATAACTTACCGTAGTCAAGCCGTGTTGAATTTTGAGCTTCTTCAACAAAATTTGGCCGAGTTTTAAATTTTCAACGATTCCGTATGATTTTCCAAAGTTTTAATGAAGTGCTCAGGACCTCCTTTTTAAGGGTTTGAACACAAAAGGCCATTTTAAAGTTTTGGAGGGCTAAAAACAACTGAATCTTACAGAACCTCATAAGGAGCCCCATAACCTTGTGAAAGCAGAAAAACTACCTTTCTCTCTTCCTTAACCTGTCATTAACCTGTTACGTAGCAATATTCTCGGCCGAGGCTCATTAGGGTAGCAGGACAGGTGCTGGGCGCGAAACCTCAAGAAAAAAAAAACGCGGCTGAGATTCCAAGGAGAAGAAGGAAAAAAAAAGAATGGTTGACCCGCGGACCGGCCAACACCTGTTTGCCGCCGATCACTATCTCAGTCGTCATTGCTCCACGCGAAAAATTTTTTATTTCCATTTCTGAATCTTTTCTGCGTCTTTGTGCACATTTTCAAGAAAGCTACAGTAATCCTTGAAGTTTTTGAGCTACCGTAATTTTTTGGCTGCTTTTTATGATTGTTTTCTTGAACTCAGCAGCCTTCCACTGCTTCAAGTTACAGTAATCTTTTGACTTTTGGCTTTTTAAAAGACAGTAGAAGGGTTACTGTAGACCGGGAAAATTTTACACGTTTGCAAGAGAGCTATAGTAATCCTAGGGATTTTTTAGCTACCGTAATCTTTTCGGCTTCTTTTTGATCACTTTTTTGCAGCCTTTCTCTGCTTCAAGTTACAATGCTATGTTGATTTTTGATATTTTCAAATGACAGTAGAAGGGTACTGTAGACCGGGAAAATTGTCCAAATTTGCAAGGAAGCTACAGTAATCCTTAAAGTTTTGAGCTAACGTAATTTTTTGGCCTCTTTTTATGTTACTCAACAGCTTTCTCTGCTTCAATTTACAGTTGAATTTTGTTTTTTTTTCTAATATCTGACAGTAGAAGGGTACTGTAGACCGAGAAAAGTCAACTACCGTACTCCAAAATTTTTTCTTTTCTTTAGAACCCTGTAGTTTCGTCCGGAAACGTTGGGACAAGATATAATTCTAGACATCGCCCAAAAATTGCGATCAGTGTATGCACAATTGCAACCTACAGTATGCTGATCCGGACGCGCTTTACAGATCTGAAAACAGACATTTTTTCGTCACAGTAATTTGCAAGAAGCTTTGAGCTACCGTAAGCCAGGTGATAAAACGTTTTGAGCTACCGTAAGCCAAGTGATAAATCGATCTTCAATTCCAAGCATTCTCTTCCTTGATTCTACCGTAATCTCCTGAATTTTGAATTCCATGTAACTTTCACGGTTCGAAAGACTGCATAGTCCTCTCTAGTGCATACTCTGTCGGAATGTCGCTACAGTAACCCTAAACAAGTTCAAGCTTCATATCCGAAGCCCCATTCAACCTGAACACGCATAACTAACCAAACACAGACAAAAAAGGGAGAGAGACCTACAGTAGACCAGGAGTGACCCGAGTACCGTAATCAAGTTTGGAATGGTTTGCAGTACGGTAGCGCCAGGCACCTATACGGTCTACGCGCCCGACACGAGCAATTATGCGGCGTATTATCAGGTTTTCTTGGTATATTTGGACGTTCCATGATTTTTTGTTACAGTATTCTGGCAATGTGCAACAGAGTCCGACCCAATCCTACATGCTTCACAATCATGGGGGTCAGTCTCCGAACTCTGGCGATGATGACAACGGCGGCGCCCTGGGACACACGGCTAGAGCTTCTCCCGCTACGGTAGGTCTTGGGAATGGCTCAGAGAATGCCTGCGCATCTAACGATTGTCTTCCTTGAAGATTAGGTTTTTTGAAGTAGATAAGGTCTTCCAATAGATCTTTTGAAGTAGGAAGATAAGAAACTTCAGAAAAGTTCATAGTAGAATCCTAGGAATGGCTCAGCGAATGCCTGCGCATCTAACGATTGTCTTCCTTGAAGATTAGGTCTTTTGAAGTAGATAAAGGTCTTCCAATAGGTCTTCTGAAGTAGGAAGATAAGAAACTTCAGAAAAGTTCATATAGAATCCTAGGAATGGCTCTAAGATGACCTGCACATCTAAAACCCACTTTTTTGATTTAGTGATCTTGTTTCTAATTGAAGTATGTATAGGGAAGACACGGTGCAGAGGTACATTTTGAAATGGGCGTGGCCTTTTTGGGATTGGCTCTAGGAAAGCCTGCGAATCTAACAATTTTCTTCTCTGGATGATCAATTTTTCCTGCGATTCAAAAAAGATTTAGTGAGGCTGTTTATGTTAGAAGAAGGCGGATTGGAATGGCTATTGAGAAGCCTGAGCATCTAACTTCAAGTTTGCGTATTAAAATATTTTTATGAGTAAGATGGGCACAAAAAGGTTCTGCAAATTTTGAAAAATTGAGATTTTCATACTTTTTTTTTTCATACGAGACCAAAAATCAGACCCTCGTTGAGAAAAAATTGACTTTTTTAGCTTTCTGTTCCTCCGAAAAGCTAAAGGTTTGTCATGGCGCAGTGCCTGTGAACTAGAATGTCGTTTTGAAGGTCGCGGGTTCGATCCCGCACGGGATATATTTTTTTTGCAAGTAAAATTTATAGAAATCATGCCCCTTTTTGACAAGAAAAAGGCCTGGAAAACCTCAAAAAAAAAATTCTAGTATGGAAAAATTGCGAAATTGTAGTTGTTTCACAATAACTTCCTGGTTCATCAACCTTTTTTGAATCTACAAAGCTGGAGCTATCACATTGGATAGGTTCTCAAGTCTGATACCTTTAAGAATCTTTTTAAACTGAGTCCCCCCCTCCACTCCAGCCCCCACATTTCCACCTCTCCGAGACACTTTCAATCAAACAAACGAGGCGAAGAGACCAAATCTGGCATGGCTTAGCGGTTATGCGTTGAAAAGCCGGGCAGGAAAAGGCTCCCCTCCTTCTCCTCGAGTGAAGGCAGAAGCTTCCGGTTTTTGGGCACCCCCTGGAAATATCGTAGGTTGGCAAGGAGAGTTCCTCACCTTCTTTAGTTCGGAGCACAAACCCCACTTTTGTTGGAGTTTTTCTCCGAGAGTAGTCATTTTTCATCGATTTTTGAAAGTCTTGGCCATCTTTTTGAGAGAAAATCCGAAATATGTTTCCCCTGTAGCATCTGATACCCCATAGTTGATCCATTGCGATACCTTGGCCGCATTGGGAATGGCTCAACGCGTCACGGATCACTTTTCAATTGCGCCGGACTATCAAACGACTTGCGCTCGTCTTCATCAAACGCGTAGAGTTTGTCAGATCACGCTTCAAAATTTTGAAGGTAGCAACGCAACCACAACACGTCCGCGGTGTAGCCATTCCAAATGCGGCCAATTTTCTGAGGGAATTCAAAAATTACACCTTTAACATGAGCAATAGGGTTATCCTGTTACCTGCGCCTTTAACATGAGCAATAGGGTTTTTAGGTACCTGCACCTTTAACATGAGCAATAGGGTTTTTAGGTGCCTACACCTTTAACATGAGCAATAGGGGTTTTCGGTTACCTTTAACATGAGCAATAGGTTTTTAGGTACCTGCACCTTTAACATCAGCAATGGGGGTTTTCGGTTACCTTTAACATGAGCAATAGGTTTTTAGGTACCTGCACCTTTAACATGAGCAATAGGTTTTTTTGCTTTTCAATCATTTCTCCCTTCAAAATTCTAGTTTTGTAGCTCATCTACGAGATTTCTAATGTTCAATGAACAGAATATTTTGTACTTAACGTGGATTAAAAACCCCGTCAAAAAGGGCGGATTATAAATATTCCAAGAACATTTTTCGACGGTCGTCGCCATAGTAACTCTCCGATTTGTCGGCTTTTTTCCCAGTTTTTATATCTTTTCTCATAAAAGAAAAAAATTTCCCACAAGCTTCTTCATTCCTGAAATGTTGATAACCTTCTAGAGCTTCCACAATTTTTAAATATTTGGTTTTTTTTTTGCAGATCAAAAATTACATCTGCAAGGAGTGGGTTACAGTAGGGCTTGAGATTAAAAAAATTCAACTTTTTGAGTGGAAAAAGTTTTTTTGAACTTTTTAATTTTTTGTAGATTGAAAAATTACATCTGCAAATAGTTCATTCACGGTAGTTTTTGAAGAATAAAAAGCAAAAATAATTATTCCTTAGGAAGAGTCGAACCTGCGACCTTTTTGGTGATGATGAATCTTGTTAGCCACTTGGCCAATTGTTAAATTCAACTTTTTGCTTTATTTCAGTTTCTAGTCACCTTCCAATCAAAATTTGGAAGCTAAGTAAAATGGCAAAAAAATCCAAAACGTCCGACGGAACCGAACCTGTGACCGTTTTAACGAAGGTCAAACTCTTTAACCACTCTACCAAGGTGTCTTAAATGTCATATTGGACCATCATAGTATCCGAAAAATGATTTCGATTCCGGAAAAAAAGGCAAAAGTCAATTCGCCCTCGATAGGGATCGAACCTATGACCTCTCTTCGTGAGTTTCCTTCTCAAGCCACTTGACCAGGAGTCTCAGCCAGATCAATTCAAACATGAGATCTCCCTTTTTTTCACCATTTTCAATTTTTTTGGGGCCATTTATCCGGAATATCCATGGCAACGGAAGAAAAGAGCATTTGCATTAGAAGACGTCTCTTCACTCCGGAAAATCCTCGAAAATTTTCCGAAAAGTTTATCATTTTCTTCACCAATATTTTTTCCACTTGATCTTGTTCATTTTTCAGTATATCAGGCCAATTCAAATTATTTTGAAATATAGAGACGATATGGCATGACTCGCGCCGAAACTGACGAATTCGAGCCCTCGCCCGATATTCAGACCCACGTAAGGGTCTTTTTTTCATGATTTTCTTAAAAACAAACTTTTTAATTGCTAGAATAAATTTTTAAAAATTGCAAAAAAAAACTTGTTCTGATGCGGATTGAACCAGCGACCTTCAGATCGATAGATGAATGGCTTATCCACTGCGCCATACTTAATACAATCAACTCACGCTTCATTTTGACTATTTTCTGGATTTTAAAAAAAGGCAAAAATTTTCGCGCGGAGCAGGAGTCGAACCTATGACCTTCCGATCATTGAACCAGCGGCTTAGCCAGTAGACCAAAATGCGAACTTTTCGGCATGACTCTGGAAACGTTCAGTTACTACTAAATTTTGCACGAAAAAAAAGCAAAAAAAGTTCTGCGCGGCACAGGAGTCGAACCTGCGTACCTTTCGGCTTTTGTTCGAGTTTTTAGCCACTAGGCTACGAAGTATGTAGGAATGAAGCTAGAAATTCCTCTATAAAACACGCCGAAAATTTTTAAAAAATGGCAAAAAAAGTTTCGCGACTCGCTGGAGTTGAACCTGGGACCCTTAGATCGACGTACAAGCGGCTTAGCCACTAGGCCAATTTTGCAAATTTTCCGGGAACTGGCTTTTAAGCCGCTTTCTGGTTTAAAAAGTTCAGAAAAAAAACTCAAGTAGATGGAAACTGTCAATACCCAATAAATGAACCTGTGTTTATTGAATTTTTTGAATATTTCAGGTGACGTGGCTTCTGGATAACTACGAAACGGCGGACGGGACGAGCCTGCCTCGCTGTACACTTTATGACCACTACAAACGGTTGGTTTTTAAAGATTTTTCCGATATTTAACGACTTTTGGTGTAAGAATATCAGTACAAAAAAATATTAGTATCTTTATTCGAAGTTATGGGAAAATTTTTAGTGGCCACTATAGGGTTTTGAAGTTTGAGGGACCACTATAGTAGTCAAATTAGTGGCCACTTAAGGGGTTATAACTAGTGGCCGCTGTAGAGGTCTGAGCGCTACTTTTAGACCACTAAAAATTCTAGTGGCCACTTTAGGGGTCAATGGATCATCATAACTGGTCCAATCTGTTTGTTTTAAAATATCAGAGATACTGGGAGGAATACTGGATGAAAAACTACTGAAGTGGCCACTAAAACTTAAAATAGTGGCCACTTCAGAGGTGGTTTTAGTGGCCACTTTAGTGTCCTCTCCAAGTAGTCCTTGGCGAGCCCCTTTAGTGGCCACTAAAAGTTTTCCCAGGTCTTTTGGAAAAAAAAAGGGAATTTTAAAATCTTCTTCATTATTTGTGATAGAAAATTGAACTCAAAAAAATTTAAAAATCCATTAGAAAAATGAACAAAAAAGATCCAGCTTTGATAAATTCGCCTAATGTTAGTTGTTGCCCAGGGCGACGAAAGTCAGCTTTTTTTTTCTTGAAGGTCAGGGCGGGAAAGGAAAATATTTGAAAGTATCGGAAAAAAGGGTTTTCAGAATTATTCAGAATAAGAATCGAAATATTTCAGTCACTGCCAAGAAAATCGTCTGGATCCAGTTAACGCCGCGTCTTTCGGCAAATTGATCCGATCCGTTTTCCTGGGACTGAGGACGAGGCGGCTTGGGACTCGTGGGAACTCGAAGTTTGTATAGATTCGAAAATATAAGCTTGAACTGAAGAAAAAAGATCCACTTTCTTAAAAGCCTATTGAACTTAGTATGGCCCAATGCGTTGCGGTCGCGAAGCGGTTAGTTTGAAATCGCGCGGACGCTTCTGAGCGTTTCAAGTGATCACTTAAGAGCATTGAAGCTGCTGAAGGGATCCCTATAATGCTAGGAAAGGAAAGGCCAGAGATAAACCTCTTTGAAGAGATAAGGTCGGGACTTCTCTGCGCTCTCCTCATCTCTCTCATGTTTACGTGCTATTTCCATGTTTCTCTGACCTCGCCGGTGAGGGAACAGAGAGACGCAGACACGCTAGAACTGTCAAGTCGCGACGGACGGAAAAGAAGCAGTGCAACGCGACCGCGCCGCTTTGAGCCATTCCAAGTGCGACCACTGGTTTTCCAGTTCTGGCTGGAATCTTTAACAATTGTACTTCATCACTTTCTAGGAAACTTTTGTGACTTTCTAGGCCTAAATTTCGATTTATACCTGAATAACGTGTTTTTCGAACCTTGTAGTGTTACTACAATATGACGAAAGATTAATTTTCAATCTTTTATAATCATGGACACAGATTTTCAAGTTTTGAGGGTCCATAACTCTTTTCACAGACCTTTTTGTCATTTTTCAAGGCCAGATTTGGAATCAGCGTGGAAAACTGCATCTAGGGAGCTAGGTCTCATTCAGAAGTACTGCGACCAGAAGTCATTTCTTGGTCAAAAAAAAAGACCCATTTCCATCATTTTTTCAGAAAAGGTACCACTACCAAGAAATCCAAAACCTTCCATATTTCAAATTTTCAAGGTACCACTACTACGGGATCCGAATCAAGGCCGATTCTTCCTTGAATCGTCAAGGCGTCGTCGTTTCTCCCACTGAACCCGACCCCTACGCGGATTCTGTCAATACTGTCGTTGCCAACAGTCGACAGTACGTTTCCGAACAACTGTTTGCATTTTAAAGGATGAAAAATTGCAGAAAATTGAATTTCAGGTACAGCACCCACGCGACGAAACGACACGGCCCGCCGTCGATATCTTCTTCCTCCAAGTAGTTTTTCTTCTATTGGTAGTTTTCAGTGACGTCATAGTCTTGATGATGTTCCTATTTCAAAAATGAGCGTTACTGAACTTCGAATGACGTTATTTTTGGGCTTTTAATATTTCAAGATATCATTTTTGAGCTGATAGTGGCCTTGAAGATTCAAATTTTCGCTGAAGTAGTTTTTGGGCTCCGAGTGACCTCTTAAGGGTTCCAGGAGTTTGTTTCAAAGTTTTATTGGCTCCATAATATTGCTGAAGATTCAAATTTTCACTGAAGTAGTTTTCGGGCTCTGAGTGGCCCCTTAAGTGTTTTGAGGCTTTTTTTTTTAGAATCTCAACTTACGTGAGAATGATCCCAAGAATTGAAACTTTCACTGAAGTAGTTTTTGGCCTGTAAGTGACCTCTTAAGGGTTTCAGGAATTCGTTTTAAAGTTTCATTGGCTCCATAATATTGCTGAAGATTCAAATTTTAACTGTTTTCGGGCTCCAAGTGGCCCCTCAAGTGTTTTGAGGCTTTTTTTTAGAATCTCAACTCACGTGATAATGATTCTAAGAACTGAAACTTCTAAGGAAGTTATTTTTCAGCTTTAAGTGACCTCTTAAGTGTTTCAAGCTCTTCTTTTGAGGCTTGACTTACGTTATAAGGATCCTAAGAACTGAAATTTCCATTGAAGCGATTTTTGAGCTTTGAGGGGCCTCTTAAGGGTTTCAACAATTCGTTTTGAATTTCTATTGTCGTCATAATAAGGCGTGAAGTTCAAATTTTGGAGTTTTTGGGCTCTGAGTGACCTCTTAAGTGTTTCAAGCTCTTCTTTTGAAGCTTAACTTACTTCATAATGATCCTAAGGCTTTAAGGTTTCAAGGAAGTGATTTTTGTGCTTTGAGTGACTTCTTAAGGGTTCCAAGATCTTACTCTTAAATTTTAAATCTTATCGAGCTCCGAATAAAGTCATATCTTTTTTTTTTAGCAGCGCCTCGCCCACTTATTCTTCTCCTGTGACCCAAGACGTGATGCCGCGGTACAGGAATAATGGTAAAAGAGCCATACCACTACTTTTCCGCATCCTGTCACCTTAAGGAACAACCAGTGAAGACCGAGCCTCACTTGGTGATGGAGAAATCCCGGCCGTCGATTTTCACAGCATCGAAGGATTCGAGGAAACTTTGGTGTGAGTATAAAAAATGATAATCTTTAGAAAAAGGCTTGGAAATTTGTAATTCTTCATTGCACATAGGGAAGTATGAGTTGAAGCATGAAATTGAAGAAAAATAGCTTTTTTTTCGGAAAAGGAAAAAAAATGGCAAAAAAGGAAGAACGAGTGCAGGAATCGAACCAGAGACCCTTTGATTGACAAGTAAGCTTCTTAGCCACTACGCTAAACATGCAGTTTTAAAGAAAAGGAGCGAGTAACAGATATTTTTTCAAAGTACTAGTTTTACTACTGATTCAGCCGTAGTTTCTCAGAAAAATAAAGTTGTCTAAACTGGCTTTTCGGCAAAAACGCGTGTAGGATTCGAACCAGAGACCCTTAGATTGACATGCAAGCTTCTTACCCACTACGCTAAATATGCAATTTTAAAGAAAAGGAGCAAGTAACGGATCATATTCCAAAGTTGATCTTATTCACAGATTTTTCACTACTTGTGTAAGCTTAGAAATAAAATAAAGTTGTCTGAACTGGCTTTTTTTGGCAAAAACGCGTGTAGGAATCGAACCAGAGACCCTTTGACTGACAAGCAATCTTCTTAGCCACTAAGCTAAACATGCAGATTTAAAGAAAACGGGCAAGTAACGGATATTTCCTCGAAGTTGATCTGATTTATTGATTTTTTATCCCTAGTGTAGGCTTAGAAATAAAAATGAACTTCTCTGAAGTTGCTTTTTGGCAAAAAGCGTGCAGGATTCGAACCAGAGACCCTTTGACTGACAAGCAATCTTCTTAGCCACTAAGCTAAGCATTCATTTCTAGAAAATTGAGTTTTACTAGTAGTGTAGGCTCAGAAAAATAAAGTTGTCTGAACTGGCTTTTCGGCAAAAACGCGTGTAGGATTCGAACCAGAGACCTTTTGATTGACAAGCAAGCCTCTTAGCCACCACGCTGGGAATTCATTTCTAGAAAAATGAGTTTTACTAGTAGTGTAGGCTCAGAAAAATAAAGTTGTCTGAACTGTCTTCCCGGCAAAAACGCGCGCAAGAATCGAACCAAAGACCCTTTGATTGACAAGCAAGCCTCTTAGCCACTACACTAAGCCTGCGTTCTCTCATAAGTGCGTGTAAACAACCGATTTATATGGGAATTTTCGTAATTGTATTGGATTTTTGAATAGAAAATGTTTATTTTCAGGAAACTCGGCATGGACATGTCGCACGTGGAGAAGTTTGTCTCGTGTTATCAACAGAATTGTCATGTTCGTTAATTTTTTTTTTTTTCGATTCTTATATTCATTTTACAGAACGTTCTGCATTTCGTGAAGCAACTGCAATTTGAAGAAATCGAGGAATGTTGGTTCTCGTTTTGGCAAGCTGAATATGATGAGTTGGACGATGAGGAGTGGGTTTTTATCCTTGGAGCGCAAATGATCCTTTTTGTAGAAAAAAAAACCTTTGCTCTGCTTTTTTCAAAAAATCTATGGATAGGGACCGCAAAGCCACGCCCCTTTTCGCGATAGAAAAAGTGGCTTTTTTTTGGTTTTCAACTTTCAATTTGTTGTAGTTGCAAAATATATGGAAACTGGATAATAAATTTTTGACACACATGTACAGAAAAAGCTTCCTCTTTCGTTCAAAAAATATTTCACGCTTTTTTGATGCGTTCGCGCGGAACGTCGTACAAAAACGTGAATGGAACTCAAAAAAATTTTTGTCATTTTTTGCTTTTTTTCATGTGTTTTCAAGTCGAACGCACTCTTTCTTTTTTTATATAATGATTTTTAATTTAAGTAACGGTAATTTTAAAACAATAAAATAAAAAAAATTCGTCTTTGCCAAAAAAATTTTTAGGGAGTGCCGAAAGTCAAACTTCAAAATATCGTTAATAAGCGAATATAATCGAGTTTTTGTTTTTTCAAAATTTAGATCATGGGCTTACTTAAATATTTCTCTACAGCATCTTTGCTTGAAAAAGTTGTTTAATACGCAAAAAAATGCTCTTGAAACTAGAGGATAAAATTAGCGGCTTTTATCACACAGAAAGCGGTCGAACGCAGGTTTTTTTCAAACGATTATATACATTTATTAGTAAAAAAATCTTTCAATTAAAAAAATAAAATAAAAAAATTCGTCTTTGCCGAAAAATATACGGGGCCGTTTTAATGCAGCGATCGTTAAAAAGAGGCAAAAAAAGCACTAAAAAAACAGTTTTTTTCGAAGTGAATTTCCACGAAACGTTTGAGTAAAGATTTGCGAACATATTCTGATCAAAAAAATAGCTTAATTACTTTAAGTTTTTTTCTTTTTGAAATAGGCAATCTGTGCTATCCAAACGGTTCAAGGGTAAGGCGGATGGAAGCTCCCCGCGCTAGACCTGACAGCTTGGCGCAGCGCGTGCGCTGCGATTTTTCATTTTAAGGTCGCGAGTTCGATGCCCGCAAGCGTCAGTTTTTTTGTTTTCTGGAAAATACCGACTTTTTCGGCAAACTAGCTGATGAGCATCATTTTAGCACTCTATTATGATTTGTTACATCATAATGGACCAGTATCAAAACTAGTTCTAAAAGAAAAATCGAGAAAAATGTCAAAAATGGATAATACCAAAATTTCAGAACTAAAAAAATGGTGCGCGGCGCGCCACATTTTTCGTCATAACTTTTTTCATCCTCAATCTTTTTCGAAAAACTAAACGGTTCTGAGTTTTGAATCGAAACAGCTATCAAACCATACAAAGCTCGATGCTGAAAAAAATTTTTTGAAAATTCGTCTGCGGTCCCTATCTATGGAGTAGCTTCTGAAAATGCCAAATTTCCTTGTGATGAATTTTCAACTTTTTTGAAGGCGATTTCTTCTCAAACTTATAGCCAATCCTAGCCTCTCCAATTTTCAAAGTTCTTTTTCCAGTTTCATGCCGGAACGACTGTCGCAACAGCAGCTCTACGCCTTGTGCTCCCTGGCCCCGACCCAAGATTACATCATCGAAATGGACTTGGCCTTCTACCAAACTGTCGTCGATGTGCTGGTCCCAAGCGTCTTGATGTCGAAAATGACTCGTGAGTTTGGAAAAGAAGGGAAAAATGGAGTTTTCAATTTTTGGAAGGAACTTCAAAAAATAGCTCTGATTGAGATTTTAGCCCTGGAGCGCAATAGATGTAAGCCAAGGCAGCTATTTTTAAATACTATCCAAAAAGTTGAGATTTTAGCCTTGGAGCGCGATAGGTATAAGCCCCAGCGGCTATTTTTGAATACGATCCAAAAATTTGAAATTCTACCTCAAAAATTAGCTCTATGGGAGATTTTAGCCTTGGAGCGCATTAGACATAAGCCGTGGCAGTTATTTTTGAATACTACCAAAAAAGTTGAAACTTCACCCTTAGAACTGGTTTTAATTGAGATTTTAGCCTTGGAGCGCAATTGATATAAGCCGTGGCAGCTATTTTTGAATACTATCCAAAAAGTAGAAATTTTACCCGAAAAATAGCTCTACTTGAGATATTAGCCTTGGAGCGCAATTGATATAAGCCGTGGCAGCTATTTTTGAATACTATCCAAAAAGTAGAAATTTTACCCTAAAAATAGCTCTACTCGAGATTTTAGCCTTGGAGCGCAATATTTATAAGCCATGGCAGCTATTTTTGAATAATACCCAATATCATGGCAGCTATTTATGAATACTATCCACAAAGTGGAAATTTTACCTCAATAATTAGCTCTAATTGAGATTTTAGCCTTGGAGCGCGATAGATATAAGCCCCAGCGGCTATTTTTGAATACTATGCTCATGAAGTCCATTTCCAGCCGTGCTGACCCAACACTGCCGGAACTTTGCCAAAAACGCCGACATGTACCTGAGAAAAGCGATGCAGGGGGCGCCCGAGAACCTGCTCCGGAAAAAGCTCCAAACCGTCAAGTATTTGGCCCAGGGATTAAAAAGGTTCGTCGTGGTTTAGTGGCTAAAGAGGTGGCCTTATGAATGGAGGGTTTCTGGTTCGAGTCCGGTAGGAAAATGTATCTTTTTTGCCTTTTTTTTTGGAGAGAAGCATCAAAGTTCAAGAAGCAGTCTTTTTTTGCCTTTTTATATTGATGAGTGTTTTTGAGAACTTTGATGAAAAATATGAAAAAAGGGATGAAAATAGCAGCTTGGTATAGTGGCTAAGGGAGTTGTTCTATGAGCGGTGGTATCAAAGTTCGAATCCTGGAGGCGGAGACTTTTTTTGCTGTTTTTTTTTAGCTTACCTTTGTCCATGTATAGTAGAAATAGCCATCAATTTTGAGTAATTTGAAGTTTTTTCGCAATAAAACTCCATGGTTCATTGGCTAAACATCCAGTTTACTGCTCGAAAGGCCACGAGTTCGATCCCCATCAAGATTTTTTGCCATTTTCATTTTTGCTATTAATTCACATGCTATTTTATTGCTTCCAGGTACACCTCCCTGAATCATTTGGCCCAAGCGGCCCGAGCAGTCCTCCAAAAACAGGACCAAGTCAGCGCCATGTACAATGATTATACGAGGTTTGTGGTAGGGAAAATAAATTCAGTAGGTAAAACTTGAACTTTAGGCTGTTTTCCAGGATTTTTAGAATCTGTTTAAGATTTTAAAGTCGAAAAGACGGAAAAAGGACTGTGAAAATTTAATTTCTCTGCTCAAAAGTGGTACTTATAGAAGCAGAAAGTTGTCCAGAACCCAAATAAGGTGTTCTTTTTCAGGGTGGACATGACCCAGGTACACGAACAAGCCGGCTGGGTCTGCGGCTGTGACCAGCTGATGGTCCAACACATCAACAACGCCTTCCGGTCGAACCTTCAGAAAATGGTCCCCATGGAACAGTGGGCCGAGTGGCTGGAGAGCATCGTTGATCAGGTAGAAAATTGATTTTTTTTCATTTCATGAGACAAATTTTCATTATCCACCTCTTGCTCACAGTAAATTAAACAAATAATGAGAATTTAATTTTGAAGACCTTGGCCAAGTACCACGATAAGCCAGTGGAAGTCATCACGGACGTCGGAAAGCAGTTCTTGCTCAACTGGAGCTTCTACACGTTGGTTCTTACATTATTTTGTAGTATTCATCGCCTTGGCTCAGTGGTTAATGACGTGATTGTGAATAAAGAGGTCACGGGTTCAATCCCCGAGCTGGTCGATTTTTGCCATTTTGAATAGAAACCCCACTACTGGGAAAATGTCCAAGGACTACTTGGAGAGGACACTAAAGTGGCCACTATTTCTCGTTTTAGTGGCCACTTCAGTAGTTTTTCATCCAGTATTACTTCCATTAACTCTGATAATTGTGAAACAAATAGATTGGAGCAGTTATGTTGATCCATTGACCCCTAAAGTGGCCACTAGAGTTTTGGTCTAGCATTTAGACCCCTATAGTGGCCACTAATTTTCAACCCCTTAAGGGGCCACTAAGTTGACTACTATAGTGGCCACTAAAAATTTTCCTAGTAGGACTTTAATCATTTTCAGAAGTTAGGAAGCATTTCAAGTTAAATTTAATCTGTGCAAAAATATCTTTATTCTCTAGATCAACAGAAAACTTTCATGATGAAAACAACTTTAGTGAGAACAGAAAAATTGAAATTTGAAAGAAACGAAGAAAAATGCAAAATCCCAAAAAAAATGGCGAAGTTTGTCCATAGAGCAACTTTACTGCAAAACGCCCTTTTTGGCGGGAATTTAAACTTTTCTCTCAGATTTATAATATTTTTTTCTTCAAATTTTGACCGTTTCCAAGTTCACCGTTCCACAGGAAACTCTGCAAAATGGCATATTTTTTTCCAATCTCATCTTTTACTGCCCATATGCCTTCAAGGAGGTTTTAGTGTCTTTAATTCAAGAAAAACCTGGGAGAAGGTTAAGGCGGCCTTTTTAGAACATCCTCCATATTTCCGAACTATATTGTTAATCGCGATGATCCTTGTAATGATAGAAATACGTTTGGAGTAATCAAAAATTCCGTATTTTTCCAGGTCAATGGTGATTCGAGACCTGACCCTCCGGTCGGCGGCTTCTTTCGGCTCTTTCCACCTGATCCGACTTCTGGCCGACGACTACATGTTCTACTTGATTGAGTCTCGGATTGCCAAGGCCGGAAATCAGCCGCTGATCACTGTTATTCGACAGGTTCTTCTTTTTTTCGCGTTATGTGAGATTTTTCAAAAGAAAGGATCTTGTGAGGGTCTCCAAAAGGTCTTTTTTATTTAACTTGTTAAAAAGTGAGTAAAAAATGATTCCAAGAGGTTCAACAAGGACCCTCTGAAGCTAAAAAAAAGAAGCTCAAAAGCCTTTTTCGGAGCTTTTAGCGGTACCTTTTCAGCTCCTTCTTAGGATGCTTTTAGTGAATTTTCCATTTTTCCTATGACTTTTTTGTTTTTAGCCCTTTGAGCACTATAAAAATTTATTTTCGTACCAATTTACAGCGAAGAGAGCCCAATAAACATCCTATAATCTCACTTTGCCTCATAATTATTCCTTTTTTAGGAAAAAGACTATCCGCTTTTCGACGACATCCGTATCCCGCACCCGGTCATCCATCACGACGAATTTATCGTCACCGCTCCTCCGGTTTTCGACCACAAGGTATAGTTTTACCTGTTGTTAGATGGGGGGGGGGGGGATGAAAGTTTAATAAGTCTAGCGATGAGGTATTTTGAAAAACTTTTTCCTTATCTGGATTTTTATCTGTGGAAGCTGGAAAAAAGTGATTTTTGTCATCTGAAACTTCAAAAATTCATACCTTTGCTCAAAATGCTCAGAATCGGGTAAAGTCAAGTTTTTTATCGTGTCCAGAGGGTTCTCTTTCATATAAAACCATCTGATACCTTCAAAAACCTATAGGGTTCTCGAAATATCGATTGGACTCGGATAGACTCAGATATCAACCATTTTTTCGCAAACCAAAAATTTTTATTTTTCAGACTTGCTCTCATTTTTAGGACATGGTTTTGATCTTTTTCCGAGAAAATAAGAAATTTTAGCCGAATAGATTGCGAAAAAGGGATTTTCGACTTTTCTGGCTGTCTGCACATAGGCAAGGGTGAAAAAAGGCTCCATAGAAATGTTCCCTTTTTGCTGCCTTTTTGCGCCATTTCATCAGCTGTTGTGCACCATTTTTGCAGCTTTCCACCATTTCTTGAGCCTTTAAAAATCTAGAAAAAAAATGGAAGGCTCGATAAAGGGGCCTTTTTGGGGCCTTTTTTGAGCCATTTTGCAGCCTTTTTTGAGCCTTTTTTGAGCCTTTTGCAGCCTTTTTTGAGCCTCTTCCTTTTAGCGACCACTATCCACCAACTTTGCCCGAGAAGTTATTGAATTTTTTTTAAAATTAAACTCGATTTTTCAGTTCCAACCAACGGTTCATCATGACACCGACGGATTCGAAGTTAAAAGAATGGTAATTTTTTTTTTCACTTTTTTCCTCCCATCAATTTTATTCATGAAAATGAATGTTTATTTTCAGCGTTACCACGAGAATCGGGAGAACGTTCAAGTTGAAGTCGTGGAAGAAGTCGATGGGCAGAATATCCTATGCATCTAACCATTTCCCTCATTTTTCCCGAAGTTTTTCTTTCTAATAATCATTTTTCCAATATAGTCCATCCGCCACTTCACATGTCTGCGTCTCTCTGTTCCCTCGCCAGGGAAACATTGAAATAGCACGTGAACATGAGAGAGACGTCGAGAGATGAGGAGGGCGCAGAGAAGTCCCAAGTCGCGAAAAACGGACCATAATAATACAAAATTCACTTCTCACACTGCATTCCCATCAGAGTTTATATGAGCAATCGATGAAACCCGGCCTTGCCTACTTTCCCAGGCTACTGTAGTTTTATTTTTCCTGTGTCCATAAATTTTATTAGTACAAAAAGTCAATCGATAATCTCATTCGAATAAAATCAAGTCATACTTTTACAACGATCTCAATCTCGTAAAAAAATTCAATGTATTTTTTCTGTGATATATCATTGTAAAGACGTAATAATGAAAGTAGTATTGTGCATTGGTTTGAAAAAAATATTGTGTAGTGCTATAAATATATTGATCAAGTGTTTTTTGTTTACAAAAAAGGAGTTTAAATGCTCGAAAGATTGAAAAAAAGAATTTATTGATTTTGCGGATTACTGTATTCATTGCGGCCGTGAGCACGCTTGCGGCAAGTGCGTGTTTTCAATGAGTTTCAGGCTTTTATATTATTCTAGTTTCAGGATTTTTTTTTCAACCAATAATAGCCAATCATCAGAAATGCGGACCCAACTTTTTGAGCCATTTCCTCTTACTGTAGCCGGGTTACGGTAGTCCGGTGGGCACCTGCGTATCCAAGGAAATATGAGTTTTCACTAGGCGTGATGTATATCAATCGATAGGCAATGCAATTTTGAGAACTTTTACAGTATATGACATCGTGGGTTACTGTGGAAAAATTTTGAGTTACGGTACTTTTTGTGTTTGAGGACTTGGTTTTTTGGTCACCCTGAGCTTGAACCTCTTCCTAGCTCCTAAAAAGATACCTTCTGAAAAGCTCTACAAGCTGATACCAGTTTAATGAAATTTTTGGATGACCATCGTTTGACGAAATCGTTCCGAAGGCACGCAATCGTGGTCTTGCGGCGTTCACCCGGGATAATGCCTGGTGTCTGATTTTTTAAGGATCCAAGTTTGATAGCAATCGGACAGCTTTTTGTGAGGACCATCATCTCAAAATTTTCAGCTACCGCGAGCTCACGTCAGCGTGGTTGCGACTTCAATGAATACAGTAGCGAAAGAGAAAAATTCATTTTCCAACCTTTCTGGGAAAACTTTTAGACTATAGAGGCTCGCCAAGGACTACTTGGAGAGGACACTAAAGTGGCCTAAACCCCACCTCTATAGTGGACACCATTTTCCGTTTTAGTGGCCACTTCAGTAGTTTTTCCTCCAGTGTATTCCAGTAACTCTGATAATTTTAAAACAAACAGATTGGACCAGTTATGTTGATTCATTGACCCCTGTAGTGGCCACCTTTTCACTAAGAAAACATATATCCGATTCCTGAAACTTATATTGATCAATTTTCCCCAGCCGCACGTGGAATGGCTTCGTAGAGGTGTGAGAGCAAACAGCTTTTTTGAGACTTTCAGTACCAAATAGCGGAACTCGTTTCGGGTCGGATGCAGCTCAAAGCATCTTCCCCTACGCGTCTAGCATCTAATGAGCTTATGATTTCGACAGGTTCTTTTTTTTTTGAATTTTTTGTTTTAGTGGTACTTTTTAGTTTATGTACATTCTTGCTTTGTAAAAAACATAACACGCATTTTTTATTGATCTGCAGCATCAAACTATCAAGACGAGTGGGAAATACTGAAAAACTAAAACATTGGACGGGAACAAAAATACCCAAAAAAAGTGACATGGAACCCTGGTATTTGAGAGAAATTCTTGGAGATGGGAAGGGCGTTGTTGAATTACAAGTCGAGTAGGAAAAAATAAATCAAAAGTAGCTTATAAGAGAAAAATTCAAGTTTTGAAGAAATTTGGCTCAAAGTGACGTCACCAGCTAAGTTATTATTGAAAAAAAAGTTCAAACTTTATGACGTCATTTTTGAAAATACGAGAATCTTAGAATGATGACGTCATTATTAAAGCTAGCGTCAAGTCCTGAACCCTAAATCTGAACTTTTAAAACTTCGCCGGGTGGTGACGTTCTTCATTTTGTTCATTTTGGGTGGTGCCAACCTGGCTAGTGACGTCATCATGATCTCCAGGGGACGTCACAAACCTGGCTAATGACGTCATCATGATTTCTAAGTGACGTCACCAACTAAGGTAATGACGTCATCATGATTTCTAAGTGACGTCACCAACCTGGCTGATAGCGTCATCATGATTTATAAGTTTGGTCAAACTACACGCAGAGGTCTTTTTTCAGTTTCTCCTATGGTCCTTCAAGCAATCAAGCAGAGCTCAAACGACGTCGGCTACAGGGATGGGTCATAAATGCTTCGGGGGGTGTTTCGAGGGACGTCTTCTCATCGCTTCCAAAATTTCCGGGAGAAGATCTGACGCCGGAGTTGGCTGGACTCGTTGGTCTCGCTGGCGCCGCGGAGCAGGGCGCTCAGAAGGTTCTGGAGCTCGCCTTGCTGTGGCACTCGCCATTCGGACGTCTCGTCCTCCTTCTTGATCTTGATCTGAAACTCCGTCGTTGGTCAATGAGGCAACTAAAAACTCACAAGGCAACAGGATTAACTGATTTAGTTCTCAGGGGTTTTTTGGAAAAATAAATATTAGAATTCAGCCCAAAAGAATGAATCTCAAGCTCAACTGGCTCCACAGGAACAAAAAGTACCGTAACTCAAAATATTTCCACAGTAACCCCTAATGTCATGTACTGTAAAAACTCTCTAAATTGCATTACCTATCGATAGAAATACATCATGACTAGTGAAAACTCATATTTCCTTAGATACGCAGGTGCCTACCGTAACCAGGCTAGAGTGAGAGGGAATGGCTCAAAAAATAGCGTCCGCATTTCTGATGACAGACGATCATACTGGGTGAAGTTTCATCGAAGAAAACGTTTATAGTTCAATCATAGTAGCTTAAGGTAAAATTCAAAAAAAAAAGTTTCTTTACGATTATGTGCAAAAAATAGAGGTTTCAACGTTTCTGTAGTGTTTCCTCATCACGTGGCAAACTAGAACATTTTCAAAAAGCTTTGATTTTCCCGTAGATCAAAACTCCAAAAATCGAGACCGACGGGGGAATTTTCATCACAGAATAAGAAAACCAAAAATAAATTTTTTGCAGCTGTCGAATTCCGATCCAAAATCAGGGTATTTTGAAACTTTCAAAACTTCCGGAACTTTCCATAGAATAATAAATTGGATATCGAAGCTTTTTAGGAAGTAAAAATGAAACTTTGACGAAAAATTGAAATGTAACGGTTGCAAAAAACGATCCGGAATCGATCCCTTGACCTTTCGAATGTCAAAAAACTCCTCTGACGCTAAAATTCAAGCCTCTTTTCGACCAGAAATTAATGAAAAAAACGGTGAAAAGTAAAAAAATAAATGAAATAAGAAAACTTGCAGCACCTCCGCCCAATTTAATTTCTCTCAAAACAAGGCTCCGAAAAATAGTCATTAAAAAGGAACATGTTTTTGAAAATATGCCAAAAAAAGCGTCATTTCCCTAACTTCCCTCGTATCGTATGAATTAAACATCAAGGAAGCCGTTTTTCTTTTCCTGGATGAAAGTGCATGGAATTTAAAAAAGAATGAAATTTTTTCCGAGACATTTTTCGAGAAATCTTTTCACCTGCCAAAAATCTCGACATTTTTGCGCTACGAAAGCAATTTTTCAGCTGCAATTCTTGGTTTTTTGGCTTTTGTTAGGTCAAGCTACGAAAATCCGATTTTTTGGACGGCTTGTGAGTAATATGAGAAATGTCTGCAAAAAAAAATAGAAATAAGTGTTTTCCCAGACACTGAAACAGTGGGAAATTGGCAGGAGTCATCTTTCTTGGAAAATTTTTTCGAACTTTGAGAAAACCTAGAAGTTCCGTCCAGTATTATAAGAGACCTTAAGAAGAATTTTTGCTAAGCAAAAAAAAATTTTTTAAAGGCCAAGAGACATTAAAAAAATCAGACTTATGACATTTTATATTACAATAAATAAACCTTTGAAAATGCCTAAAACCCAAAATTTTTGAAATTCCAGGTAAAAAGCAGTGGTATTCAAGTTACTAGAACGCTTTTGAACACCAAAGAATAATGGCAAAAAAGTTTTCACGCCGAGCGGGATTGAACCTGCGACCTCGAACACATCACCTGATACAGCTTCTAAAGTCCAGAAAAGCATCGAAAAATCAAATTTTTGGGTTTTATTTGAAAAAAATACGATTCTCAAATTACTAGGAGAGCTTTCAGCAGCAGAGAAAAATGGCGAAAAAAATTTCTTCGCTGAGCGGGATTGAACCTGCGACCTCAAACATAGCCCCTGGTACTAAAATAATTTTTCTATAGTCCAGAAACGTATCGAAAAATTGAATTTTTGTGTCTTATATGGAAACATACGATTCTTAAGTCTCTCGGAGAGCATAGAAAAAAATTACAAAAATCTCAAAATATTTTTTTCAAGAAAAAAACTTTTTCTGAATCTTTTTTTAAAAAAATCCAGAGAAAATATTTACTTCAAAAAAAGAGTAATATTCTATTTCTGGACGCCTACGTATCTAAAAATAGCTATTTTTCCTCAATATTGTTACAAAATCGACGTAAAAGTTACGCAAACAGGAAGTTGAACTATTTCCGAACGGAATTTCGACGCGTTTCCAATTATTTGAAAAACCAACGTGTTGTTTGTGTTTACGAGGTATCAATGAGCTGGATAAACTATCAAAAAGCAGAAAAATAGCAAGAATAATAGGATTTTTTCATTCTCTTTCTAGGGATTACTATCAATTGAATTTATCAAAAGAACGGCTGGTTTTCGGTTAAATTGCATCCGCATAATATGAGATTACCATTTCAACCTCAAACCGGGGAAAACACTGGAAAAAAAAATTCGGTTTTTTATTTTCTAATCTTTCTTCCAGATCGTAGACACTAGGCAAAGTCGAAAATAACGGAAAAAAGGCTCCTTTTTGCTGCCTTTTTGCGCCATTTTATCGGCTATTATGCACCATTTTTGCTGCCTCTCCCTTTTCCCATTATTTCTTGTCTCTAGAAAAAATGGAAGGCTCGATAAAGGGACCCTTTTTGCTGCCTTTTTGCAGCCTTTCTGAGGCCTTTCTGCAGCCTTTTTTGAGCCTCTCCCATTTAGCGGCCATCATTCACCCTTCCGACTTTGCCCGAGCAAAAATATTTTATTTCAGCTCAAAATTTAGTTTTTTCTGAGCCATGAGTAAGAGGCAAAAATTTTTCATATAAAGTTAGGGATGCAGGTTCAACCCCGCTCGGCCTTTGAATTTTTTTGCCATTTTTTATTCAAGCTCTAAAGCGCTCCCGTAAATTAAGAATGATTATTTTTAACTAAAATCGCAAAATTTCAAAAAAAAAAAGAGCGGTATGTACTCTCAGGTTCAATCCCCTCAAAAATTTTTTGCCAATATCAACCAAGCAAAACAAAATCTTCAGTAACATGCTATTTCAAGCCAATTTTCGCACTTCCGAGCACTTTTCGCCGTTCAAAGGCACTATACTAGTGAAGCAATCAATCTGAAGAGCCTCAAGACGTCGAAATTCCTCTCAAGGAGATTCGAAACCAGTAATTTTGGACAGGAAAGAAGCTTTTTTCTCTCAATCGAACAGGAAGGAACTTCTTGAGGCTAACAATTATCAGAGACAATTATCGTATTGTATACTTTGAACGTTAGGAGAAAAAGTGTAATCTGAAAAATGACAGTTGGAAGTATGGGGAATGTTTTTTAGAACTTCTGGATTTTCTAAAAGTAGTGGAATACAAGAAAAAAGACAAAAGAACTCACAAATTGGGGCGCTGAAGAAACGGTAGTCAGGCAAATCGTCATCATCATTAAAAAGAGCAGCACGACGGCCTTCATGACGTCACAATGTTTTTTCAGTGAAAAAGGAAACTTTTGTCCGAGTTTCCCCACCTTTATATGTATCCGTTTTTGGATTAAAGCAGGTGTATTTCTCGGGAAAAATCGAGGAAAAAACACGGAAAAGTGGGCGTGTCTCGGGCTTGGCCACGCCCACTTTCCATTCTTTCAGACGCCCAGGGAAGTCTCCCGGCTTTTTTTTTCTCCATAGAATATTTAAATTCTACGTAGAGCCTGACTGCGTCAGGAACAAAAAAAAAAGCCTTGAAATGCACTTTAGTTGAGACTGATTTAAAAATGCCATGCTAAATTTAAAAAGGCCTTTTCTTTTTTTGTTCTTTAACCTGTTTTAACCAATCAAAGGTCGTTATGAAGTAGCCTGATTGAAAAATTACTTGAAAAGGATGACACTGCCAGCGTTGGGAGTGCGGAAAACAGGTGCAAAATGGGAGCAAAATGGCCGCTAACGGGTCCCGTTTTGCGACCTTTATTGAGCCTTTCTTTCTTGGAGGGCTAAAAAGCTTCAAAAAAGGGTGCAATAAGGGTCCTAAAAGTCTCGGCCATTGATTTCCGATTTCATTACAGTAGCACGTTTTGGTTCATACACAGTCACTGGTAAAGATTATTCTTAATAAAAAAAATTTTTTTCTCAAAAGGGTTCAAAAAGGGTCAATAAAGGCCGATGAAAGGACGGAAAAAGGCGGGTAAAAGGAAACCGTGGCCACCCGTTTAGGAACAATTAATGGGAACCTTTCGATCCCTTACGGATGCTCAAAGGGCCCGTAAAGGGTCTTCTCGACTTTGCCTATGAAGGATCTGATGGATCAAAAGACGTACTCGCAATAAAATTCTAAAAGAAAATGAAAACTATTTCAAATTCAGGAGAAAGTCGGCCTCTGGTCGCTCTTTGAATATCTCCCTATAAATTTCGAGACTTCATGGCCCTACAAAAAATGCCATTTCGACTTGAAGTAGGGAAAAATAGCCTAAAGGTATGAAAATAAACTCCACCTTTTTGATGATTTCTTTTGAAAAGCCTTTTCTATCAGTTTAGTTCGATAGTTGTGAAAAAAGCCATTCCAAATGCGGCATAAAATCGAAAAAAAGTGCTATAAATCTTTCAAAGGAAGAAATTCAAACTGAAAAAAAAATAAATGAAAATATCTTCAAATTCTCATTGATTGTCCAACAAAGTATAATAAGAATCCTAATATTCGTGTTTTCAAAAAAAGAAACCCCCAAAAATCTTCAAAAACTAACGTGAAATCAAGCGCCGCGCACTGCAAGATACTCCGCCGCGCGGGGAGGAAAAAGTCGGGCGCAATAAAACGAGAGGTCAGCGTGACGCGCCGCTGGCGCAAACGTCTCTGTGATAGATAACACTCAGCTCACTCTTAAGAAACGTGTTGATACATCTTTCCCCGACTGAGAGACCTCAGGATTTCATATAAATTTTGATATTCTGATACTGTCGGGCTGCCAGTTATTGAAAAATTTCGTTCCGAAACCGTTAGAAAAATGGCAACGTGCGTTTTAAAGTATTATGGTAGATTCTGATCTTTTAAGTGAGCCCTGAAGTGGTCTTAGAAGTATTCAAGTGCTCCATTGAATAGATAAAATCATCCCGCCAGTCCTTTGAATCTTTCTGAGTGATTTAGTGGTCACTAAAGCGGTCATGGCTGAGAGACAATATTTCTACCAATTTTGACATTCTGATACTGTCAGACTGCCAAATATGGAAATAATTCAAAAAAATATAATAAGAGTCCTAATATCCCTTCCTTGGTATCCCCTTGAAGAGGTATTACATTTTCCACTTTTTCAGGGAATTCTCAGCCATTAAGTGATCCCTAAAGTGACTTCAGCGTCTCTTTGTAGTCAATCTAAACAGGCAGAATGTTACGCCGGACATTTGAACCTATCCAAGCGATTCAGTGGTCACTAAAGTGGTCATAGCGCCTCCTTAGTATTTCTTTGAAGAGGAATTTCATTTTCAAACTTTTCAGAAAATTCTCAGCCATTAAGGGATCACTCAAGCGGTCTTACCACCTCTTAAGTGCTCCATTGAATAAATAGAACCATTCCGCGAGTCATTTGAACCGTTCTGAGCGATTTAGTGATCACTAAAGTGGCCGTAGCCCCTCTCAAGTCAAATTGAATAGATAAAATCATCCCGCCAAACATTTGAACCGTTTTAAGCGATTTAGTGGTCACTAAAGTGTTCATAGCGCCTCCTTAGTGATCCCTTGAACAAGCATTAAATTTCTCACTTTTCCAGAAGCCATCAAGGGATCACTCAAGTGGTCTTACCAACTCTTAAGTGCTCCATTGAATAAGTGAAATCATCCCTATAGACATTTGAACCGTTCCAAGCGATTTAGTGGTCACTAAAGTGGTCATAGCGCCTCCTTAGTGATCTCTTGAAAAGGCATTACATTTCTCACTCTTCCAGAAGCCATTAAGGGACCACTAAAGTAAAATGGGGGGGAATAATGCGTCTCAATCACCTTCTTCTCATTCGGGCCTAGAAAAAGTAGGAGAAAACTTACAAAATCGCTAGAAACACGATTCATTTTTGGTTAAAAGAGGGGCTGAAGAAACAGAAGTGTGAAGAAGACGTCAGCCGGCCTTCGAAGCCATCACCTTGTTGTAGTCGGTGATGAACGTGTTGATCTCTGCTTGCATCGTCTGTGAGGAGAAAAAATGTAGGAAAATTAGGAAAAGGTATATAAACCCTTCCGAAATTAGATTTCAATCTCTGAAGCCTAAAAAATTGATTATAACCAGATTTCTGACTCAAAGCTAGTTGTTAAATGAAACTGATGAGAAATTTTCAAGGCTGAATTTTTTTTTCGAGCACACTTTCCTGTTTCTTAAAGTTGGAGCTATAAAATTTTAATATCAGAGCCCTAAAAACTTTAACCAGAACCTCAAGGTGAACGTTAAAATCTTCAATTTCCTAATTCGGGAAAATAAACCACACGAACCTCCTTGTTCTCAGCCAGCGTGAGCATGACCCGATGCATGAACAAGTACTGGGCGTCCGTCTGCACGGATCCGTGTCGCTGACTGCGAATGTCGCGCACGATCTCCTCCATCGTAATCTGTCCCAACGAAAAAAGGTGCCAGGTTTTTCGGAAAACATGTAAAAAATCTTAATATGTTCAATTCTTCTGGTCGCAATTGGAATGGCTCAAGGCGTTGCGGTACTTGTCAAAATTTCAAATATCCCACTTGGAGTGTCGCTATTCTTATATATCATTCAATAAGACTTGAAAAAATCGAAAAATCTTTTATTTTTGTTCGAAGAATTGTTTTGATCATATTTCAAAGCCAATAGTACAATATAATGGCTAGATGGTCGCAAAGCGGTAACCCTAAAAGTGCACCCGACCAGAAACGACTTTCGCGGGCTGGCATAGGATTTAGTGGAGCCAGCAACATCAGCTCATGGGTGATATTTAAAACTCTAACTGTGGTTGAAAAAAAAAAACCACGAAAGTGCACCCGACCAGAAAACGACTTCCGCGCGCTGGTATAAGATTTAGTGGAGCTAGGAACATATTGTCAGTTCATGTGGTGATATTTAAAACTCCTACTGCAGTCGCAGATCGATAATCATAAAAGTGCACCGGACCAAAAACGACTTTCGCGGGCTGGTATAAGATTTTCGTAAACTCTAACCGCAGCGCGACCGCAACGCATTGATCCATTCTACATGCGACCAGAAAGATTCAACAAAAAACTTTGGGCTTTTCTTGTTCAAATATTCCTTATTATCGAAACAAATTTCCTAGCGATCTCCGTTTTATTCGAAAAAAATAGTTTCAAAACTTTAATCTGAATGAAAGATGCGCTACATGAATATTCGAAATGAGCTTTAACCAGAATTTCAAATATGAGAAAGTTGTAATTTTACACATCTCGTCACTTCAAACCAAAGAAAATTCCAGTGGAACATTCTTGAGATGAAAGATTCTGAATAATTTACACTATAAGGGGCCATTTTTTGACAAGCTGTATGTATTTTGACTTTCGTTGGTTTCATTGGGTTCAGAAAAAGCTTGAAATGTTTTTTTCCGCGATTACATTACTTTGCGAATCTCATTTTGTCCTTGCGTATGCTCATAAATGGCGCAGATTTGTTCTTGCGCCAATTAGGCCTAATGGCTACTTTTGGAGCGGAAAAAGGTTTATCAATAATTCGGAACTTCGGAATGAAAAAGGGCTGATATTTTTTTATTCGTGAATTTTTTGAATCCAAAACCCAAGTCGCATGAATTCGGCTAATTCTCATAGAGACATTCTGGAAGCTCTCCAAGTAATATTTCAACTAGAAGAACTACTCAGGTAAAGAATGGGAAGCTTCAGCTTTCGGTTCCTCAGAAGACGTTTGGAAGCTTTCCAGTAAGTGGTCGAACGCCTTTCACATAGCTTCCTGACACCTTCTACTCAGATAAAAAAAGCCTGCCGGAAGCCTTCCAGATCCAGAAGCTTTGTAGCAGGCTTCTGGAAGGCTTCTGGCAGGCTTTTCCTCTTATCACCGTCTAAATAATTTCCAAAGACTTTTAAGGAGTTTTTCCAGTATGACTAGCTCAGTAAGAGGAGAAGTTAGTATGGCTAAAAGTAAGAAGAACCTTAGTCGAATCAAAACCTCAGAACAGCTCGAAAGTTTCAACCTATATCCCTGAGAAGAGCATCTAGTAGGGCTAAAAGTCCGAGAACTATAGTTTGACTCTCGGCTCCTCTTTCAAACAGACATGTTACTTCAAAAAGAAACATGAGGATAGCTGAGGCTCGAAAGTCAGTCTGACTATGATCTTTGAAACAAAGTTCCTTCCTGTGTCAGTAAAAAGGGCTTCTAGTGAGGTTCAAAGTCAGGCAACCTTAAATATGACTCAATTTTTGCTTTGGCTCGTCTTTCAAACAGATTTCCGCAAAAAAAGGAAAAGAAGAGTAATTGAAGCTCAGCTGAATCTAGTGACACTTCAAGCCTAATTTTAAAAAATAGCATGGCTATAAGTTGTCCGTGATTTTTTGCAGCATGCAGTAAAAAACTTAAATTTTAATCCAAACTGGACCGGTCTTCATTAAAGTTTCTTAACATCACTGGTCGAAATCAAGATGGCTGAATCCCAAATAAAACTTCTCTGAGGCCACTCCTGATCTTGGAAAAAGACTATATCTAAGATGACCTCAGAAGACTTGACCGAAAATTGGAGTCGATGTAAAATTCAAAAGAAAAGTTTCAAAACGACTGGAAGAATTTCAACCTGATCATATAGTACTAAAAAGATCTGGAAGCAGCCACCGAAATTCGGTCCACAGGTATCCGAAAAAAATAATACCTTTTCTCCCTTGATGTACTTGTCGTAGGCGATTTCGAGGCCGACAATCGTCCCGGTCCGGCCGATCCCGGCCGAACAGTGAACAACGACGGGATGCGCCTTGCGGACCTTGGCCAGGAGTCGAAACGTCGCCATGGGCACTTCGGGAACGCCTCGGTCAGGCCAGGCCTTCCACTGGTAGTGGTCAACGATGTGGGTCTTCTCCGACTGCGTGTCCGTCAGAGTGAACTTCATCAGGATGATGCTCTTCTCCAGCTCGACCGCCGGCGTTGTCAGCTTCACCGTCAGCTGATTGTTGAGCAGTGATAACTGAAGACACTCAATCAGAACTTCGTCATTCTGGGAGAAATACCGGAGTTTCAGCCTGCTCGGGCCAGTACATCTCGCACTTCTTCCGGCCGAGTTCGAAAAGGTTGCAAAGCATCAAAATGACCGGCGGCTTTTCCTGCCAAATCATTCGCCAAAAATCTTCGATCGTTTTTTCAGTGGGACCCTGGAACAAATTGGATGTTGGTAAGAGCTGGTCAAGCCATCAAAGGGTCTCGTTTTCGGGAGAAAGAAGACGGAAAAAATGAAATTCTCAATCTGGATTTCGGTCCGTTCACTTTTAGCGTTCAAAATTAATCTTGTCTGAAGGAAAATTTATCATAGACTGGGGATCGTCCCTGGTAAGGAATTTTCTGATTTTTTTCTTTCTTCAGTTTCGGAGAGCATCAATAAAAGTCTGGATGATTTATTTTATGAAAGGGTCGGGTTACTGGTTAGTGTATCCTCTGCTGAGTCAGGGAAAAAACATTTCATGAATGTCTAAACCTCTTCTTTTCGCATTATGCCTCGCCTAAAGATCGTCACTAGTTGTTTCAAGTCAGCGGTGAGCAAACTATAAACTCTTTGGGCTAATTTTTTAACACGATTTTTGATCTAAATCTTTCTAAAGGTCTCTGACGATGATTTGGCCTCAAATAAACCCCTTTTTTTTATTCTTCGGTATAGTTGATTCACGGCTTGAGCTATCCATAAAAGGGTCCTGACACGATAATGCACGAGATAGTGCCTGGCTGATGGAGAGCACAGACAGGCCACGCTCCTTTAGCCGTGAACCGGACTTTCTGAGCACTTCTGGTAGTCACTTAAGAGTACTAACGCCCCTAAAAGGATCACTAAGAGTGCTTCAGGTACGATTTTTTTTTACGAGATTTGTCAACAGAGCGCAAATGACAATTTCCGAAACCAACCTGGGTACAAATATAGCGGTTGGTTCCTTCAGGTCCTCTCACCCAATTCGCGTGAATATAGTCGTTGGCCCCTTCTGGATACTTCAGAATCACGCGGGTTTCGTCGATACAGTAGACGTCTGTCGTTTCAAGATTCAGAATCGGAAAAATTTTCGAAAAATTCAATCCGTTCAGTTTTTGAATGTCAAGTGCAATGACGTCATTCGAAAATGCTCTGTGGATGGTTCGCTCTCTGATTGGTTTATCGCGCCATTAGGGGGGAGTTTGAGCAAGGACTTGACATTGAAAATCTGAACAGACTATATTCGCTGGTCGAATTTCCCTCTACAGGGGTCCATTTTTTGACTTTTTCAGTTGCCTATTATGATTGAAAAATTGGTTCCTCTTTCGTGAAAATTCATATTTTTCTGTACAATTTTTGTTGTGGGTTCAAAAATAATGTGTCTTTTTTTTTCCATTCGTCTCTAGGGGAAGGTCATTTTTCTTTTCCGGTTGCGAATTTGACCAAAAATGGCAAAATACCATATGAAGGTTCTGACAAGGGAGGTCAGTTGGGAATTTCCTGAAAATTGGCCAGAAAAAGCTTTGATGTGCCATAAAAAGAATCTGAAAGTCTCAAATTGCACAACTTGATAGTTTTTAAGAAATGAGCGCTCAAAGTCTCAAAATGGCCTATTTTTACGGATTTTTGGTGTTTTCTTCGACTTTGAGGTGTCTTTTCTTAAAACTAGGATTTTATGCAGGTTAAGGCTCCTAGGATCTTCAACTGGTACATTGAGAAGGGTTTTGACCAAGTTTCAGGGATTTCCTAACCGCAAAGTAGAATGATATCCCGTGTGAAGTTCCCAAGCGTTTCAGCCAAAAACTTCTAAAATTCGAGAAAACCGAGGAATCCAAAAAGCCTCAGATTTTTAATGTCAAGTGCAATGACGTCTATCGAAAACGCTCTGTGGATGGCTCGCTTTCTGATTGGTCTATTCCCCAATTGGGGGCGGAGCTTGAGGACTTGACCTTCAAAATCTGAACAGACTATACTCTGACCAGTTCTGATAGTGTTTTTTTTTTCTCTTTCGGGATTCCAGGACTTTCATCTAGTACACCAAAGAGTATGCTAGTAAATCATCCGGAAGCAAAATTGGAATATTTCACGCAAAATACGAGACTTCCACACCTTTGTAGCGATTCCTGTCCGTGTGGCTATCATGGGCGGTTTTTGGTTTGGTGCAGGGCTGCGTTTCCAGACGAATCTTGTCGAACGCCTCGGAGATACCTTTAACGCCGAGCTGCAATTCGAAAATTGAGATTTTATTGCTTATTGGCGAAAACTTGAGATAGTTAGGAATTTTAGAGTGGTCCCTATAGGGTCAGGGAGAAAAACAGCTACTACAGGCGCCAAAAAAGTGGTCACTATGGGGGTTAAGATTCTGATCCCATAGCCCCTAAAGCGTAAGGGCTCCCTATAGGGGCAACTTTATTCAGAAAAGTTTCAGTTTTTCGTATGGAAATGCTTCTTCGCATACCGTTCATAAAAATTATCGACTATCATGTCCCCTATAGGAGCCACTAACTAAAAATCCAACCAGGGGTTTTAGAGTGGTCACTCTAGGGGTGAGGAAGAAAAACAACTCCTACAGGCGCCGCAAAAGTGGTCTCTATAGGGGTAAAATCAAGGCGGTCCCTATAGGGGTTCAGAGTCTGACCCTTAAGCCCCTAAAGCGTAAGTGGTCCCTATAGGGACAATTTTATTCAAAAAAGGTAATTTTTTCAGTGTTTCGTATGAAAATGCTTCTTCGCATAGAACTCATAGCAATTATCGACTATCATGTCCCCTATAGGGGCCCCTTTTGCAAGCCTTAGTGGACCCTATAGGGGTTTTTTTTTATCTCTTCAAGCCCCAAAAAACTTCGGCTCAACCTAAAAGGACGTGGAAAAACGACCAAACTTGAAATTGTATAGTTTCACTGACGGGGAAAGTCGTTTTACATTTTCCGGTTGGGAACTTTCTGAATACTGGCCAGAACACTCCTTGACGAAGGTTCTGAAAGTCTCAACCTGCAAAACTTCCTAGTTTTTGAGAAACAAGGGTCTAAAGCCCCAATATAAATCCTTTCAATGGATTTTGAGAGTTTTCTTTGAAATTGCAGAGTCATTTTGGAAACTAGAATTTTGTGCAGGTTGAGACTTTCAGGATCTTCATCTGGTACGTCAAGGAGTGTTCTGGCCATTTTTCAGGAACCGCAAAGTAAAATGACCTCCATTGTGAGTGCTTCTGTTGACATGTTGTTTTGATGTTCAAAGGCATAGGGGCAGTAAAAAACGGTTTTTCAGTTCAAATCAGTAATTTGTAGAGTTTTTCATTGCGAATCGAACGGTGAACTGAAAGGAAAGCTTGAATTCCCGCCAAAAAGGCGTTTTGCAGTAAAGTTGCTCTATGGACAACAGGCTTCTCCATCTCTCGGATTTTCGCTTTTTTCTCCATTTCTTTCAATTTTCAATTTTTTCTGTTGTCACCAAAGTTCTTTTCGTCACAAAAGCTTTCTATTCATGTATAATTTGCCAACTTTGACCGCAAAAATGCTTTTCTGGTGAAAAATGATGATTTTACACAGGTTTCGATTCGGATAGTGATTATTTGTGTTTTCTTTATTATTAATGTGTGTTTTCTGTTTTCTTAATCAATTTTTCAGAGAAGAAACCCTCAATTTGAAGCAGATATCCGGTTATTTCTCACAAAATGCGAGTCTAATGAGACGTCCGCAACATCGCGTGCACGGCTACTGTAAACATTTGTCCGTATGCCGATCCAAAGCATTTTTCAAAATTAATGGCGGGAAAGCGAATCGCGTTTTTCTTCTAAAGTTGTCACATCTTTAATTTTCAGAGTACACAGTTCGATTCGCAAAGAAAAACTGTATAAGATACTGCTTTCACCTGAAACCCCGTTTTTTACTGCCCCTATGCCTTCAATGAACTATTCGAGATCCACGAGGGAGAAAGAAAGCGCAGACAGGTCAGGCTGAAGGATAGACACCTCGCAGGTGCTTTTGACGAAATTCCGAACGGTATCCTTGTTCTCCAGCAGAGTGACGACGACGGACGTGGTGGCGCGATCTCTGGTCGTCTTCGATGGAATTTTTTGAGGGGGTTGTTTGTTAGTCGGTCTCTCCACTTGGGTCCCATCTTCAGGCTTTGGCCCGGGTTGCGACGACGCTTAATCAAAAAACTTGATTTCAAAAACAAAAATGCAATGAGAATGCACACTGTAAGCAGAAACAAAGAAAAGAAAAAAAGTTTTTTTTTTAAAATTTTTTAGTGGCCACTTTAGGGTTTTTGACGTTTTAGGGGCCACTATAGTAGTCAAATTAGTGGCCACTTAAGGGGTTAAAAATTAGTGGCCACTATAGAGGTCTAAGTGCTACTCCTAGACCACAAAAATTTTACTGGCCACTTTAGGGGTCAATGGATCAACATAACTGGTCAAATCTGTTTGTTTTAAAATTATCAGAGTTACGGGAAGGAATACTGGATGAAAAACTACTGAAGTGGCCACTAAAACGGAAAATAGTGGCCACTATAGAGGTGGGTTTAGTGGCCACTTTAGTGTCCTCTCCAAGTAGTCCTTGGCGAGTTTACCCACCTTTTGACCGCGGCTGCCTTACTCTTGATTGGGTTGATTTAGACATACAACTGAAATCGATCAATTTATTCTCATTTTTCGAAATTTCGTTGTCCCTTTACTGTCGAAACAGGCGACTAGACCTCTACATTTTGCTTGCTATTTCGTCGCTTAGGACCCCTTTTGAAAATATCGGAGATTGGACTATACAAACCTTTCGTGAAAACGTTGAGCTGCCTGGTCTCACAAAACAGAAAATGGCGTCGGATTCACGGCGAAACGCTTTTTTTATATGTAATATTCTTTTTCGATTTCTGAAGTTCACGTTCCCACGTGGATGCGTTGGAATTAGGTGAGAAGGAATTCCTGATGCATCCGAGCGCAAGTCGTTTTGGGTCGGCAGCTGTTTCAAGTTTCGACCCATCTTATTCGCGACCATGAGCTTTCGAGTTGAAGCGAATATAATATATTTAATGTAAATTTCACGGATTACGGTTTGCTAGAAGTGGGTATAACGAAATCACAACGAAATCCAATTTTTGCTTTTCCTCTTAAAAACCATAAAAGAAGTCCAAAAAAGCAGGTTTCATTATATTTCGAGCAATAGTTCAAACACAGATTCGGTCCATCCTTTCAGACTGTTCTCCGTTTCATCGACGTGTTTGACGGCGTCAGTTTCCGTCGTGTTCTTCAGCTTCACACATTTGATAGTTCGCAGAAGGAGCTGTAAAAAACTGGGATTTTTCGAGGTTTTTGGGAAAGGAAAAAGACTTTCTCCTGAAACGTAGCCAGATCCAGAAAAACTTCAAGTTTTGCTAGCTGTAAAACAATCGCCTAGAAATGCGTCCGACCTGAAACGGTTTACGCCGTGAGCCAAGACAGCGTTCCATCCCCCCTTCATGATATCCTCTCCAGGGCCGACTATGCGCCTTTAAAATTCGACCAATTCCAGTTCACTTTTTCCTACCTGCAAAAGCTTCCTTGTCGCGATGATACCAACAATCTTTCCGGCAAAATCAATATATGAACTTTCCGGTCGCCAATCGGGTAGCCATCGAATAATTGGACAGTCAGGACCATCGATGGTTAAATTGAAATTTCCTTGCTGGAAAATATGAAAATTCGTCGATTTCAAAGAGCACCCAATTTAAAATATTTTCGAGACCATTTTTAAAACCGCAACGCGACCGCGACGCTGCGACCCATTCCAGATGTGACCAAAATTTGAATAAAATAGGTAACTAATGAGAGAAGCTTGTTCAATTAGAAAAAAAAAACGCGTTTTCCTTTCAAAAATATATAATTTCCCTAAACTTTCCCTACATCGATTTTAGCACTTGTGTGTGGGAAATGAAATATATTGATTGATTGATTGAAAAAACTCAATTTCTTTGATCTCTCTGTCCCTCTCTGTACATTATAATGTTCATTGAAAAATTTTAACTTCTCGAAAAGTTCAATATCTTTTTTTGAAGATTCAAACTAATATAAAGAGTTTCAAACCGTTTCTTTTTTTGAAAAAAACCTTTTTTTGGGCATAAAAAAATATGAAAAAAACCTTGAAAGCATATCGTTGATCATAGAAAGCGAGGTGCTCGACGAGTTCCAAATGCTCTGCCCAACAGCCGATAATCGTTATAGATATAACGAAAATCGTCAAACAGACAATCATCGCCGCTATTAACTTGATTAGAGCTGAAACAATTAGAATGATCATCTACCGTTTGGACTTTTTTGTTCAGGAAATGAAAAAGGTAAATATAGACAAGGTAATTTTTTGCTATAACCCATTCACGGCTAACTTGGAAGGCTGAGGAGGCGTGGCCTGTCTGCGCTCTCCAAAAACCAGACACTATTTCTTTTATTATCGTGTCAGGACCCTTTTTGGATAGCTTCAGCCAGCCGTGAACCAGCTATAGTATGTATTCAAAATTTTATCATGTTCTTCTAGAAAATGGGTCAACCCGGAAGTTTTCAGTGTAACCGACCGAAAGCTACTTGCGCGCGGTGGTACCTTGAAACATAGTAAGTTAAGCGAGAAGGTTTCGAAACATGGCAAAAATCGTCTAAACTGGTATGAATAGTCATTCGTAATTGACATTTTTCGACAAGTGGTTTTACCCCTAAAAATATTGAGCTAACTATTTTTAAACTTTAAAATTTCAAACCTCTCTTATACTGCCTCTTCTTATAATCCCTCAGTTGATAAACGACTTCTTGAAGTTTTTTTGCCGGGCGATTTCATGGTCGACAAGATTTTTGAGAGCATTTTCGTCCAGTGGGACACGTATTTCTTCCTCAAATCTCGTAATTATTTGATTAAAGTCTTTTCAAGACTCCTTAGTGAACTTTTTCTAAGCAGATAAGGAGCAAAATTTTTTTAAAAATTTTTTAAGACTACCTTAAACGCTCTAAAGACCTTCTTGAACTTTTCCTAGCGCCTTTAAAAATCTCAGAAACGAAAACTAAATAGTATATGAAAATAAACCTTCAAATCAAACGGATAAGTACTGGCGACCGGCATGAGTAACGAAAAGCAGCCATTTTCTCATGAACATCTTGGATTTCACAACAATGCCGCAGGCGCCAGCTGTTGAGCTCCAGTTATTGATTTCAGAGTTTGCCGGATCATTTTGAAACTGAAGTGATCAAATGGTGGAAAAAGGATCTTTGACCAAAGGGTGGAAAAAGGATCTTTGGCCAAAAAAGAAAACGCTTCGCTTCTTTCAAAGACCCAAAAGGTAAGTTCGAAAAACCTTAAGTATCCTATAGGCAAAATCTGAGGTAGAGTTAGGCGCAATAAAGAAAAATTCTCTGAAAAATCTTGTCAAAAATGGAAAAAAACTTTAAAAAAAAACGCTTTTTTTATACAGTCCCGTAGAGTGTTCCTCCGTGGCATTTTAGGGGTGCACTTTTCTTAGTCCAATCACCACAGTTTGGAAGAAAAGCCTTCGTTCTCAATTTCCTTTTTTTTTTTGAAGAAGAACTCATATTGACCAGACAACTCTTTTTTTCTATGACCTCATCGGTGAGGAAAAAGAGACGCAGACAGGTAACTCTAACAAAAATGAGGGTATACCCCGCAGAGAACCCCGAAAAAAGTGGATTTTTTGTTGATTTTTTCGGTGCACCCCGCGTTGGACCTGGATGGCGTGAATCCCTGGGGCAACCGGTCGGAAATAAAAGTTTCATTGAGCTACCGTAACAGCCAAGGGGGATACTGTAGAAAACGGTGACCTTAGGAAACAAACCGCTTCGAAATCGTGTACTGAATAAGCATCTTAATAGGTATTCAAAGCTAAACGGGGTGCACCCCTTATAATACTGCGGGGTGCACCGAGAGTTCGACGCGGGGTGCGCCTCAACTTTTTGTTAAAGATGTCAAGAAAAATGGAAAAAGAAAATGAACGTGGTTCAAAAATTTGAAAAAGAACGTGATCGAACCAAGAATCACATTTATTTTATAAGATCGCTCCGATGGTATGAGATTCTTTCTCTTTCTGATTGGAACCTTTCTTGGCGCCTACGCCATCAAGTCTCTTTCGTCGGAATCTTGCCAAGTATTTTTTGTGTCATTATTTTTTTCTTTGATCATTTGAAAGGTACTACCTAATCTTACCTTCAGAGTATTGACGTGAACGGGTGGTTAGAGTCTTCCGATGGGAAGTTCGATCAAGATTGCCTCAGTGGAAATCCGCCGATTCTCTGTAACACGGAAGCTCTGAAATGCGGTCAGGAGAAATGTTGTGTGTGTAAGTATTCATTTAATTTTGAGTTTTCCTAGATCAAAAAAAATCTTTGCAAATCCAAGTATGTAATGTAAGACAGCCTCTCTATCTCTTTTACCGACCATGCATGTCCAGAAAAACGGACTTTTTTGTCTCGATAAAAAAATTGAAAATTAAATGCTATAGCTGATTCACGGCTGGCTGGAGCCATCAAAAAAGGGCCCTGACGCGATGAGAAAAGAGACAGTGCCTGGTTCGTGGAGAGCGCAGACAAGCCACGCCCCTTAGTGTCGCAAGCTAGCCGTGAATCGGCTATAATTTCTACAAGGATGTTTCTATTTTGTTTAAGCCTCACTTATTTTTTCGATTCGCAAGGAATTTGCAGCCGAATCGTCATGTGGAGGTCGGTTGCTCGGAGAATCGCCGAAGCTTTGTCAAAGTTCTAGCGATTGCCATCTGAAAAACGGCGTTGACGTCGATTGCGTCGAGGTACCTTGAAATTGTCAATTTTCAATGAAAGATTCTGGGTTTCTGGTCTGAATCGCATTGCGTGAACCATAACCAATTGCAGAAACAGGCGGAAAGGCCGCTTTTTTCGGGGGTAGGCCACTGTTTGAGGGGGTAGGCCGCACCCCGGGGTGGGATCCAGCCGACATATAGTCTGTTCAGATTTTTAATGTCAAGTGCAATGACGTCGTTCATAAACACTCTGTGGATGGCTCGCTCTCTGATTGGTTTATCGCACCATTATGGGCGGAGCTTGAGCGACCACTTGAAATTCAAAATCTGAACAAACTATATGACCTCGGCAGCGTGGTTAGCTTTTTCACCTATGGTTAATGAGATCCCGGTTCGATCTCCTCTACAAGAGGCGCAATAATCTTGAAATACTTTGCCAAACTGACGAGAGCCACACCGCATATTCTCAGAGAACCTGATATTTGATCCCCACGCCAAATTTTTTTTCTCAGGGAGTCTGTTGCCCCAAAGTCATCGTCAAAAGGGAGGATGACGATTCAGGTAATGTATTTGACTGAAAAACTAAAAAAAGGGGTTATTAGTTTGCCCTCTTAGTCAGGAAACTGTTTTTCCCTGCACCTGCGACGCAAAAACGTGTGGCTGCTCTTATTCAAACTACATTTGTACGAGTTACGGACCGAAGAAAGCAACTCGGCAGCAAAGAAATCACTGTTGTCGTGAGTTTGCCTCGTTCTCTTCTATTCTCTTCTTATTTTTCTTCTGACCGCTTGAGCGGCGTCGGCAACCCAAGTCGATTAACCGAGGTCCTATCCTGATACTTACTCACTCATTTAGATACTTAGATTGTCCATCTAAGACTTTTTATTGATCTAAACGTGGACCACACGTTATCCAGCAGGTCCGGTCTTATGCAATCGGTCATCCAAATTCGACCTGGTTGACTCGCATTCTTGCGAAAAAGTTCCATCCATGGTGTTGCACATGTTATAGCATAATTGTGGTCTGATTTTCCTATTTACCTAGTCAGGGCTAAAAGACCGCCATTCTGTTTGTCGCTATCTTCTTTCCTATTAATTTTTTTGACGAATTATGATGAACATATCGAAATTCGGGGCGCGCCATAGCACAACAGGTCGTGTACCTGTCTATGGTGACACAACAATGTCACAAGTTCGATCCCCGCCTCGACCTAACCAAGGGGTTTAAGAAATGTTGGTAGTGGGGAAGTATGGCTTCAAAAATCCCCAGGCGTCACACATAAGGACGGATATGTCACTAGAGCCAGTCCACTGGTTATCAGGTTAGGAGCTCGGCTAGTCGACTTGGGGCGCTCGAGCGGTACAAAGGCGTAGGAAGACGAAGAAGAATAACATATCAAAATTTCATTGATAAAACCGTTCCGGAATTGTTCGGTGGCCGTGATCTTTCAAAAATCACAGAAATTGTTTTTTGAAGGTTTATTGAAGTTACGGCATGCCGGACATGACGTTGAAAAGTCCAAAAATACCACTTGAATTCATGGATAGATCTTATCGCTTGGCTAAATGGCTTGGCTTGGCCACCTTACCGAACCTCCACCTATGCCGCAATGACCAAGCTCAAAAATAATTTATTCATTACGCTGACACAACTGCACATTTAATTTTGAACTTTAGCGATAGTCAAGTGTTCGACGGGAATGTATGCCGGAATCGTGCACGAAAAAGAGTATCTGACTGAATTCACAGGAAACAGGCTCAATACCTATGCAGAGAACAATCTCATGTGTAGTGAGTTACTCATACAAGTCTTATTCCATCTCGAACTCAAATCGGTAGTATTAAACAGTCTTTACCAAAAGAAAAACTGTATTTTTATACACACACAGGAGGTCGATACAAGTAGGTACGGGGTAACAAATTCAAAGTCAATCGTCGCATGGTAATCGGTGGTCGTTTGTATGCGACCGGGTACTATCTCTTTTGTACCTGGATACTACCGGAGAGGTATCGCGATGCTACGGGTATGATTCGACCGTACGCTTTCCGGTACCATGAAAGTGGCTAAAGCTAGGTATCGGGTAGCTCCCCGGTACCTACTTGCATCGGTCTCCGGGTTCATCTTAGCGTGAGCATTTATAAGTAAAGCCCGCTCAATTTTTTCCTCTAACAACAACCATATTCGAGCATATATTTGGGTCGATCATAAGCTCATTCACGGCTTCATTGGGAAAATGAGGGGGCATGGCCTGTCTGCGCTCTCCACGAGCCAGTTACTATCTCGTACATTATCGTGTCAGGACTCTGGTGAATCGAAAGGTAGATACAAGTAGGTACCGGGTAGAAACCCAAGTCAATCGGCGAATGGTAATCGGTGGTCATTTGTATGCGACCGGGTACTATCTCTATGGTGCCTGGATAGTACCTGGGTGGTATCTTGATGCTACCGGGTATGTACCTGAAATTCGCGATTGCCACTGGCTGGCACATTGGTCGTGTATATAGCATCAGTGTTTTTTTACACCTTCCAAGCCTGCCAGGGTCATAATTGGATAAAGCTGAAACAAAAAATAACGACCCTGGAAGCAATTCCAGACTTTCCAAAAGAAATCGCGATTGTCAGGTAGCTACCCGGTAGCTACTTGCATCGATCTCCGACCCAGGTAGCATAGAGATAGTACCCGGTCGCATACAAACGACCACCGATTACCATACGCCGATTGACTTTTCAAAAGTTGCTACCCGGTAGCTATTTGTATCGACTTCCCGATTCACCTTTGAACCCTTTTTTCGATGGCTCAAGGCAGCCGTGAATCAGCATCAGCTATTTTTGATTCGTTGAAAAGAAGCCGGAAAATTGTCTGATTGATGAGATTTCAACCGAAGTAAGGAAAGAAAGGTCTTGTTTTCAGATATTCCACTGCCCTACCTTCTCAGAAGACTCGTTTTCGGATACAAGGAAGAGATTAAAAAAAAAGTTCTCAAGAATCGAAACCATTGGGCTATTGGATTCGATAAAACGAAAAGAGGACCATTCAAAAAATGTGCAACAAATAGCGACTGCGAAGAAGACCAATATTGCGATCACGTATTGACGGAATTTTTCGCTAAGGACGAATACTACGACAAGACGAACGAAATGAAAGCCTGCTTCAAAAGTGGGAATTTTTGAACTGTGAAATTATTTTCTCAGGTTATCGCAGATCTATCGCAAGCAGGCACTAGAAAACTTTCTCTGATCAAATTTTTGATTACCGAGGAGTCTGTCGAAAACACCTGAAAAATCTTTATTTCGAAAGATTTCAGTGGGTGAAGGGGGGTAAAAAAACGGTCCGTGTTCAGATTTCGAGTTGAAATGGTTAAGCATTCAGAAATTTTCAGTTCCCAAACTGTACGGTAAAGTTTTGAAAGACAAAACCTACGGCCTTCAGATGTGTAACGGGTAAGTCTAGAACTTGAAAATAAATCTCATCACTTTCTTTAAGACTCACCGAGTGCATGGCTCCTTCGCACTATTGCTTCCATGGATTTCGTAGTTTTTCCCGAGTCAATGAGGACCCTATTGAAAAAAAAGGGATCTGCATGGAAGGTTTGTCTGAGCGAATCTTCGAAAAAAAAAAGCCGCACCTTTCGAAAAGAATAATTTGATTTTGACGACCCACAACGATGGCTCTTTTGTCGTTATCAGTCAAATCCTTTTTTCCAGAGGTTCTTCCCATGTCTGAAAACAGGAAAAAAACATATGGCAACATTATTACTTTTAAAAAATTTAATAAAATAAATAAAAATAAAAGCATAAAAACAAAAAAAATTGAATTCAATAAAAAATGCCTAAAATGCGTCATAGTGATTGCGGACATGTCTTTGTATACCGTATATATTTCAAAGTATATTTTACATTATCCCTGGAAGTTATATTTGAATCGGATGAGTATTCGCTGAGATATCCCCAAAAAACCAAAACTTAATATACTTTTGAGCGGTACTGTAGTTGTTCTCCCTGAATTTTCTATCGTAAACAAATTTTTTTTTCAGCACCGATAAAATTATGCAAACGCGGAAAGGATTGTGCCCCAGATGAGTACTGTCATGGCATTCTGAAGGCTTTAACTGAACTGGGTCATGCTGGAGAGAGTGCAAAAAAACGTGCCAAAAAAACGTTTGTTTTTCCCAATTTTTTTCGGAAATTACAGAAATCAGAATTTTCGGGATTTTCATGAGCATTCGTTTCGAAAAAAAAAAAAATTAACTTTAAAATTATAGTTCCAACTGTGCCAGGATTCATTCAATACCATATATATGGCAGAGATCCAATGTTTTGTGAAAAAAAAAGACATTGCCGGTCATACGCAAAGTGCCACCCTCTGGATCACAGCATTTCGCCAATTCAACCACAAGGAGTTTGTATTCACGGTAAGTTCAGTTCCTTCTGTAGAAAGAAAAAAAAAATAGTCTGTTCTGCCGCACTTGAAAGGCATTGAACGTACGGATAGAGTGTCTGATTGTATTCAAGTGTAGGGGGTGGAATGTTTCTCATTGTTTAATCACCTTAAATTAATAAATGAAATGATGATGCTCTAATCTTGTTCTCCTTACGCCTTCGTACCAGTTGAGCGGCGTCGGCGGTGTCGATTCCTATGCTGATATCAGTGATAATCAATGGAATGCCTCTAGTGTCATATCCGTCCTTGTGTGTGACGGCTGGGGATTTTCGAAGTCGTGGTCTCCCACTACCAACATTTCTTGAACCCTTTGGTTGTGGGCGGGGATCGAACTTGTGACCCTGTGGACCGTAGACAGGCACAACACCTGTTGCGCTACGGCTCGCCGATGGTGCCCTAATCAAGAGATAGTTATTAAAAAATCTCTCTCTCGCGTTTCCTCTAGACGAATAACCGCTCTATTCTGTCAAAATTGATTCAATATGGTCTTTTGAAAATTGAAAATTTTTTCAAGATCTTCATTTCGATGGAAAAAAATACTCGACACCTTTTCCTATTTATAATGGAAGTAAGCAAACCGAATGTCAAACCGATAGGCAGTGCCGAAGATCGAGCTTTTTGACAACTATGATGTCGCCTGAAGCAGACATCTACACGTAAGACTTTGGAAACAAAGTTTCTTTAATTCAAATTTGCAGATATAAGTGCGTGCCTGTGAAAAACTTGACTCTCTGTATTCATGGTGGGTTCATGAAATCAACACGCTTCACAATTTTCATCAAGAAAAGAGTTATTTTGGTAACGGGGAGGGGTTGAACGCAATCTTTAAAAATTAATATCTCAAATACTAGAAGTTTGCCCAGGTAACGACTATGGGGGATCTTCATCTGGAGAGTGTTTGAGCCAATATGTGGAAAAATCCAAAGTTCAAAGTAAGAATAAATCTCGTAGAAGTAGAGTCTTGTTGATGAAGGCAAATTTTTGAAAATGGCAGCGCTTAAATGAAAAGCTTTTCATAACCTTCCGAGTCAAAATCAAGGCTACTTCTAGTTTCATCTTAAAAATCAAAAAAAAAAATCGCCTTGGCGTGTTTTGCCGACGTCAAACCATTTCAAGTCAAGACAGTATGATTTCAGAAATGCTCGATCAGTCCAACTGTACAACAGGTGAAATTGCGGTGGCCGACGTCGATGGCGTCACGCCGAAATGTATACCAGGAACACTGAGACCTCAAGATTTCCCTTATTTGAACCCTCTTCCGGGGGCTCCAGGGATTCCTTTGGATAGCGGAGCTGTATCGAGCTCTGAAGCTTCCGCCGCACAGGTGAATAATAAATATTTTTGCATCAACCACTATTGTTGATTTCATTAAGGTTTAAGGGCGGATTGAAAATGTATCACTCTACTAGATGACTGTGAACAAATGAATTGTTTGAAAACTTAAAAGCTATGCAGTAAAACTTTACTTCCTTTCGACTGTTAGTGATACTCGACCCTCTTTCCCAAGCTTCACAGGCGAATCGGGAGGGTACCATAATGTTTCCACAGAGATACCTCTCAAAATGGATCGTGAGGAACCCATGTGTCCATCGTGAAACCTCCAGCATATCCCTTACCACTTAGCTCTACATATGTGAGCCATCTCGGAGGTACTTGAGAGTGTCTCTGAAGTCTATCTCATTTTGCCCAAGGTCCTCAGAGGATTACTCGAGGTATCATCGATATACTTCAGAAAGTATCACCCTTTCTCTATTCGCCTATTTTTTGAAATGATTTTCTTTGAACGGAAAACTTCCAGAGCAAGAATGAACACGACGAAGGAAGCGACGAAGGAAGTACGAACAAAATCATCGCCATAGTCGTTGGAATCATTTTCCTAACTATCCTCATAATCTGCGGCGTTCTTGGAATCATCATCTACAAGAAGAAGCGGAGAAGACGATGAAAACCGTGCCGCAAAAATTGCCTCTCAGGTTCAGTTACTTATTTCAATTTCCATCAGAATAATTCATGAAGATCTTGACCCCTGACCATAGGTTAATTCTTTCTCTTATCCTCTCTATGGCTCCTTATCTTTATTCTCATTCTTCCTACACCTTGTGGTACCGCTTGAGCGGCCCCAAGTCAATTAGCCGAGGTCCTATCCTGTGAATTAATGGAATGGCTCGAGTGACATATCCGTCCTTGTGTGGGACAGCTGGGGATTTTGAAGTCGTGGTTTTCAACTACCAACACTTCTTAAACCCCTTGCTTGGGTCGAGGCGCGGATCGAACTTGTGACCCTGTAGACCGTAGACAGGCACACAAACTGTAACTCAAAAAGTTCCAGATAAAACTCCAGTTCCGTCGCCTAAGCAGCCTCCTACATTTTTACTTGCTTTTTCATGATCATCATTCTAGTTCGAATATTTTCTTTTAATAAAAGCAGTTTCGCCATTATCGATTGTTATTTTTCATAAATGTCGAAACTTTTGAAATTTCTGTCAAGCGATTTTCCTGCCAACGAGGCGTTCCTGAAATCTAAATTAATTCGAAAATAATCGAATAGACTTCGTCTGGTCTTTCTGGATTTTCTCGTGAAGCCTATTCTGATCTTGAAGGCGACTGTTAGGGAAAAGTCTATCTTAAAATGCGACCGACCGAGAAAGACTTGCGCGCTGGGTTATGCCAAAGCACTGGAGCAAGCTGGTCAAAAGCAGGAGATGATTGGTTTCGGAAAAAAAAATGAGTCGCGGATTTTCAATAAATGAATATGATAAGTGATCGGAAGACCGACAAAAATGAAATAATAAAACAATCAAGACGTGAAAATCGGAAAGGCCCAGATTATCTGAGAAACGCTTATACTGGCAGTCACAGAGAAGCGCGACAAAGTATTCAATGCAAAATCAACGGTGAATCGTTGTTCTGCTTCATATTTTCCTCAAGTACGTGTCGAAATTGCTGAAACTTCAAACTCGGCAGCCCTGGACAAGCTGGGCGCCGTACTGTTCCTGCATGGAGCTCGAAAGTCGTCTACTACTATCACAGAGAGAGGCGTGATGATCTACGCGCCGTATACGCTTGATCAACGACAGTTTCGCGATCCGACAAACAACTCTTCAATTATTCCATGATTCAGCAGAAAACCTTCTCTGAAGACTGAATGAAAAATTCAAAGTTTCAAAAATCACCATTCCCTAGATAGAGAATAGTGAGCTCAAATAACAGTCCAACAATTTCATAGATATATCTTTGGCGTTACTATAGCTTATTCAGTGCTGGTTTGAGCCATCGAAAAAAGGGTCCTGACACGATAAAAAGAGAGACAGTGCCTGTTATTGGAGAGCGCAGACAAGCCACGTCTTTTTGCGTCTGAGCTAGCCGTGAATAAGCTATATCGAACTTTCAAGTTTGATTTATCGATCAAAAGTCAATTTTCACTTCCAGAGACTTCATAGCCACCACCGCTTCTACAGAATACGAACTTTTTTTTCAGAACCGTTCTCCAACTTGAAATTAAGCCAGAATTGCCTTGTTGACATTCTCCATATTTTGCAAAAGCTTGATTATGAAAACGTTAGAAAATAGGAAAAAATGAAGTGGAGAAACGTGAACTTATAGTCATTTCACAACGCAGCAGCGACGACGTCCAATTCTTCGGGATTGCGATGTGGGGAAAGCGTCTGCCTTTCCTGCTTTTTCTTTGCACCACCGCCGTTTTCGCAGAGTTGAAGAAGCGTACGTCATGCTCAACAAGAACTGACTTTGAATTCAAACAGATCAATGTCATGCTTTGAACTAAATTTCGAGGTTAAGTATAGCTGATTCACGGCTGGCTGGAGCCATCAAAAAAAGGGTCCTTACGCGATAAGAAAATTGACAGTGCCTGGTTCGTGGAGAGTGCAGACAGGTCACGCCCCTTAGCGTCCAAGCTAGCGGTGAATCAGCTATAATAGGACAATAGGACAGTAGCATGAGAACCCGACGTGGAAGCTCGAAAATTGGGACTCAGAAGCAGAATTATGACACAAGAGATAGAAAGAAAATAGCCTAGATTATCATGAACGGAATCTGAAAAACGAGTCCAGACATAGAAACTGATGCCGTCATAGCTCTGTTCTGGAGTTTTTTGGCGATTCCGTGATAATTTTGAAGCCTCATTTCTTTCTTTATCTTCCGGAATCAAAAAAATTTACAGTCGAAGACAGCCATTGCCAAACGGGAATGACCGCTGCTGAGAAGCAACTTTCTGGACGGACAGAACCAACAATTTACACGGAGAATGGTGTACTTTGCAGTGCGTATCATCTCATTGTGTTCTAATCTTACATTTCATCACAGGTATACCGCTTCCCTTCACCTTCAAGGCTTTCTACAGATCCAGCCGTGGGTTCGACTTCAGATTCCATCGGGCCATCAACTTTGACAAGAACAATGTATGACTTCGGAATGAGATACTTTCTTATTTGTAAAAATACTCATCTGGACATCTTTGGCACCTCCCTTGTCAGAAAGCTCCTATATGGAATGAATTTTGAATGTTTAAAAAAATTATATATAATGAAGCATCTACTTCGAAACTTCGTTTAGAACGTGGTTTCGAGTGGACTGAAAAAGTGCAGCGAAAATGGAGACTGTGGAGATGGGAACTACTGTGATGATGTCTACAACGTCATTTACCCGACGAAAAAGGAGCCGAATATGCGACTTTGCTTCAAAGGTAATTTTTCCTTTTTCTGGTTAACTCAATTAATGAGGTTTCTATGAGGATTTTGCTTAACTTTTCGCCAATCTTTCAGCACCGGATATGGGCGGAAAGCCAGTGATCGATCCGAAAGCTCTTGGTTTCAGACCATGTTCTGACGTTTGTGTCCCTGGCTCCGTTCTTTGTTTCCATCCACAAGGCCATCTTTTCAACATTCAGGATAATGATAAGACGCTCGGAATGTGCGTTGAAGGTGAGCCAGCTTATCCATTTCGCTGTCTAACTGGAAGTTCTCAGTCAGTCCGAAATCGTGCAAACTCTCGTCCGAATGTCCTGCTGGCGAAAATTGCATGCAGGCGAAACCGAGTGGCTTCGAACCTATTATTCCAATCCATGTATGCGCCGATCCGAAGGCACCTCCGCCCAACCCTGACGAAGATCCGACCACGAAAAAGCCGACAACCAGCAGAACTACAACTGAAGAGCCCGAAGAATCTACCGACGAAGATTACGAAACTGAATCTACCACTGACCCTTACGAATACGAAACTGAAACCATTGCTAACTCCGAAGAAGCTGAATCTACCACGGATCCTTACGAATATGAAACTGAAACCATCATTGTTCCTAGCGAAAATGAAACCAGTTCTGCCAAGCCAAACTCTGGAAGTTCTTCTGGAGTCGAAAACTCTTCAACGTCTGGAGCTATCCTCATAATCTCCGCGGAAAATTCTACCAGTTTTTTTTTGGTAGAGCCGAATGGAACCACATTTGAAGCTACGTCTCAAGAAAAATCCACCACTGCTTCTCCGGCAAAGCCGTCTGTAACTACGCCTAAAGTTACCCCTCGAGAAAAAAAGACCACTCCCCCTTCGACAAAGCCGCCTGTAACTACGCCTAAAGCTATCCCTCAAGAAAAATCCACCACTGCTCCTTCGACAAAGCCGCCTATAACGACGCCTAAAGCTACCACTCAAGAAAAATCCAATAATAGTTCGTCGGTCAAGCCATCTGCAGCTCCTAGACTTTCAACTGAAACTACGTCTAGAACTAAGCCCCCGGTATCTTTGGAAGGCTCTAGCACTCCTCAATTGATCAAGCTCTTGCCGACCAAGCCGAACGCTGTTTTCGCAGAGTTTTCTCAAAAATCCAATACCACCGTCCCCGTCAAACCTGCCGCAACCAAGCCGTCTGCCATTTTCAGAAGCTTTTCGCTAAAACCCAATACCACTAATCCAACCAATTCGTCTGCAACTTCTCAGCGAGGAATCATCTGGATTCCAAAAGGTGTTAACAAAACGCAAACTGCGTTCGGCTCTCTTGCGTCAAAAAACAACAGTTTTACGGACCCCAGGATCAGTTTGAACATTCTTACTACTATCAGCAGCAGCGTGTTTGACGGTTACGCTGCCACAAGCTCTAATAAGGTGAGAAAAAATTTTCTTTTTTTTTGTAGATCCCCTTTCAAATGACTTATGATGAAAGTTCAGAAGAACTTGAACGAGGAGAATAAGAAAAAAGATGAAAATTCGCTGATCATTTTTATCGCCATCGCTGGTCTGGTGGGACTATTGGCCGTGGTTGGCGCAACCGTCGGCTTCGTAGTCTGGCATAGAAAGAAGGACGAGGAAGATAAAGAAGTGCCGAGGTATTATTTTGCTTCGTGGCTATGAAATTGGCCTTTTCTCATCCATTTTGTTTCTTTTTTGTGGGCCGACTCCATTCGAATCTGTCTCATTCCGAACCAAAACATGACTCTTGCTGAACCGAAAAACGACCCTTTCCAAACCTTCGAATGGGGATACGCCGCTTTTGTGGCTCCATGTTGATTCTAAAAAGTAGCGGCTACAAAGTGGCTGGAAAAAGAGCAAGGACTTTTCTAATCTTTTCGAAATGCCATGCTCATAAATAACTGGAAAATTTTCTAGAGCTACACCAAAGATAAAAGGTGAGAGCACGATGGAAAATGCGAAGAGCACTTTGGAAGCTAAAACCAAAGCGGCGCCCGAAAAGACCAAATCGGTGAGCAAATCGACCAAGAGCAAGACGTTGAGCAAATCCGCCGAGCAAATCAAGAGCAAGTCAGCCGAGATAACCAAGCCCAAGGTTTTCCGATTTTCACTTGGAACATTTTTTGAATTGAATTTTACAGTGAAAAACAACTTCGGCTGATCTTCCTTTCGTGGTTTTTTACAATTGCTGGCCACAGCACCTTTTTTTGTGTTTTCATTTTCTTGAGTACAGAATGAATTTTGTTTGAGAAGTGATGTTTTTTTTTTTTGGTAACTGCGTATTTTTGGTTACTCTGAATGACACACTTTCTTTCGCAAATTTCCACTTTCCAAGATTTTTGACTGAAAATGAATATTTCTTCTCTCTATCCCTGAAGATGCGACATTTCGAAGATAAGCCTTCTCATAAATCCGAAAAATCAAGCATTCCAAGCTGAACTTATCCCTACGATCTCAAATATTCGGCAATAATCCCCCACCTCCACCGCCTTCCACCGATTCGTTGCCAGGGCAACGGAGGCTCCTTTCTTCCTTTGAAGGTCCCCTTTTTATAACTATTTTCTTCTTTTTTTTTATTCGCAAATTTCAAAAAATAATTTTTTTCAGATCATAATGGTAGAAGAAGCCTCTCCAGCAAATTTACCTGATTGGGATTTGATCGGTTCGTTTTATTTTATTTTAAATCATTTTATAGGAATATTTATCAAGCTGTGGCGTGAAATATCAAAAGGGACTTTTTATGAAGAACTTTTTTTCGATTTTCTATCATTTCTGAAGATGAACATAACTTTGAAGACTTCATTTTTTTAATGGAAAAAAACTGGAAGAAAGCCAAAAAAACCCATAAAAAAACTTTTTTTGAGGTGATTTACGGTTCTCTACAATCATCCAATACTTTTTTTGAATCAATAAAAAATAATGGAAAACCATTTTTTTCAGATGAAATTTCACTACCATTATTGGACCAAGGGGTTGGCCGAATGGATACCCTACAAGTCGCCCTTCCGTCCGTACTTTCCATAGATCCAGATGATCCTAACTTAGAACAAAGATTCAGGAAAATTATCCGGATCGCCCAGCACCATATTCAGTACCTCTTGGTGGGTGGTATTCCTTAATTCGATAAAAAAAAGGAGGAGAAATCCTTAGGAACTCCAGAGTGGTCCCTATAGTGTTTAGGGGAAAAAACCTCTATAGGGATCACTAGAGATTGCAAAAAGCTCACTTGAACTTTAGGGACTAAGTAGTCAGACCCTGAAACCCTATAAGGACCTTTTTTCGGCCCCTATAAGAGCTGTTTGTTCCCTAACCCCTATAGGGACCACTCTGGAATTCCTAAATCACTCAAAATCGAGTTCGCATCAATTTTTAGCTTTTTTTTTCAAGTCAACTCGATTTTTCCGCTTTCTAAATGATTTTCAATATGATTTGGACAGGTTTCAGAATTTTTCATCTTGAAAACTGCAGAGAATAGCTGAAAAACCGCTTTTCAATAAGTAAAACTTTAAAAAACTATATATTTCCTAACAGAATTTAGTTCCAAACTTCCTACCAACTAACTAATCCGAAAACTTTATATTCAAAACTTACAGGCCACCCAACAACAACTACTAAAACGTGTGGAAAAACTTGAAACAGAGACGAATGAGCGGCGAAAACGAGAGAAATCAAAAAATTCCAATATTCTCGAAGACAAAGACGTTATCAAGTACAAGGTAGTTTGAATTTTAAAAAAATATATAATTCATGATTTTGCGCGAAAGTCTGGCTTATTTTAGAAATCTCCTTTTTCACGAGTGATCATGAAATTTGGTAATTAACGAAGGAATTCCTTTTATTTTTTTAAATACGTACTAGTTCCGAAAAAAATAGATGAATTTCCGAATGCAAACTGAAAAAAATATTAGAAAAAAACAAAAAGAGTGAACTAACAAAAAAATTTAAAAAAAAATTAAATTAGGTTTTTAGGAATTCAAAAATGTTTATCATTGATTGCGCAATATGCTGCGATATAAGGAAAACTTCCATTTTACAGCAATTCTCTAGAAAACTTTATTTTTCTATCTTACAAACTAGAACAGCAATTTCAAAAAAAAAAAATGATGAACAAACCTTTCAGTCTTTCAGTGCGCCAACTGCAAAAAACTGTTCCTGAACGCCGAATTCCTTTCCGCTCATCTCAGTAGAAGGCATTCCGATTTTCTATCGCCGGTATCGCGAATATCCACTTGAACATCATATTTATTTTGTATAGCTTGTATGAAAATTGAAAAATTGAAAAAAATAAAATGAAGAATTTTTCGATTCTGTTTGCTGTGCGGAGTTCAACGCGCAGAGTTTGCATTCAAGTTCCGCCCTCGTCGAGTTTTTTGGCGTTACTTCGTCGAGTTTTTTTTTTCACATTTGTCTGGCTTTCTTCCCTCATCTGGAAAAAATAACGGTTGAAAACGGTCTTTCGAAAATTTTTGCAGTGTTCAAATTCTGAATTATTCTTTTTTTTTCCACACCACTACCATTAAAATAAAGAAGATGCCACAGGGCAGCACATAATGACGCCGCAGAAGAAAGTATGAAGACATACAGCTACGGCAATGATCTTCATATGCATGCCGGACAATCCCAATAGGCTTATTCAAAGTTGAAAGAGTAATTAACGATTGAATGAAGGAGGCGTAAATCCATCTTCATTTTACTCGGGGTCTTTTGGGCCTTGGAGGAGCAGCTGATCGTCGGAAAGATCAACTTATTAACTTTATTATCCGTGGAAAAGTAAAGTTGATCTATGAGCCATTCTTGGTCAACGTGATCCCGCAAACCGAGGATCGCCTTTTCATTTCTCCCATGATTCAGCAGAGGATCTTCTCCGTAGACTGATAAACTTGTCAAACTAGTCAACTATCATATTTTAAAGTTCGAGCAGTCCAGAAAAAAAGAAACCCTGACACTTTAGCTGATCCACAGCTATTTTGTGACGCTAAGGGGGCGTGGCCTGTCTGTTGCTCTCCACAAGCCAGGCACTATCTCGGGCATTATCGTGTCAGGACCATTTTTTCGATGGTTCAAGTCAGAAGTGAATCAGCTATACCGTCAGTTGTTTCAAGTACCTAAATCCATTTTCAAGCAACAAACTTTATAAGGGAAAAAAAAGTATTTTGACGTGAAAATTCGAAAAAAAAAAGGTGCAATCATTTTGGAGAAATGTCTCGGAAGAAACTTCTCCAACTGCTTCTCTTCCTTTCCAGTTACGCATCTGCCCAGGAATCCCTTTCTTCGGCGGCCTGCGTGGTATTGTTAACTAACGCCATATGCTTTTAAAAAGCCATAGAAAAGTTTAAAAGACCTTGTAACCCAGAAGATTCATCACTGACATATGGGAACATATAAAAATTAGTCTCAACTCGCAGGACATCGAACCCAACGGATGGACTGAAGCGATCAACGATTCTTATCATCTGGATTGTCTTTTTAGAGAAGAGCCAACCTTGTGCGATACGGAATGGCTCGAATGCGGTCAGGGCAAATGCTGCATGTGTAAGTTGATCGGTATAAAAACCTCGAAACCGGGGTTTTTCAGCGGAACTGGCTTGTGACGGCTTCATAGGAGATTTCCCTCATCTTTGCCAAGATTCCAGCGACTGTTCTGTTCCTAGCGACAGTCCGGAAGGCGCACAATGCATTGAAGTCAGTCTTTTCGATTTTGGCCGGTGACGTGAAGTTCGTTTTCCAGGGAGTCTGTTGTCATTTGCCGAGGGAGCTTCATAAAAGATTCTTGAATCCCTTGAGTCCACCCAGTTACACATTACACAAATTATGTTGAAAACGTCTTCTTTTTAGGTTTGATCAATCTAGGAAAACAACTTCAAGCCAGTCTTGGCAAATTGCCATTCGTTGGCTTAAACAAGGTCCTTTCGATGGGCGACTGTTTCAGCGGAGAGATGACCAGTGTCCCGGTCTGTATGCTCAGTGGTGAGTGCACCCGACTTTAAATGAGTTGCGCGGTTGTGCAAAGTACCCCACTTATAACGAGTTGCGCGCTTGTACGAAGCACCCGACTTATAACGAGTTGCGCGCTTGTGCGAAGCACCCGACTAATAACGTGTTGCACGCTTGACCAAATCCCCGACTTATAACGAGTTGCGCTCTTGTACAAAGCACCCGACTTGTAACGAGTTGTACTGGGCACCCGGCTTATAACGAGTTGCGCGCTTGTACACTGATAAATTAGAGCGGGTGAGTGTCGAAACTAGATGAATTTCGGCAGACTTGAGGCTGTATCCAAAGCGATCACAACTATTCAAGTGGTGAAAAATTTGAGAGAGCATATCGAAACCAAGAAATCTATAATTATTTAAATCCTAAACAATATCTTTTTGGGCAACTCTAAAAGCTGCAACTCGGACAGCGATTGTGCTTCTGACGAAATATGCCAGAAACCACCGTTTCAATTTGAAATTGAGCCGAACGATGATCCCAACGAGAGTACTTGCGAAGAAGGTTGGTTACAAGAAGTTGTTTAATGTGACTGAAAAAGTTCAGATCCGAACTCTTGGGATATACCGGATTTATCCGGTTTTCCCGGCATGCCCGGCTTTCCAGGCATACCCGGCATTCCCATTCGCGGCATTCCTATTCCCGGCATTCCCATTCCCGGCATTCCTATTCCCGGCATTCCCGGCATTCCTATTCCCGGCATTCCCATTCACGGCATAAACATACCAAATTCCCAAATATACCCAACTTCTCGCTTTTCTTCCCTGGTTTTGGGTTACCTGACTTCTCTTGGCCTTCTGGTGGAGACGGCAGTTCCGGAGGATCTGGGTAAGTTTTCGAGAAAGATAGGCCGAATAGTAGCTTTTTGACCAGCAAAATATTGGTTCTGGTAAAGTTGAATCATTTTTTTGCAGTTCTAGCAGAGGCAACGGCGGCAACGGCGGCAACGGTGGCAACGGCGGTAACAGCGGTAACGGCGACTCAAGCGGATCGAAGTGAGTTAATGAGTCTAAAAAACCAAAAACGATGAGAAAAAAAAATAGAGTTTTCAAACTAATCAGTAAGAAATGAACTTTATTTACAGTTCTAGCGGAGGCAAAGACGAACCCCAAGGAACAGGGTGAGTTATTTAGACTTATATACCAAAAAAGATATGAATAACAATGGATGTTTGAAAATAATCCGTTCGAAACAATCCTTTTTGCAGTTCTGGCGGAGGCAACGGCGGTAATGGCAAACCCCAAGGAACAGGGTGAGTCTAAAAAACCAGAAAGGGTATGAAGAAAAGTAGAATATTGACTTAATCAATCAAAAATAACTACTTCTAGCAGTTCTGGCGGAGACAACGGCGGTAATGGCAAACCCCAAGGAACAGGGTGAGTCTAAAAAACCAGAAAGGGTATGAAGAAAAGTAGAATATTGATCTAATCAATCAGAATGAACTACTTCTTGCAGTAATGGCGGAGGCGACAGCGGCAACAGCAACCCTCAAGGAACAAAGTGAGTCTAAAATACCAGAAAGGGTATGAAGAAAAATAGAATATTGACTTAATCAATCAATAATAACTACTTCTTGCAGTAATGGCGGAGGCAACAGCAGTCCCACAAGAACAGAGTGAGTATACATACTAAAATCGATGAGAAGAAAAATAGATTTTTCAAACTAATCAGTAAGAAATGAACCTTTTCTACAGTTCTAGCGGAGGCGGCGGCGGCACTGGATCCGGAACAACGAAGTAAGTTTGAAAGACCCAAAAATCAAACTGATATAGAATGTAGAACAATATTATAACAGATCACAAACTTTTTTTGTAGGAATCCCAATGGTAGCGGCGGTAACGGCTCTGGTGGTTCGGGCAAAACAACGTAAAGCCCCCAAAAGGGACCAGGAGGAAAAAACAAAGGACCAGGAGGAAAAAACAATCTCCCTTTTTCAGTCCTGCTGGAAGTGGTGGCAAAACTACTGGTGGACCTGGATCGTGAGTTCACAGAAAGAAAAAAAAACAAAAAGCTTTTTCAGTACTCCTAGGAGCACTGGAAGCAATGATGGTGGTCCTGGACCAGGCGGAAAAACGTGAGATCTCAAAATGATACAGTAAACATGTTATTTTTGTTTCAGAACTGCTGGAAGCACTGGCAGAAATACTGGTGGTCCTGGACCAGTCAAACCAACGTAAGTTCTCAAATCTATGAAGTAAAGACATTTTACTCACTGCAGTACCGCTGGAAGTATTGAAAACAGCAGTAGTCATGGACCAGGCGGAGCAACGTAAGATCTCGAAACTGAGGCTTCGATAAAGATTTTACGTTCTTCAGAACTTCTGGAAACGTTAGAAACAGCACTGGTAGTCCTGGACCAGGTGGAGCAACGTAAGTTTTCAAAAATATAAAGTAAAGAGTCAATGATTTCAGTACCCCTGGTAGTGTTAGAAACAGCACTGGTAGTCCTGGACCAAGTGGAGCAACGTAAGTTCACAGACTGGGGCTTAGAAAAAGTTTTTACTGTCTGCAGTACTGCTGGAAATAGTGGCAACAGTAATGGTGGCCCTGGCGGAGTGACGTTAGTTCTCCGAAAATGTAAAGTAAAGTGATTACACTGATTTCAGTACCCCTGGTAGTGTTAGAAACAGCACTGGTAGTCCTGGACCAAGTGGAGCAACGTAAGTTCACAGACTGGGGCTTTGAACAAAATTTTATTTCTTACGGTACCGCTGGAAATGGTGGCAACAGTACTGCTGGTGGCCCAGGCGGAGCAACGTAAGCTTTCGAAACTGAAAAAAAATATTTTCTTTTTTCCAGAACCTCTGGAAGTTTTAGAAACAGCACTGGTACTCCCGGACCAGGCGGAGCAACGTAAGTTCACAAAACTGAAGATTCGATGAAGATTTTATGTTCTTCAGAACTATTGTGAATATTGGCAATAGCACTGGTGGGTCCGGATCCCGCGTATCAACGTAAGTTCTCAAAAATGTAAAGTAAAGGGGTTACACTGGTTTCAGTACTCCTGGAAATGTTGGAAACACCACTGGTAGTCCTGGCGGAATAACGTGAGATTTCAAAAAGATGAAGTGAAGATATTTTACTTGTTTCAGCATTGCTGGAAGCACTGGTAACAATACTGGTAGGCATGAACCAGGCGGAGCTACGTAAGGTCTCCAAAAAGGTAAAGTGAAGAGGTTTTAATTATTTCAGTACCCCTGGAAACGTTAGAATCAGCACTGGTACTCCCGGACCAGGCGGAGCAACGTAAGTTCCCAAAACTGAAGTTTCGATAATGATTTTACGTTCTTCAGAACTGCTGTGAATGTTGGCAATAGCACTGGTCGTCCCGGTTCAGGCAAGACAACGTGAGTTCTTCGAAGAAAAAAGAATCAGTAATTTTTTTCAGTACTGCTGGAACTATTAGAAACAGCACTGGTAATCCCGAACCAGGTGGAGCAATGTAAGTTCTTAAAACTGAAACTTCGAAAACAATGTTTCTCTTATTAGTACCGTTGGAAACGGTGGCAACAGTACTGGTGCCCCTGGCGCAGTAACGTAAGATTTCGAAATGATGAAGTAAAGATATTTTGCTTGTTTCAGTATTTCTGGAAGTACTGGAAACAATACTGGTAGGCCTGGGCCAGGCGGAGCTACGTAAGTTTTGAAACTGAGTCTTTATAAAACATTTTACTGTCTGCAGTACTGCTGGAAATGGTGGCAGCAGTACTGGCGGCCCTGGCGGAGCAACGTAAGCTTTCGAAACTGAGAAACAAAGATATTTCCCTTTTTCCAGAACCTCAGGAAATGTTAGAAACAGCACTGGTAGTCCTGGACCAGGTGGAGCAACGTAAGTTCACAAAACTGAAGCTTCGATGAAGATTTTACGTTCTTCAGAACTTCTGCGAATGTTGGCAATAGCACTGGTCGTCCTGGTTCAGGCAAGACAACGTGAGTGTTTCGAAGAAGAAAGAATCATTAAACTTTTTTCAGTACTGCTGGAAGCCATGGCAACAATACTGGTAGTCCTGCTTCAGGCGGAGCAACGTAAGATCTGCAAAAAAGTAAAGTGAAGAGGTTTCAATTATTTCAGAACCCCTGGAAACGTTAGAAACAGCACTGGTAGTCCTGGACCAAGTGGAGCAACGTAAGTTCTCAAACTGGGGCTTTGATCAAAATTTTATTCCTTACAGTACCGCTGGAAATGGTGGCAACAGTACTGGTGGCTCTGGGTTAAGCAAGACAACGTGAGATCCTTGTTAAAAAAAAGAATCAGTGAGCTTTTTTTTAGTAGTGCTGGAGGCACTGGCAAGACTACCGGCACTCCTAGACCAGGCGGAGCAACGTAAGTTCGTAAAACTGAGGCTTTTAAAAGATTTTCATGTTTCCAGTACCGCTGGAAGTTTAAGCAACAGCACTGGTGACCTTGGATCAGGCAAGACAACGTGAATCCTCTTGTAAAAAAAAAGTCAAAGAGCTTGTTTTTTTTAGTTCTGCTGGAGGCACTGGCAAAACTACTGGTAGTCCTGGACCAGGCGGAGCAACGTGAGTTCTTAAAACTGTAAAATTTTGAGAATTGACTTACCGCGGAAAGTGTTAGAAACAGCACTGGTGGCCCTAGGTCAGCCAAGACAGTGCGTTCACAAAAGAAAAAAAAATCAGTAAGATTTTTTCAGTACTGCTAGCAGTGCCGGCACCAGTACGGGTGGCCCTGGATCAGGCACAACAAAGTATGTAACCAAATTCAAGAAATTCATTATTTTCTGTTCACACAGTTCTTCTGGAGCCAATGACACTTGGCCGAATTGGCCTTGGCTTCAGAATAAAACTAACGGTGAGTTGTTATCTTGACTTTTTTTTGTATTTTTGAACATATGAGCTTATTTATCGCTCTTTTCACTTCTTTTTCAATTATTTATTGATTATGTTCATGTGTGCATCAAAAAAATAGAAGAAAATACAAAAAAAGAGCGGTTGCCGAGCTTTTTAAATAGTCGGCGGCGATCGAATTGAACTGGCGCCAAGAACCGCGTACGCACACGCTACGCGTCCCCCTTGCCCGCCTCCCTCGCCTTTCGAGTCGGGAAACATTGACTACAACAATGAAATTTTTTTATTATATCAGTTTTACTTCAATTGTAATATTATATACATCTTTCCAATTCTCTACATAATTTGAGCAAATAACGAAAAACTCCTTTAAGGACGTTTAGGGGTGAGTATCAAAATATTCCATTTTAAGGATTACCTTTTTGCCTCACCCCTATGAGGGCTTCCCAAAGAGAAGTTCAGCTATATCATAATTTGAGAAAGGAACATTTCAGCCAGTTTACCGCCATGGGATAAGCCGCACTGGCCTTGGACCAAATACTGGCCAGCAATACACCTTTATGTCTTACTCAATTCCACTACCACTACTACAGAGTCTCCAGGTATTTTTAAACCTCTTCCCTAGTCATAACCACTTTCAGACATTTCTGAGGTAGAAAGACCGCAGTCAATCTTCCGGATCAAACCGAAAGTGAACTCTTTGTTTGAAATAACCATGAGAAATCGTTACAGACTCTGCTTTTTGGACTGGGAGCTTTTTTGCTGACTCTGTTGCTCCTCCTTGCCGCGTTGGCAGCTTGGAAAGGTCTCCAGTACTTGAAGAATCGTAAGAAGAAGAAGAGACCGGAGGACAAAGTGAAAGGAAAATCGTCAGGTCAGTTTTAGCTTGACGAAAAAGCACGTAAGCACCCGATGCAGTTCCTTCAGAAAATATACAAAAGTTTCTATCACATTCTTTTTTATAAGGAATTGAAGTTTCCTTAACTTTCTGGGTTTGGGATGGTTGTTATTTGTAACGTTATGGATTATGGTCATCAAAAGTCGTGAGCAAAAATTCTATTTGTATCTTCTCAGGTAAAAGTTGAGAAGCTTCTTCTCTCGGTCCCTCGGAAGCCGTTTGGAAGCTTCCCAGCAAGTAATCAAATGCCTTGCACATACCATCCCAACACCCTTACTCACCTTCCAGAAGCCAGCTGCAAGGCTTTTGGCAGGCGTTTTCAATTTTTTACCTTCCAATTACCATCTGAACATCTTCCCAAAGTCATCTCAACCCTTCTAGCTTCCATTTTCCTTCCAACCTCCTGCTGGTTACCTTCCCACTGAATTTTCTGACTGCCAAAATTCGAATTTGAAAAAAATCTGGGCGTTTCAAAACGTGTTGACCAAAGCTTAGTCGAGGAACAAACTTTTTAAGATCCAATAAAAAAGAATCTTCAGGCTCCCGAACTACGACGCCAACCGGAAGCAAGGAAAAAACGAAGAGTAGAGAAAAGTCGACTGAGAAAACCGCTAGCAAGGAAAAAACGAAAAGTAGAGGGATTTCACGTCTTTTGAAGGAAATCGATGCTGAGGGATGGATCGAAGCAAGGAATCAAAGTTTTGATGACGACTGTCTGGTTGGTAAACCACCGGAGATTTGTAATTCGAAAAACCTCAAATTTGGTCTTGGGAAATGCTGCGTTTGTAAGACCTTTTTTTGAATATGAATATACATAACCCTATTCTCAGCGCTGTCCGCATGTGGTTCAAGGCTAGAGTATATTCCACAACTTTGTCGATACGCCAAAGACTGTACCAGTTTAACACAGGATGCTTCTTGTATCGAGGTGGGAACTTTCAGATATTGGTAACCAATTATTGGTTGAAAACCCTTTTTTCATTTTGAAAAAAAATCAATGAAATTCCAGGGCGTCTGTTGCAGTGCTCCGACCGACTTGTAACGTCAAAAAGGTAGTTTATGTCTGTTCCTAAACACTTGATCCAGCTTTATTCATTTTCAAAAAAAATCTTAATTTTCAGTCTCCAAAATCCTCGGCGCTGCAGGTTCGGTGATAAACACCGTGGGCAGTTTGAGTCCAGTGATAAACACCGTGGGAAATTTGAACCCAGTGATTAACACCTTGGGTGGTTTGAACCCGGTGGTGAACACCTTGAACGCTTTGAATCCCGTCGACGCGCTGAATAAATTGAACCCACTGAAAATGCTGACACAGCCGATGGAAACGTTGAGAAACCTCGGCCCACTGAAATACTTGAGCAGCAGCTGCTTCTCCGCCTCTGCCTTCTTTAAGGGCGTCGGACCTGCTGCTTTGAACTGCTTGAAAGGTTTTTCTGATTTTATGAACCTCTCTTATTATTGACTCACAAAGATAGCCTACGAAAATGCGGATCTGGTTGCTCGCCGGGATTTCTCTGTCAAATGCCATTGTTCAAAATCAAAACGAAGAAGGGGAAGGTCAAAGGAAAGAGGTGTATGAAAGGTTGGTGGTCTTTATGATTGGTTTTTCTTCCTACTTGAGTATGCTAACTATCGTGAGCTATTTCCTTGACTTTCAGACCCTCGTAAGGTCAGAGAGCGACGAGCTTCGCCACCACCGTCACCTCCACCGCCCCCTCCACCTCCACCTCCACCTCCATCTCCCTCTCCAAAAACAACCAAAACAACATCCACTCCAACTTCAACTACAACGACAACTACAACTACGAGTACAAGTACAACTACGACCACATCCACGACTACAACTCCTACAACAACTAAACCAAAAACGACAAGACCTACCTCTCCTACTAGAACTTCTCAAAACACCGCTTCAACCTTGTCTGACTCTTCGACCTCTACAAAAAGTTCCACGACCAAAGACCGGACGAAAACAGCTTCTTTCTCTACAACGGAGATGATCTCAAAGTCCACAGAAAGGTCTTCATCTACCGAACCTTCTTACACGAAAACAAGAAAGAAGTGGACATCTACTGCGATGTCATCAACTGTTGGTTCATCTACATCCGACACAACGGATAATGAATCTTCTTCTTCCACGGTGAAGATGAGATCAACGTCTATGCCTACGTCATCGTCGTACGCATCTTCAACGACTGAGATCAGCTCAACATCCACTACAAATCTTTCTTCAACAGCTGACATGAGATCAACGATTACGGCTATCTCATCGACTATGAATCCTTCGTCTACGACGAATATCAGCTCAACATCTAACACTACTTCATCACCTTCTTCAACGACGGAGATGAGGTCAAAACCTACGGTTACTCAACCGACTATGAATCCTTCTTCCACGATCGAGATGTCAACAGCGTCTACAGCTACATATCTCATCGACTGCAAACCCTTCATCTACGGCTGAAACGAGCTCAAAATCGACTAAAAATCCTTCTTCTACGACTGAAAGCAGCTCAACACTAACTAGCGATCTTCCTTCTACGACTGAGAGCAGCTCAACATCTACGGCGACTCAACCGACTATGAACCCTTCTTCCACGCCAGAAATGAAAACAACGTCTACGGCTACCTCATCTGCTGAGAACCTTTCTTCTTCGACTGAAATTGGCTCAACATCGACTACGAAAAAATCATCTACCACTGAAAAGCGCTCAACATTGACTACGAATCCCTTTTCTACGACAGAAATGGGATCAACAGCTACCGTGATGACATCTACTCCTGCCCCCTCCACGACAGAATTGGACTCAACTTCTATCGTGATTACATCTACCATTGGCTCCTCCACGACGGATATGAACTTAACGTCTACCGCAACTTCACCAACGTCCGATTCTTCCACGACGGAGATGAAATCAACAACTACCGCGGTTTCACCAACTTCCGATTCTTCCACGGCGGAGATGAGCTCAACGTCTACCGCAACTTCACCAACGTCCGATTCTTCCACGACGGAGATGAAATCAACAACTACCGCGGTTTCACCAACGTCCGATTCTTCCACGGCGGAGATGAGCTCAACGTCTACCGCAACTTCACCAACGTCCGATTCTTCCACGGCGGAGATGAAATCAACAACTACCGCGATTTCACCAACGTCTGATTCTTCCACGACGGAGATGAACTCAACGTCTACAATTATTTCATCTACCACCGATTCCTCGACAACGGTGATGAACTCAACGTCTACCGCGATTTCATCGACGTCCGAATCTTCCACGACGGTGATGAACTCAACATCAACCCCAATTTCATCGACGTCTGATTCCTCCACGACGGTGATGAACTCAACATCTACCGCGATTTCATCAACGTCTGATTTCTCCACGACTGAGATGAACTCAACGTCTACGATCATTTCATCGACATCCGATTCTTCCACGACGTACATGAACTCAACATCCACGGAGGTTTCATCGACTACAGATTCTTCTACCTCGGCCACTGATATGAGTTCAACTTCTACAGATTACGCAAACTTCACATCGACGGAAGAAGCTTATGTGGCAGAAGAGGTATTTCTTTATACTTGGGGATCTCTTATATAATCATACCACCGAGATAAATAAAAGAACTAATGCCCTGCTCAAAGTGACTTCACGAATCAGTGAGTGAAAAAGACAATAAGAGTTTTTTTGCCGAATTTACTTTGAACAGAGCCTACTTAAAACTCTTGATGAATATGTTACAAGAGGTCCCCGAAGTTCAATAATCAAGTTTAACAACTTTTTTTTTTCAGGAGCCAAATTACATCATCGTCATTGTTTTGATTCTTCTCATCATCATTTGTTGTTACTGCTGCATCATCATAATAGTTATGCGGCGAAGAAGAAAGAGAAAGCCGAAAAAGAAAGAGGAGGAGAAAGAAACAGAAGAGGAGAAGGAAGCAGAAGAAAAGAAAGACGAAGTTCCGCCGCCAGTTGTGGCGGTTGCACCTCCAGCCGAGAAAGTCAAAGTCGAGAAAAAGAAGGAAGAAAAAGAGACGGTGAAGCCTGTCGCTGTCGTACCGTTCACCAAGAAGGAGAAGAAAAAGGAGCCAAAGAATCCTCTTCTTGCCGTGCCGCTCAAGAAGAAGAAGAAGGAGAAAAAAGGGTCACAAAGCCCACTCACCGCCGTACCGTTCAAGAAGAAGAAGGAGAAAAAAATGTCACAAAGCCCCGAAACAGCTTGGCCGTTCAAGCAAAAGAAGGAGAAGAAAGATTCGGCGAATCCTTTACTCGTGGTGCCGTTCATGAAGAGGAAGAAAGAGAAAAAAGAGCCGAAGCCTGTAGCCGCTGTGCCGATCCCGACCGAAGGAGAGAAGAAAGAGCCGGAGAAGCCTGTTGCCGTCGTTCCGATTGCGAAAAAGGAGCAGGAAACGCCTGTCGCCGTCCTTCCGATCCCCAGGAAAGAGCAAGAAAGGCCTATCGTACCGATCCCCAGGAGAGAGCAAGAAAGGCCTGTCGTACCGATCCCCAGGAGAGAGCAAGAAAGACCTGTTGTACCAGCCCCGAGAAAGGAGCAAGAAGCGCCTGTCGCCGTCGTACCGATCCCCAGGAGAGAGCGAGAAAGGCCTGTTGTACCAGCCCCGAGAAAGGAGCAAGAAGCGCCTGTCGCCGTCGTACCGATCCCCAGGAGAGAGCAAGAAAGGCCTGTCGTACCGATCCCCAGGAGAGAGCAAGAAAGGCCTGTCGTACCAATGCCCAGGAGAGAGCAAGAAACGCCTGTCGTGCCAATCCCGCAAAAAGAGCCGGAGAAGCCTCCTGTGCCTCCAAGGGCAGGAACTCCGATTCGAGCGCAGAAATCCGCCCCGAACTCCGAACAGCTCACTCCGATAAGGGATCCACTCCGTTTGAAACAGTCGCTCGACGCTTTCCCGAGGAACATGCCAATGTAACCCAGATCAGAGAAAAGGTGATTTATTTTATTATTGCTATTTACAAGCAAAGGCCGAAATGATGGGAAAAGGATCCATAGAAATGTTCCTTTTTTGCTTCCTTTTTGCGCCATTTCATCGGCTTTTATGCATCATTTTTGCTTCCTCTTTTTTCACCATTTCTTGAGCCTTAAAAATTCCCGAGAAAAAATAGAAGGCTCGATAAATAGGACTCCTTTTGCTGCCTTTTTGTGGCCGTTTTTGAGCCTCTCCATTTTAGCGGCCATTCAGAGTTCTTATGCAAAATTTCAATTTCCAGACTAAACTACGCCGCCTTGCTTGTCCAACCTTCTTTCACTCAAGTTTATTCTTCGAAACTCATATTGAGACTCAGAAAATGGTACAGTTTCAAATTAAAAATCTTAACCTTTTTCAATTTCAGGTTGAACACGATATCAAGCAAAATTTGTTCCGTTCTACATTTTTATCAATTCGGCCACTATGATCCTTTCTTCATTGAACCGTTGCGCGAAAAATGAATTTTAATTTTTGACATCTATGTAATATTTTAAAACAGAAATAAATGTAACAGGATTAGAAACTTAGGAAATAAAAAAAGGAAAAACAAAAAGGATTTTTAAAAAGAAACTTGGGAAACAAAAAGGATTTTTAAAGAAAGGTTAAAAAGGAATTTTTCCAGTGCAGCCGCGAACACGCGCTCTGCACCATCCCTCAAGGGGTGAGCCAAGGGACGAGAAAGCGCCCACGGCACAGCGGTTAAATTTAATATTTTTTTGTTGATCTTTTTTTAATGTTTTGTTTCTTCGTTTAAAAAAAGCGGGAAACAAATGGAAAGGTTTTTAGGGAAGAGTTCCCTTAGTCGCAACTTTTGTTTTGTTGCTTGACTGGCAACCTCGTTCAATGTAGAGTTTTGGTTGAGCTTAGCTCCCTTGGTTTCCCGCTCTCCCCTTTCTTATTCCATGTTTGGACAGGATCTCAATGTCGTTCATTTTGAACACTAGGACTTTACTTATCTGTTGTTGGATTGAGATTTAGATTTAGTTTTTCATTGGAATTCACCCACGCTGGCCGAGAACAATTTCTTCTTAGATGGGAGGAGTTCTCAGGGTTTAGTTCTAATCGTTAGCTAATTCGTACTCAGGAATAGGAATCTTTTGAGAGGAAGTCACAATTTAGGCCAGGTGACGCGTTTATCTTTGGAACCTAGGAACTCGTGTTTTTTTTTCCCATTTTCTGGTTTATGGGTTTTTTCAACACGTGTATTTCGCATCTCCCCTCCTTGCTGTACTCCCGGTTCTATCGTGTAATGACCAGAATATAAAGGTTTTGTATATGAAGCGTTTGTTTGATGATGATGAACCAAAGTTATGTGGGATCAACGCCATTTACCCCGGAGTTGCCTCGCTTGGAATTGTCCTTTTATGGGAGGCTCCGGGGCCCAGTCAGCGACATGGGGGCCGAACCAACATCATCATAACGCATCAAAATCTTTATTGTTTCCATAATTCCTCGGATAAAATTTAATTGTCGGATTACTATGCACTCGCATTCGGAAACGTTCGCGTTAATCGAACTTGACAGGAAAAGGTTTAATTACCCAAGTTTGAGGTGCAAGGAAACCGTACAAGGAAAGTGATGGCGTCGCCAATTGAGTCGTCGGATGGCGAGATGTCGGCACCGGCTGCCGAAGTCCGAGAAGACGATGACTCAGGTCCAGAACAGGAAAAAGACCAGTTGGAGGTAGTTACCAAGGATTTTTCGAAATTTTTATAATAATATTAATAGATTTAAAGTACAAGGACCTTGTAGGGAAAAATATGCTGAAACTGGAACTCCTAGAAAAGCTTGAAAAGGTGTTAGAAAAAAGGAACCAGGAGAGTTTACAGGTTCAAGGACCAGATGCAGGAGACCAGGTTGCTAGGTCAAGGGAGGACTCCTCTTCCACGGAGTCTTCTTCCGGTAGGCATAGGCTAACTTTTTGGAAGTAGTGTGAATCCGCAGGAAATGACGGCAGGACCAGCCCTCTGTCATCGGACAGCGAAGAAGAGCTCGAGGAGAAGTCGCACCGGCTCGCCAAGGAACAGAAAACATCTCCAACAGGGCGAGTTGCGCGACAAGAGGGAACCTCAGGATGAGCATCTTGATTTTACGGTTGAAACTCCGATTTTGGCTTTAGCCCAAGGAGATAGGAAATATAAGTCTTTGCAAGTTGCGCGCGAAGACTGTAGTGAGGACCCAGGAGTCCTGAAGATGCTTCTGCGCGCTATCAACGAACAGAATAGGATTGAAGCAAACCAGGAACGCAGATCGTTGCTTAGAGATCCTAAACCGTTCAATAGAGAGCAAGGAACCGCTAGAAATAGGACTTTTCAAGAATTTGCGGATGAATTTTGGGACCTTTATGGCCCAGCGGCACTTTCTGAAGATGAAAAGATTGTTATTTTGGGCCTGAAACTGAAAGGCGAGACAAAAACAGCTTTCAATTCTTCTCCCGCAGGAATAAAAGCGCATGGACTAGCAGATATTCTCACGGAACTTTCCGACCGTGAGGAAAAGAAGAGCAACTCTTTGGTCAGTCGGCGACATAAAAAACGAAAAAAATTATTGGCAACAATTTTTAGATCATATAATTCTGCGTGAAAAGGTGCAATTCTTCTTTTTTCGTTCCTTTTCGAGACAAGGTTCTTTTTTCCAATCAATACCCTGGGATAAAAATGCATTGAATCAAATAAAAATGGACAACTAACCGATTTTCAGCGCGCCATCTGCCCAAAACCGTTTCTGAGCTTCGAATTCCTTTTCTCTCAGTAGAAACCATTTTAGCTTCTTACACCAATATCGAAAATATTCTTTTGAGCCTTACATTTAAAGTTTAAAAATTAGAAAAATGATAGAAAAAAGGAATATTTTCCAATCCTGCGGAGTTTAACGCGTCGCATTTGCATTGAAGCTCCGCCCGCATAAAAGTTCCGGGCTCTCGCGAAACTTTTTTATTCCTTTTCTTTTGGTTTGGACCTATATTTTTGACAAATTTGAAAAAAAGAATGGAACAAAAAAAGCATTCATTTGTTCGAAAAGAAATGCTCGTCGCTTAGTTAACTTCCTCGAATTCTGCAAAAAAATGTAGTTTTTCTTAAGATTAAAAATCCTCAAAACCAATATATCCGGTTTTCTCATGCTCCGGCTTCTCGGTTGGTTTTGTCGTCGAGCTTTTTGGCGTTACTTCTTTCACTTTTACTTTCCGGCTTTTTGATGCCGTTGAGCTCATTTCACTGTCGTCTGGCTTTTTTTTCTTCCTCGTCTGAAAAAAAATGTCTTGATGTTTTTAATCGTCTTTTCAGGATTTTAATTAAACATGTAGAAGATACCAAAAGGCAGCACATGATGACGGCGCAGAAGAAAATAAGAAGAAGCAAACCGGCGACAGCTCCGGCAATGATCTTTAGATGCATGTCGGACAATCCCAATATTGACGAATTTTTGGTTTTACCTAAAAAGATAAATTTATGAATATATTGACGAATTTTTGGTTTTACCTAAAAAGATAAATTTATGAAAAGCTGAGTTTATCAGAGAGGCAAGGGCCAATTTGATAATTCTCTGGAGGCGAGGAATAATCTCATATTTTTACAAAGGAAAATGAGCTCACCCATGATCCGACTTCTTTAATGGAGAGTTGCGATGTGAAATGAGGGAATGGACCACGTTTTATGATTTTTATTTTCTTCGTGCACTTTATCTGAATGATTGATGTTATTAGTTTAAATATTTCTCTACAAAACTCACGAAAAACATTTTCTGCTCTAAATGGCTCCAGTAATTTTCTCATATAGCTCGTCATTTTAATTCCGATGGAGAAAAGTCGGTTCAAAACAACTAACCGAGATTTTCAGAAGCGACGAAATTTTTATGACCTGGAACAATCCCGGAAATCACTCTTCTCTGCAGGAAACTAATAATTTGAACCCTCTGAACAGAATTTGCACAGATTGGTAAGGTTCGGACAAAGCAACACTCCAATACTTTGGAAAATATTCATTTTGCTCGACCGGAAATCCCCGGCTGAGCTATCCAAAAATTGTATTGCTAACGCATTCCGAAGAATGGTCAGAACACTCAATTACCTTGAGTAACTGGGTTAAAACCGACGAGAGAAGCGAGCGGCGCCCTCCTCATTCAAAACTGCGCCCGACCCGAGGAGGGAACGACAATGCTTTTCTCCTGCGGAGACGCAGACGACGAGAGTAGCGTCTTTTTCGAGGCGGAATGTCGAGGTTTTGTGTGGAAATATAAGAATTGAAGCGATTGGAAGTGAAAATTCAACAAGGTTGGTGAAATTGAATAAGTTTGATTTTCACGTATAATAATGATTATTATTATAATTGTGATAATTATTCGAAATTATTCGAAATTATTTATATCGATCAATCGTCCCCTATAGGAGTCTCTAACTAAAAATTCCTAGAGGGACCACTTTTTTTGTTTTGTGCGTCTTTTTTTCATTGCAATTTTTACTCTAAAGTTTACGAGTTTCGATGAAATTTTTTTCTTATTATATTTTTTTATGAACTTTAATTAATTTTTTTGAAAATAGTATATCTTCTTTATACGAGCAACTGTACAACTGCCAACCGTTCAAACATATTTGACAGCATTAATCTTACTTTTACAAAGAACATTTTGCTGCAAGAAATTTTCCCCGCGTTTTCAATACAAATTCAGATTCTACGGGTTGAATAAGGGACTGGCCAACAGTGATGAGAAAAAGACGTTCTTATTTCCGCCTCGTGGCGGAAACTGAAACGGAACTTCTTTTTCTTCCGCCTTGCTGCGGAAACGGAAACGGAACTTTTTTTCCGCCTCAGTGCGGAAACCGAACGGAAATGTAAAACCAAACGGAAAACGGGCGCAGGAAAATTTTCAACGCAGTTCTCAAATAGATGGATTTTATAACAACAAAAAAGTACAATAAGTCTTAAATCATGAAATAAAAAACACGAACCGTAATGTTTCAACAAAAGGACAGTGTAAAACACCCAAAGAGCCACAACATAATATAAAGGGATACAAGGGATGGAATTTATTCAGTTGATCGGAGAATTTTCAAATTCGCGTTGCAAAAAATAAGCTTTTCCAGCGTATGATCTGTCAATCTGTTTCTTTTTGCAGTGCAAAAATTTTCTTCGATTGAGAACAGTTCACTCTGTGCAGATGTTGAAGGAGCACAGAGGTAAGCCAGCGCCAGTTTTTTCAAGTTCGGGAACTCGGCGTGAGTCCTCCAAAACAGAAAGGGGTCGCTCTTTTGATCCGGTGGAATGGCTAAGTAGGACTCTACTTCCTAAAAATATAATTATTTTTGTTGGAAAATTTATAGAACCTTTATGAGATCCCATGGCTCGACTCTTGGAGGATGTGTGAAACGCTCTCTCTCCATCAAGAAGCGATCGAAAATTGTCGGCGCTTCGGTGCTCACTTCTTCCTCTGTTTTTATTGGCTCCTTTGCTTCTGGATCTCTCATTTTCTGCAGTTTTTGCAGGATGATATTCTGAAATCAATTTTCGGTCTGACATAATTTCTTTCAACGAACCGAATGGCTTGTTTCAAAAAAAGCATTTTTATATCGGCAGTCCAAGAAAATAGCAGTTTTGAGTTCGTTGTCGAGAAGGTACTTCGAAGTTCGAGTCTCAACTGAGTTTTTCAAACGACCAAGCAATTGAGAAACGCGGGAATTGTTTGTCCTGTTATAATTTTTTATGATAATTAGTAGATCAAAGTCGTCTTACGTATCCGACAGCAATTCTTCGATATGAAAAAGCAACATTTGTACCGCCGGCACAATAACTGAGATCGGCGATGAAAATCCATGTTGAGAAGCCGTTGTCGCTTCGGCGATGGACTGAAGAACTTGTTTCAATCCACCCATTAGATCCCATTCATTATCCGAGAAATGAGGAACTATGAAATTATTTCTCATAAGTTGCTTCAATGATTGTCCATTTACCCTGCTTCAAGGGCCAGATTGGTGACGGCCGTTCTATTTGAAAGAATAGAGTTGACCATTAAAAGAAGTGAACTCCAGCGGGTAACACATTCTTTGACAATCATAGTGGCGGGAAGATCATTTTCGGATTGGAGCTTCAAGAAAGCATCTCGAACCACGGTCGATTTGCGAAGCTTTCTCGAAAACTTCTTCATCTTGTTGACTAGAGCTTGAACTTCGTCGTCATCGTCGATGGTGTCATCAACAATCTGAAAAACTAAAAATTTTTCAATAATAACCATCCTTTTTACCAGTTGCAGAACGTGAGCAAAGCAATGGATACTTTCGACTTCCAGTCGATCACAGAGAGCGCTCATTGAACTCGCTCCGTCTCTAATGATGAAGCTAACTTTTTCCGGATTCATGCCCAAGTCGGACAACGTTTGACGGGTGATATCGGCAAAGTTGATAGAAGTATGTCTGCCAGAGATGCTCTTAGCACCAATAACAAAATGTAGCGGCTCAAAACTTTCTGGATCCAAAAAATGACATAAAATGTGAAAAATAAATTACCTCTTGAACATTTTTTTACCTGTCAAAGTTAATAGGTTGTGCTTTAAGTCTTTCGAGGTCCATCCATCTGAGGTAATAGCGAAATGTTCGGCTTTAGTGAAAAGCAGTTTAACTTTATCTGATAAATCGGTGTAGAGCCAATTGAGTCCGTGATCACTGTAGAAATGGGGGCTTTTGAAACTATAATTTTTAAAAATATAATTATTTTTTTCATAAAGAAAAAAAAACCTGATTTCCGGCGCCGAAACAGCCATGAATTCTTTGAAGGCATCGCTTCCGATCAGAGAAAATGCTCCGAGACAATCATCGAGATGAGAGATTTATCGACTTTTGATAGTTTCGAACTCTCGCCGTCGCTAGAAGTCATCTGGAAAAACTTGCTTGAATATAAACGAAAATCAAGTTCAACTCACCAGAAAAGTTTTTTTCTCAACAACCGGAAACGGGAAAACTGTCTGTTCGTGTTGGTTCTCTACGCTATCAAGCTTCCTCTTTTTCAGAGACTCTCCTTTATCTTTCATCTGAAACCAAAAAAAGTGACTTTTTGTGGAAAAGGGGGTCACCTTTTCAAGTTCCTTGGGATGTTTCTTCTCGAGATGATGTTTCAAACTGTTCGTTCCTAGTTTTGTATTCCAGTGACAGGAAAATCCGCACTGGTTGCAAGACGCATTCTCTTTTACAATAAGAAAATATTCGGCGTATTTCGACCTTTTTGCCGCCATATCTGCCTATAATACACATTTTCGTTTAAGTCGTTCCGAACATTAAATCATAAATATTATACAGCGATAACAACACGCAAAAAAAAAAATCATACGTCATTTAAAAACTTTAACTGCATAATTAGAGATTTAAACAAATTTATGCGCGTGTGTCTTGATGTCACGTGCGTTGCGTACAAAACACAGAGCCGCACGGGAGCTTTGTTGCAACACTGAAAGAAAAAAAACAGCATTAAAGAAACAGGAATGAACGAAATTCCGTCAGGTGGCGCAAACGGAAAAAAATTTTCCTGCCTTGCGGCGAAAACGGAAACGGAACCGGGAATCTGGGCGGAAGACAGAAACGGAAATTCCGTTCATCACTGCTGGCCAACTCTATTCCACCCAATCAAGATTACTATGCGTGTGCGATTGGGATAGCGAAAAAACGAAGTGCTGAGCAAAAAAAAGGCGACCCCGAAAGTGGGCGGACCCGTCCCTAACTATAGAGATTGGTAAAGGGGCCTCAAGGACTCCCATATCGGGGCCACTCTGGAGACCTTTTTTATTTTTCTTTGAGCTCCACCCAAATTTTCACTTTTTTCACGAGCTCTTAAAAAAAAATTGTCTCATATTTATTCGGTTTGAACTTTGATTAAAATAGAAAATAAACTTTTAATTGTTCAATAAAAAAATAATTTCGAATGATTATACGTGAAAATCAAACTTATTCAATTTCACCAACCTTTTTGAATTTTCACAGCCAATCGCTTCAATTCTTTTATTTCCACACAAAATCTCGACATTCCGCCTCGAAAAAGACGCTACTCTCGTCGTCTGCGTCTCCGCAGGGGAAAAGCATTTTCGTTCCCTCCTCGAGTCGGGCGCAGTTTTGAATTAGGAGGGCGCCGCTCGCTTCTCTCGTCGGTTTTAACCCAGTTACTCAAGGTAATTGAGTGTTCTGACCATTCTTCGGAATGCGTTAGCAATACAATTTTTGGATAGCTTAGCCGGGGATTTCCGGTTGAGCAAAATGCTTAAAAAATGTCGTCTTGGCAGGTTTCCTAGTGGTTGCAGAGAACGTGAACCTATCCAACCACTAGGAAACTTGCCAACACGCCTAGGGCCTACTTGTGTTCAAAGTAACCCGAATAGTTGATGGAATGATTCTTGAACTTGATCATTTCGTGAAAAAATATAACTAGTTCGTGAAAACCGCAACTCTTGAAGGAAAGGGACAAGGAAAAGCGCCATATTTGGGTCATTCAGCGGGCGTTTTACTATGCGTCGCTGGAAAATCGCCCATTTTTCTTTATGCGATTCAGAAAACGGATACTCATCGTCTATCTCATAATTGTTCTGGTCGTTTTGGTTATTTTCGTCATTTTTGGTCTTGATTTTAGAGATAAAGGATTGAGAAATGGTGAGTTACGCGATTATTTTGAATAGGGATGAAAAAAAATTAGCCACAAAGGATTTTATAAGTACTCTAGTTCAAGAAGAAAAATTGAAAAAACTTTCCATTTGAAAAAAAAAGTTCAAAAAAATTTTATTATTCAATCAGAATCCACTGATTTTTCGAAACTTTTGAAAAAAAAGAGCTCTATTCAGTTTACAAGGCTTTCCGATGCCCGCAAGCGCAAGTCGGTTGTAGTCTGGCGCAAGTTAGGCCAATTTCAAACGTACCGGAATCCACAGAAAATTTTTCAGAAAACTCGAATAAACTTGTCGAAAAACGGTCCTTAAAAGGAGCTCCAATCATCTCCCGTTCAGTTCTGATCGGCTACGCCAATGCCGACAAACTCCAAATTTTTTCAGCCTATTCCTTTGAGGATGAAATTATTGTGCTTATTTCTTCATATGGGTTCCTAAGGTCTGTTTTTATTGTTATTTATTGTTACTTCATCGACCACGACTTAAAACTGCCTAACCTGTCTCTGCTATCTTTTCTCTCATCGGAGAAGTAAAAGAACCATTAAAATAGCATGTAAATACCGGAGTGCGCAGAGAACTCAGAAATTTTCAAGATGTGGCAGAGATGATTCAGTGCTTTTCCTACTGTTACCGTATACCTTAAAAATCTACCTTTTACTGGTTATTCGAAACAGTAAATCCCAATAAACTCGAAATTACTCCGATGTTTAAAAATATTAAAATTCCAGCCGACGTGTCTACTGCCGCCTATTCGACTCCCGAAAAGACGAAATTTCCTCAACGGAAGCTGTAGTTTTCCCGGAATATACTGTAAGATGCCCTGCACATCAAAGTGCCGAAATGGTTGGATTGTCGATAAACGCCAAGGACAAGCTGGAAAATGGGCAGATGCATGTTTTAATGAAGGGGGATGGTGAGTATCTATGCAAGTTTTGAAAAATCAAACCTCAAGTCCGAAATTCAAAAATGACGTCCCTTAATAACTTTCTTCAAATGGGATCAGACTTCTTGAAAAAATTTTTTTGAAGGTGACGTCAACCAAAGAAATGCCCAAATATGACGTCACAAAAGGGTTAAATGACGTCACTTTCCCTTAAAAGTCGGCCTATGACGTCATTCTTCTCAAAAATGACGTCAGAACCGTAGAATTTTTCTAAATTTAGATTTTCCGTCACATGTATCGGGAAAAGCCCGATTTCTGAATTTCAAAACTTTCAGAAGACCAGAAAAAGTTCGACTTTTCCGTCTGCCTAGCCCCGATTTTCGGCTCCAGCCCAAAATGGCTGCTTCTCGTCGAATTTATCGAATTCTACAGGCTTCAGGTTGATTTTAGGCACAGTTTTCAAATTGTAAAATAATGAAAAAATGATTTTCTTTTTTTCCAGGGCGCCGAAAACTTCCTGATTTATGTTCAAGAAATCAGCAATGTGACAGAAAAAGTGCTCGAGAATTACGTTTCGTCGGGAATTTTGAGGACAATAAAAATGGGAAATTCGACGAAATGTTTGAAAAAGCACCGGTGTCGCCATGAGCTTCAACTCCAGGTGAAAGTTCGAAAAGAGTAGAATCCAAAAATTGTACAAAAATCATAATTGTCCATGGAGTGCTCAAGACCTGGCATTCGTGGCTATTTTTTCTAACCCCAATTTTTTAGGACTGTATAATGCGAACCAGAGGAGCGTCGAAATGGGTAGCTACCGTTGATTTGGACGAAAGGATCATGGAAATTGATCAAAATCGGAAAATTGTCGACTTTTTGAGGTTGATCAATGCGATGGTCGCATTTGGAATGGCTCGAAGACGCGACCGACTTGAAATCAGAGCTCATTTAAGCCATTCCAAACGCGGCCACTTCGAGTTATATATCATTTTTCTGAGATTTCAGGGACCAAGAAAACCCGAAAATCGGAGAAAATCGATTCCGATGCTCCTGGATTTTACGCTATGAGGATATTCCTGAATCTTTGGAAAAAGTTGAAGAAATGGAAAATTTTCTTCCGATGCTGGCCTGGCACAATACAAGCCACGTGGCGCCGCAGAATCACACGACGAAAAGTGTCGTCCGACCTGAAACGGTTTTCGCTCGCTTGAAAAGTTTTGAGTGGTCTGCGCTTTTTTGCTTGAGGGAGAGATAAGAGAGCGCAGACATGTCAGACTGCTCTGAGACTCGTGTAATGAATGGGGGGATAGAGATTTTCAGAAAATGATTCAAAATCAGCCGAAAATTGGTTTTGAAGCTCATTTTTTCAAGCTGGAGAAGGATTTTAGTTGTTTCTGTCTTATTAAGGTCGAATCGATGGGAGTTCACGGGGTTCAAAAGTTCAAAAAGGGGTTCGACGTCAACCTGGTCGACCCGGGAATCGCCCTAGTTCGGTAAAATTTTCCCCTTCTTTTAATGAAGTAAAAATCAATTAATTTCCAGTCACTACCGCCACACTTCCGGCTGGTCCTACTTTCTGAAAGAGGCCGAATCGTTTGGAAACTTCACAAACTTCCAATTAGACCCAAATTTTGCTGAAAAATTGTTATCGAGTACCAAAAAGAAACTGGGAGAAATATTTTTCGAGTAAAACATTTCCACCGATAATTTTCATTCAAAATCGTGAGAGGATCGAGCAAAATTAGTACAGAATAAGAGTTACAAAATGGGAAATTAGTCGATTACTGCATAGTTATCATCGCCGGTCGTGTTGTAAATGTGGCCTTCGTTGACGAGGAACTCCAAGTCGGACTGAAGGCTTTTTGTGCTGGTTGAGCCGATTTTCTGAAAACTGGACTGTAAAACCAAAAAAACAATTCCGATATGATCAAGCGGAGCGGTTGCGTCGCGGTTTTCACAATATTTTTCGGAAAAAAAAATTTTTCGCTTTTTTTTTTTTCAAAAACCAACCTCCTTGATATAATCAAACGAAACGCCTTCCTCGCCGAAATTCGCCTTGTCTCGGGTCAAAAGGTCCATAATCTTAAAAATTACAGATTCCACAGACAATAATGATCAACTTTGTTTGGAATAGGAAAAAAGGGGTATATGTCAAAAGAGCTGTGAGAATCGAGCTAAGAAAAGTGAGCTGATGAAAAAATTGCCAGCGATAAAATTGCCAGCGAAAAACGATCTGCGAAAATTTTGCCCACCGTTGGCAAAATAGTTGACTACATATTGCGCTCCACCGATAACGCGCTGATGACAGATTTTGAATTTTCGGAAAATTTTTTTCATTATTTTTGTTATTTCTTATTTGTTTTCATTCATTTTCTTTTTCATTTTATTGTGATCTCGTGCAGAAAAGTTCTATTTATTTTCCGCTTTGAATGAAATCGGGCGAAGTCAGTCTATAAGAGTTGAAAAAAACATTTTTAATAATGAAAAAAATGTTTCAGGACGCTTAAAAAGAAATCAGGGTGGATTGATTGATTGAATTCTTGCGATGAGGATAAGTTCGAGTATTGGTTACGCAACTTCACGAGAGATGAAGACAATTTTCATCGGGAAACCCTGTCATGCTCACTTTTTGTTCTTTTTTTAGGTTTTTTCATAAACTGATATTTTGTTATGTTCATCATTTTCAATATGCAACGCGCAATTAAAATTTTTTTAATTGATCATTAAACGCAAAATCTGGAAAAAATTATGTATCTTAGCTATCATTTTTCTCACTTCTGAATTTTTGTCTTGTCCTTTTTTCTGACGTTTCAAAACTTACTCTCAATGATTCAACAATGTAATTTGAAACCATTAAATATAGAAAAAAAAAGAAAAAAAACTTGATTTCAAGATAATGAAGCGTCGAAATGAACGACTTTTCAAAAAAATTTTGTTGCTGCTGTCGGTGGAGCGCACAGTCGCGCGATTAACCTGCCAACGGGGGGCAAAATTTTCGCAGCTCGTTTCTCTCAGCTGTTTTTTCCCCGGCAATTTTTTCGGCAGCCCATTTTTCGCTGGCAGTTTTATCTCAAACAGTGAGGAGGCTCGATTTTCGCAGCTCATTTGACATATACCCGAAAAAAGGCTGCAGATCTTATCTTATGTCAACTAATACCATTTCTCACTTTTATTATCAAATAAAAACTTTGCCCTTTCAAGTGTTCCCTAAAGCGACTGGAGACTACTTTAGTGGTCACTACTAGAGTTCTCAAAATGACCAATTGAAAAGAATGACATTTTTCAAAAACGAAAAATTTTCTTTTTGACATTTCAAACGAATGTCGTTTTTGAAACATCTACCAAAATTGATCACTTTCATTCTTTTTCATTTTGTGACTTTTTCAAATAATGGCTGAAAAAAAATAAATGTTCATTTTTTTAACCAAAATTTCCGAAATGAACTTTAAATGTTCATTTTTTTGAACAAAATTTTTCAAAATGAATTTTTAAATGTTTACTTTTTTTGACCAAAATTTTTCAAAAAGTAAAATTTAAATGTTCTTTTTTTGACCAAAATTTTTCAGAACGAATTTTTAATTGTTTACTTTTTTTGTACAAAAAAATTTTTTTCAACTTTGAAAATTAAATGTTCATTTTTTTGGCCGATAATTTTTTCCGAACCTGGATTTTTCCGAACCAAAATCCAAATCATTACTTTTCTTTTTTTCCTCATTCAATTAGATCTTTAGCTTTGCCCTTCACCATCCAGATCACTGTTTTTCCAACAGATTTTTTTAATTTTAACCAGAAATTAGTTTGAATTTCGAAGTAATCGATTCAAGATTTCATTTGGAGAAGACTGAGATAGAATTGACTCCGACACAGATACTGCCAAGAGCCGTAATAGTAATGAATAAAGTAATGAATAAATGCATACCTTTTTCGAAAAAAATGTTCAAAGTGAAATTTGAATGGTCACTTTTTTTCTGACCAAAATTTTTCAAAGTGAACTTTAAATGTTTACTTTTTTTCGACCGAAAATTTCAAAGTGAAATTTAAATGTTCATTTTTTTAACCAAGAATTTTTTTCGAAAAAAATAAGTAATTGTTCATTTTTAAATGCTCAGTTATGAAATTTAACCAAAAATGAAGTTTTTTTAACAAACGGTTCATGTGAAATTTAACTAATTGGTCGAATTCATTAAACGTTCAGGAAATGTTTGGTTGAACGTTCGTTCAAACATTTACTTTTGAGAACTCTAGTCACTACATAACTGATAAAAATGTAAATTCTATCGAAACTCCTCTGTTCTTTTAAGTGAACACTATAGTGACCTAAAACTACTTCAGTGGTCACTAACTCCCTCATAAAAATCTGAAATTTTGGGTAAACTCGTCTGTCCTTTCAAGTGATCATTAAAGTGACTTGAACCTACTTCGGTGGTCACTAAAATATTGATAAAAGTCTGGAATTTCAGCTCCCTTCAAGTGAACAATAAAAAGGCTATGAAACTACTTAAGGGCTCGCTAAAAGATTCAGAAAAACCTCAAAATTTCGTCAAAATATTCTGACTCAATACGTTTCCACTGAAAAACTCAAAAATTTCTGAAATCTTGATGGAAAAAAAAACATTCTGAAGCTTTCATTTATGAATATGTCAAACCAAAAAGACAATTTTCACAAACCTTGCCCCTCTGACCGGGGAATTTATGCTTGCTGACGCCGGCTGAAGAATCTCCGCCATTCATTCCGGCTCCATAGGGCTGACCGCTTTGTGGATAAATCCTTTCGGGAGCTTGAGAGCCTCCCATCGACTGCAAGACATTTTAATAAACAAATATATTCGGCATTAAAATACATGTCCAGGTTGCTGATGATCAGCAGGCGCTCCGGCGGGAGTTCCGATCAATTGCTTGACGTTCTGCGTCTTGAGAAGCTGGGGAATGTTCTGGAATCGGTTCGGATTAGAAAAAGGTCATGGAAAGCCCTGAAAACTTTTCTGATGCTTTTTTCTTCCAAAAAAGCTGAAAATTCTTTTTTTGCTAAATACTAGGAAGTTGGGACTTTCAGAATCTTCATCTCGTACGGTTTCAGGAAAATCAAAACCAGCAAAAAATCATTTTTTAATGCAAAAAGCTTATCAAAAACCCAAGAGAAAAAAAAAATCTTCACTTTGGAAAAGTACATGGCGGCAATTTGAGCCTCTAAAACGAAGGCCTGATATTCCTTCTCATCGGAGACCTCGTGCAAGCCGAACGCCATGATTGCTGAAAATTAAAATGTTAAAAATCAGATGAACTGTAGATTTTTACAATTCGTCCCATCGAAAGAACGAAGTTTTCCAATGGCAATGACGCGAGCGCCTTCCGCCACGGGGTCTTCCAACACATCGGCTCCGGATTCCTGGAAAATGCGGCCGTTTAATGATGAAAAAAAATTCAATAAAAAAGACTATGAATCAAGATTTTCAGGTAGAATATTTTTGATACTTCTTAGAGATGAAAACATTGAAAAAACAAACATCGGTGGTATATTTGTTGACGATATACTCCTTATCGTAATCATCTGGATCTTGAAGCACATAAATGTGTGTGGCACTGTCCGCTTGGATCGATTTCACGATTCCAATCGTTGTGACCTCAAAATAAACTTCATTGTTTATAATTATAGCTCAAAAACTGACCGTGGCGAAGTGATAAGTGCCCAAAACGTATTTATCCGCGGCTGAGTGAACACTATCCGCCAAATTAGCAATAGTGACGGGAACTGGAAGCCGCTCGCCAATTTTCGACAGTTCAGAGTCCTAAAAATTCAGAAAATAGTTTTTTTTCCCTTGATGATCTCTGTAAAACCTTAGAAACTCCTTGGTCGTTTCCATAGCCGGAGTCCATCCAGCCTCCAGCATCCAAAGTGGAGAAACTCGCATCCCACGCCATTTTCCGACTAAAAACTGCACGGAGTTTTTCGAAATATATCAAAAACGAGATTAAAAGAAACGACAAAATTTTGAGCACATCTAAACTTGCTAGAGTAAGTTTTTATATTATTCACGATAGCCCTTAAATCGCTATGGTATAACGTATGGAGGAGCCAAAGAAAAAGAATTTAAGGGAAACGGGAAAAATAGACATGTTTTTGAAAACAAGAGCTTCAAAGATTGTTTCAAGGTTTTTTTTTCTCATTAACCAGCGTAGATTCGATTTATGCACAAACCATCCATAACCAGCAATCAGAACCTTAAAAGAATCACAGAAAGACAAGAAAAACGAGCGAAAATCTGAAACGAAAAAATTTTCGCGCTCAAAATTTCCCCCGACCCTCGTCGTCTGCACGCCTCTTGCATAAGCTACCACGCCCATCAAAGTGTGCCGCAAGTCCGAGAGCCGCGCTTCAAATCGCTTTTTTTTCCATTAATTTTCGTTTTATTAATTTATTTTGATTAAAAAATTGTCTTGGTTAAGGTAATGGGTAACCAGTACGTGAAACCTGAACGCCATGGAAATTCGCCGTACACACGGTCAGGCGTGCCGCCGCCGGCGCTTGTTAAAACTTCAGACAAGCCTTTGCACAGGTTTTTTTAGCTTTTTATTTTTTTCTGTATTAATGGATTTGGTTGGAGGTTGTTTAATACATACTATTCAATTAGAATTCTTGAAATTACAAAATGAAGCAGTAAGAATCATTTTTTTACCGAGTTGTGTAATTTTTATACTTTTTTTCAAAAATCATTTCTTATAATTGTTTATAAATTTTTTTAAAGAGTTGTGCTTATTGGAATCAAAGTTGTTTTGAAACCCGTTTTTTCTAACAAAATTCGCAATTTCAAAGTTTCTGTCTGAAAAAATTTTTTATTTTTTTATTCATTTGAAAAATTCCTACTTTTTCATTTTTAGTTTTGAATATGAGATGTGACTTTTTTGGGAAAAATTTGAAAGTGGAAAAAAAATTTTCAATTTTTTTGATGGTTCGGAATTTCTAAAAAAAAAAAGTTGTTTTTTATCTTCTCTGCGCCTTTGATAAGGCCGAAATATCATCAAGAAATATTTATGTGATCAATTTGGAACATGATCTCGAGAATCGAACTTTCACTGAAGTACCATAACGCGAAAAGGCGCCCTCAAGCCAGCCTCATCCATTGGCGCAATCGGTAGCGTGTCTGACTTGCGTCCGAATGGTCGCCGGTTCAACTCCTGCCCGCGCCTTTTGCTCTGATCACCGCCTAATTTCCACGAGTTGGGAACTCGGGCGGACCGAGGTACAGAGCGAAATGGAAGGATCGCCCGAGCAAGCGACCAGCCACCCTTCTGCGGCTGGTCGTCTAGCGTGGGGACCTACATTTTTTCCATTTTTGGCATGATATATCTTTTAGTTATTACTTTTCAATGATTAAAGCATTTATCGAAAGAAAATACCGGATTTTAAGATAGAATTAATAAATTGAAGGCTAAGATTTAGAAAAATAGTTATATCGTAATTTTAGAATACCTGAAAACTATTAGATTTCATCGAAAATGCCTCATTTTTCAGGGTGAACGACCCGATGTCGCTGGAACTCCACATGGCGGATGAGCGCGTGCGTGCGGCCGGTTTGAGTCCGGCGGAGCGAGAATGGCGCAAGAAATGGGTCCATGTTAGTCGAAGAAAAGCCACAAAAAATGATTCATTTTTCTTAGGATCAACATTTGCACGCCGATGAGCCGATTGTAGTCGATGCGGTTCATAGGCAACTCAATCCGATTCGCGTTTTCTACCGCTTGCCTTGGGACAAGTTCTACAAGCATTATTTGCAGGTGGGAAGCAAATAAAAAAATAAAAAAATGGTTAAAAAAATTAAGAAATTTTTGATATTAAGATTTGTAAATTGTAGTTTAGAAGGGATATTAGACGCGTGAAAAAAAGTGAAAAAAATCGAATAAAAAAATTATTTCCTCTGGTTAGAATCTAGAAAATTAGGAATTTCGACTTCGATTTTTATCAAATTTAAGTCAAAAAGCTTATATTGAAGCATGAAAAAAAGTCAGAAATTTGAAAAAAATATTTTTTTATTATGAGTAAAACTGGATAATTAAGTGTGTAGAAGCTTATTAGAACAGACTTTCAGCCAACTTTCGGCACGTATTACGGTACCGCCATCCGGGTTACTGTACCCAAGGTGGTCATGGCTTTCATCGTACTTCAAACCGCCTATTACTACTGGAAATTTGAAGTCAAAGGTTGGTTTTTGTTCGGATTTTTCAAGTTTTCTTGAAAGTTAGGCGTCATTTCATAGATTTAATCACGTTTTTCAAGGATTGGGCTCATTTGCGTGGTATTGAAACGATGCCACAAAAGGAAGTTATCATGAACGCCCAGACGATTGAGAAGAAATTCCCCGGATTGCTGGAAAAAGGCCTTTCCAACCCCGCCAAAGACGACTATTACACGTGGGTTTTTTTTTTCTGCTTTTTCTTGGGATTTGCCGAAAAAAAATGATGGAACTATATTTAGAGACATGTATGCGTTTTTGTGGAAATTTCAGCTTCTTGTGAATTTTTTTTTATCGTTTTGATAGGGCCTTCTGAAGCCCACAAAAGTTCTTCAGGAAAAATTCGAAAATCTTTTAAAAATTTCTTTTTGCTTCTTTTTATACCTTTTTACCTTTTCGAAAAGCTCGTTTTGGTAAGGAATCTTTTTTTTAGTCTTTCTGAATTTTGCCTATGAAAATAAAGAGCAAATGGCTAAATTTTACTACTCGGGCAAAGTCGGAATGGTGGATAAGAGCCGTTAAAAAAGAGGCTCAAAAAAGGCCCCAGAAAGGAGGCAAAAAAAGCTTTCGTCATCCTAAAAGATACATTTCTGGAGGCTTTTTCCACCCTTTCCGGCTTTGCCTATGTAGAAATTTCATGAGTTTTTGTGGAAAATCAGTTTCTTGGGCGGCTTTTTATCACTTTGAAGCGGGTTTTTTCAGACCCAGAAAAGATTTTTCAAAAAAAAAAGTCCTTTACCTTTTGGACATGTTTTTTGCTTCTTTTCATACCATTCACCTTTTGAAAATCTTATTTCGGTAAGAAATCCTTCGTTGATCCTTCTGTACGTAATGATTTCCTCCCAATAATTATTTTTTTGTCGAAATTCAGGCCAACGTTCAACAAACGTACCGCTTACCTCGACGTCGGAGAAACGAAACGACCGTGGTGAAAAAAAAGAAGGAATTTGGCAGTTTCTAGCGATTTAATTGTAGTTTTTTTGTCCCATAGATTCTATTGTTTTATTATTTTCATTTGTTTTTCTATTTTTTTCTAATGCGTTGACTTCAATGATACTTGTACTTTTTTTAGGGTGTTTTTTTCAGAAATTCTTCAGAATTAAGAATAAATTTTTTTATGAACTGTTTCTGGTTTATTGAATTGTTCTATTGGTTCTGAATGACCATAGTATTTTTTTAAATTTTTCGTTTTTATAAGGAATTATGAGAGCCAATATTTTTTTAGTGTCATATGGTTTATGTAAATTTTTTTGTTTCAGGCTTTTTTTCTATTACAAATTTTTGTAATTTTTCACTTTTTCTTGTTCTATTTAACATTGAAAAATAGGATTTCGTTGAAAAAATCCAGCCCTGTTTTGCTAAATTTTTCTGAAACCCTTGTGAAATCTCTAATTTCTACGTTTTATCGATTTTTCTTCTTGCAAACTCAAAATTTCGACCTTTTTTTCTCGAATTTTTAAACTTTAAAAGCAGTTTTATGTGGAAGATTTGCATTGAAAAAAATCATTTTTTTCAGGGTTAGATCGGTAATTTTTTTCAGAAACTTTTGAAAAAAATCCATAAAATATTGAGATAATTTATCATTTTCAGGTTTATATATGGCTCTTTCCTAGCATTTTTCAATTGAATTCTTCCTTTTTTACCCCCTCTCTCGTTCAAAATGAACGCTAATCAACGAGCCAACCAACTAAAAAGGTTTTTTTGCCATAAAAAAATCTAAAAAAATTCCATTTTTTTCCAGGATTTCGTCGAGAAAAAAATTATTTCGACATGGAAACTCTGTTGACTCGTGCGCTGTACAGAGTCATGGCGGATAGTAAGGTTGGTTTTGGAATATCCTGAAAATGAAGAAAATATTTTTTCAGGACCGGGAAAGAGCTCAAAATCTTCATAATAATGTGGATAAGATGGATTTTTTAACGGCACAGGTGGTTTTTTGGTTTTATATTGATGAAAACTTTGTTTTTCTCTTATGATTCAGTTGTTTCTAGAAATTTTTTTGTTTTTTTAACTCCAGATTTTTTTCGAAAATTTTTTTGGAACTTTAATTAAAAATTTTTTTGTAAGCGAAAGGAATTTTTTTATAGCATAAAAATATATGTTAGTTGAGAAAGCTTCAAGTTTTGAATATTTGAGAGCTTAATTTTGTCATGAAACGATTTTTTAATCATTTTTAAGAGTTTTGAACAACGATTAGTGAAAAATGGACCATGAAAAGATGAAAATTTCAACTTTAAGGTCTAATTTTTGAACCAAAGTCTTGAAAATTAGTCGCTCTGAAGTTTTTTTTTCTCATGATTCTTCTTCAGCCCACTATTCCTGTTGTACAACCCCGTAGACCAATCCAAACTCGTCCAGCTCCAACCGGAGATGTCCAGCTCCAAATGAGGCTCATCGCTCAGCAGGTAGATTGATTCGAAAATGAAGATATTTTCTTCACGTTTTTTTTAAGCTCTGCGGAAAGTTGGAACGAAAATACGAGAAAAGGCTGGCTGAAATGAGGGAAAAAGACCGTGACGACGTGGAGAAGCGAATTTTCGCCATTCGTGAAGAGTTCGACGACAGAATTCGGTCGCAGAAGGATAGGGTTTGTAGAATTTTTGTTCGTTATATGTTAGAATATATAAAAATCGTTCTTATTAAGTTGTAAATCTATAGTTTGAGGTGAAGTTCAAGGATTTTTCCAACTAATTTTTTTAAAGTACCTCTGAAATTTTTTTTAAAGGACTCGTAAATTTGTAACGCGGAACGGACGTTTCTGTGCCTTTCTAGGGATCACTTAGGAGCGCTGAATCTCCTAAAGTGGTCACTTGAAAAACGTCCTTTTCGCGTTACCAATGTCTGAGGAAACATGGACTTCCGATAACTTTTCTGAAAACTGATTTTTTTGGTTGGGATATTGAATTTTTCGGATTTTTTATCTTTTCTGGTCGGTTTCTCGTTTTGAGAAAAGAAAATTCCAATTTTTTGTCGGACTTAGGGATTCCAGAGTGGTCCCTATAGAGGTTAGGGGGAGAAGAACTTCATCAAGAGCCGAAAAATTGGTCCCTATAGAAGTAAAATTGAGGTGGTCCCTATAGTGGTTTAGAGTTTGATTCCTTAGCTCCTGAAGCTTAAGTGGTCTTAATAGGGGTAAAATAAGGGTGGGCCCTATAGGGTTTTAAGGTCCGACCCCCTAGCCCTAAACCTCAAGTGGTCGCTTTAGGGGTCTGTCATTGTCGTTCAAAAGCTTATTTGTTCAGCTTTTTCCCATCGAAATGCTTCTTCGCTCATAGTTAAAAATCATTCCTGTAGGGTCCACTAATTGAAACCCCTATAGGGACCACTGCAAGCTTTAGTGCCCCTATAGGGGTTGGTAAAGGGTTCCCTAGAGGTGACCCTTCAAGGACCTCTAATTTTTCCCCTATAGGGACCCCTTTGGAGTTTCTAAGTTTCCAGTTTTTTTCAATCCTTCTTCTCTTACAGATATTTTTTCCATTTTTTCCGTTCCATAATTTTTTTTTCCAGCTCGAACGAGAAAAAGAAAGATGGAAAGAACAAATGAAGGAACATGAGAGAAGTGCCGAAAATCGAGTCGAGATGAAGCTGAACGAAAGAGAAGCCGATTTGGAGCTCCAAAGAAGGGATCTGAGCAATCGAGCCGCGGAACTTGAGCTGAATCGGGAGAATTTCGAGAGAATGAAGGGGGAATTCAAAAGGTGGATATCTGAAAAACTTTCAAAAACATTAAAAAATACCAAAAAAAAATTTTTTTTTTCAAGTTTCCGTTGTTGAAAATGACTAAACTGAAAGTAAAAAAAGAAGTTTTTCCAGAAAAGTTGACGGCCAAATAGAGAAAATCAACACGGAGCGACAACGATTGGCCGTCCTGGAATCGCAATTTCGAAATGATCAAAAGTTGTTTCGATTCGAAAAAGGAAATAATTAATTATATTCAGTTCTGACGCTATGATCGGCCATGAAATGAACCTGTGGAAGAGCCGAGCCGAGGATTTGGAGAAGGAACTCGGAGAAACGAGAAAAAAACTTTCCGATGCGCTGAGGGAAAATTTTCGGCTCAGAGATGAGATCGATGGGCAGAGCCATCTGAAGGTTTAAAAAATGAAAATTTCACAGTTCTTAAGAAAATATTATTGGAAAGGGTCGTTGAAGGTTGGGAAGACGACGAAAAATCGTTTTCTTTATTTTTCAAAAGTTTCCTTCTCCGTATACAATTTTTCTACATGAACTATGGCTGATTCACGGCTGGCTTGAGCCTTTGAAAAAAAGGGTCCTGACACGATAATGCACGAGATAGCGCCTGGCTCGTGGAGAGCGCAGACAGGACACGCCTTCTTAGCGTCCCAAACTGGCCGTGAATCAGCTATACTCATAAAACAGAAAAATCGATAACTTGATCGCTTTTAGAAGGAATTACACACGGTGGTGCAGAAGTTGGCCGAAGAGCGGGAAGAATTGTCAAGGCTAAAAATCGAAAATCGAAGAATGGGCGATTATGAAGACGTCAAGATGGAAAATAAAAGCTTGAAAGAGGAGGTGAAGAAAATGAACCTGTATAAAAATCGATATTTTTTTAAGATTTCCAAGCAGCGCCAAAGATTCCTCCAGTCTTTGGACCAAGCCTTGGAAGAGCGTTCATCTGCATTTTCAGAAAAAGAAAAGAGGCTTCAAATGGTGGCCAGTGAGGCGAGAAACCATGCTGCGGTTGCGGTTAGTTTTGGATTCGTTTTTAGGCGAAAAAAAATTGGAAAATTCCAGAATCCCCCCCTCCCCCGTATCCGAACAAGCCCCCCACCAAGGCAAATTTGGATGGGTGCGGGGTGAAATCAAAAGTCCTTTTGTGGGGTTCTATTTCTTATTCGAGAATCCCCCTCGCCTTCATCCAACTTTCAATAAGCATTGAAAGCCTTGCCCGGATCAGCCCTCCCCCACGTCCGAACAAGCCCCCCCACCAAGGCAAATTTGGACGGCTGGGGAGGTCTATATCTTATTCAAAAAAATCCCCCCACCCAGCTTTGGAATAAGCATTGAAAGCCTTGTTCGGATCAGCCCTCCCCCATCACATACTACCAGATCATCGAAAATTGGAAAAAAAATAGCTGTAAAATATGTAGTATACATGATTAATTTATCAAAAAAACCCAAAATAGAAACTATAAAATGTAATTTTTATCCAATAAACAGGACTTAGAAGTTTTTATAAAAAGCATGTTACATGTCATTTTCTAGTAATAACTTCATGAAAAAAATGAAAAAAATGAAGACGAAAAGAAAAGAAGCTTTCCAAGTGTTTCTAGCCTTTAATAAAGTGTTACATTGTTTTGAGGAATATTTTTTTCAGACCGAAAGATCGCGAGAACTTGAAATGGAAAGAGACGTCTTGAGAAACGAGTTGAAGTCTCTCCAAAAATTGGCTGGAAAATCGGCTTTCAGAAATTCCGCTAGAGGTTCCAAGCCAGAAAACTCGAGATTTTCAAGGTCCCCCCGTTAAAAAAAAAACCAAAAATTTTTAACTTTTAGGTCCCGACGCGAATTATCGCCAGAACAGTCTTCTTCATCACTGTCCGAAGGGGAAATGGAGATTTTGAATATTCGTCAGAGGATCCAGAATCTCGACGAAATTGCCAAAGAATTGGACGCCTCTGTTGAACATTACTCCATGTACAACCATGCTCCTGATTTGCAACATGTTAAAAGTTTCCGGGAGGAGGAGAGCAAGGTAAAATCGACATAAGAAAGTTTTCGAGTACCTCTATTTTCAGGTAGAGATGTACGACGACTTCTGTCGCGCTCTGAATGGCCATCAGAACACGTCATCTCCCCAGAAACCTTTGAAAAGCCTCAACGAAGTAGAGGAGCCGAGGAAATTGCGACTTTTCGAACTCCCTGAACGTGTTATTGAAACTCCCAATACTGATACAAGGGCCAGCTCGGAGGCGTCGAATCGGATGAAGACTTGGGTGGCGCTTGGCGACGTCAGAAGAGCTTCTGGAGCGGCTAGAATAGGAAACGACGGAAGAGCTGCTGAAGCGGATAGAACCGCCGGATTCTGCGAGGCTTCTGAAGCGACCAGGGCGACCAGACAAGCTGGCTCTAGTCATGGAGTTGTCAGAGAGGCTTCTGAAGCGACCGGGACGGCCAGACAAGCTGGCTTTAGTCATGGTGACGTCAGAGAGGCTTCTGAAGAGATTGAAACGTCAAGAAGAATGGAATCTTCCCGTGGAGATGTCAGAGGAGCTTCTGAAGACGTTGGATCGTCAAGAAAGGGGGTATCTCCTCGTGGAGACGGCAGGGAAGAAGAAGAAGTCAAGACACCCTTCAAGCCCCTGACGTCATCTGGAGAAGTGCCCTCATCTGATTCTACTGCCACACAATCTGCTTCTTTGGAAGAACGGCTTAACTCGAGATCGGCTGCGAGGTCGCAAAAGCAGAAAATGTTGAATCAGGTACGTTTTTTTTTCACCTATAAATGGCAGAGCCTTGCTAAACAGAAGCTGAAGTGAACTTTCAAAAATTGGCAGCGCCCAAACGGAAAGCTTTCAAGGACCTTCAAAATTTTGACAGTTTTCCGAGTGCCTAGTTTTAGCAGCACCCTACTGAGCAGTGACTAGAGAAAGCTTCCCAAAATTGGCAGCGCCTAAAAAATTGAAAGCTTCCAGAACATTCGAAAATTTGGAAGTTCCATGACCGCGTATAGTCTGTTCATTGTTTGAATGTCGACCAGCTAACTCCGCCCCTGCTGAGGCGGTACCTTTTGGAGTTAGCTGCTTTACATTCAAAATCTGAACAGACTATAAATTCTGAAGACCCTTGCTGAACAGAGGCTGAAGATAGCTTCCTGGATTTGGCAGCGCCTAAAAAATTGAAAGCTTCTAGAATTTTCGAAAATTTGGCAGCTCCCTAAGCACCTAAATTTGCAGACCCTTACTGAACCGAGTTCTTTGTAAGCTTATAAATTTGAAAAAAAATGAGCAGTTAATCAAGCAGCGCCTGATTGAACATCATCTAATGGAATCTTTCAAAAATAGGCAGTGGAAAGTTTACGTTTTTATTAGTTTTAGATTTTTGAAGTTCAGTCGGGTTAAAAAACGCTTACTAGTTGAGTTTTTTCGAAGAACCGGAAAAAATTGAGAAAGTAGGAAAATTAATGAAGGGTTTTTTACTTTTTTTAAAGCCTGGATCATATTTTATTCGTTTCGAACTTGTTGAATGAATGTTGGGCAAGAAAAAAACAAGAAATTCTCTTTTTTTCTTATTTCATTTCAAGTTATGAAAATTTCAACTTTAAAAAAAGGTTTTTCAATAAGTTCAATTTAAAAGTTTTTCAGCTTGCCGAACCTGAACCGACACCCTCTAAAAAAACCAGCTCAGCCTGAAGTTCGAATAAAAAAACTGAGCCAGTATCGGAAAGCGTGGAAAAATCCTATGTTTTTCTGGCGTCGACCCGGTCATGGCTGAATATATGCAGCGGCTGATGGCCAACAAGCAAACGGAGGTACAAAAATTCACGAAAAACTGTAGAAATGATGATTTTTGTTCAGAAGAAACCCATGAATGAGCCGATTCAAGTGAAAAATGAAGTCGAGGTGACTTTTGGAGATGAAGTTGATTTGGACGTCGGCAGTGGAAAAGGCAGCGACTCGGATTGGTGATTGAAAAATAATTGTATTTTCTGTAGCCATTTTCATTTTTTGCACTCAGGGATCCATTTTTTCACTTAAAAGTTAATGGCAGATTTTTGGCTCTCATATCATATCAATTTATTGCTTCGATTGAAAAAAGAAACGTATTTTTCAATAGTTTCCTGTTAAGAAAGATTTCTTGAAAGTTTCTACACCTGCGTTTTTCTAAAATAAGTCATTAAGGATTTTTTTCAGTTTCAGGCTTTTTACTATGATTTTACATATCGCATGATTTTTTTAACTTATTTACTCTTTTATTTGTCAAATACAATACTTTCTTGTTTCCGTGAAGTTGCTCATATCATTCTGATTTTATCGATACTTTTGTGCACAATTTAAATTTTGTCATTTTTTTACAAGATCTCTCTCGAAACTTAGTGATCTCTCCTTTTTATCCTTCATAATTTCTAATTCTTTTTTTAATTTTTTTCGCACTCAAGTATTTTTTTCTACTGCATTTCTTGTATCACCTGCTCCTGTATTTTTTTTTTGAATGTCTTTCATTTTTAAAAATAAATATAATATAATTATTTTTTTCAGATGGAGTTGAAGTTGCAGTCTGATCAATGTGATGCTTGGATTGAATTCCTATTTTATTTTTGATTTTTAAAGAGTAGCTTAAGTTCAACTGAATATTTAATTGAAGCAAAATCATTTTTATTATGTTATTGATTTTCAACTGGAAATTTTAGTTTTTTGATGCGACGGAATCGTTTTTTTCTCATCGTATTTGTAACATGCCTTTTCATTTATCTCATCGTTCATTGTGAGTTATCTTTTTCAAAAGAAGTGTTCAAGAATCTCCGCTGGAGTGTTCAAAGGCAAAAATACACTTTTTTCCGCTTGGAGACCTTTTTGTAGATATCCCATGCTCCTTTAATGCAGTGTTTGAAGTAATTTACGCAAAATGCAAAATTATATCTGGCTCTCCAAAATTTAATTATTGGCGTGTTCATCGGAAAAAACGAAAATTGCTTCGAAACGCAAAAAAATTGCTCCAAACAAAATTTAGTACTGTTTTGGAGCAACTTTGATGCGCCGATGAACACGATTTTTCGTTTTGAAGCACGCCATTTGTTTTTCTTTTTCTTACGGTTATTTTGGATTTTGAGGAATCACTTTGAACACGGCATGAACATTTCAGCGAGTTATTTTGAACAGAATATCGCCCATTTTCTGTTTTAAATTCATTTTCAGTGAACAGAAGAAAAGAAAAAGTAAAAGGCAGCGAATATGATAGGCCAGTACGTGGTCTGGAACACATTCCGGCCATTTTCCGGGAGTATTGCCAGTTCTTGGAATACGGAGTAAATGGAGATGAAGGCGAAGATTTTACCTTTTACGAGGGAGAAGAAGGACGTCGGCTGAAACTTCGAGCAGTTGTTGTAACTTTTCGGCATGGCGAGAGGTTCGTTAAAGAACTAATGATCATTGCTTTTTTTTAGAAATGGAATTGGAAGCCATTTATTTTTTTGATTAGAGTGATTTTCATACGAGTTGAAGTTTCTGGAAGACAAATAAGTATTGTATTGATTTTTTATTATTTTTTTTCGAGGAATTGTTCGATTTCTTTCAAACAAGCTGTTTTCGGAATTAATGTTCAAAGTAATTCCCGCGAAATCCAAATTTATCTCTGGATCTCCGAAATTCAGTTATCTTTTCCCCTCTCTGATGGCCATTTGGATTTCGCGGAATTATTTTGAACGCAGCATAAAAAGTACTATTACTAAAGATATCTTATTTTAATTTCAATTCGTATTTTTCCTGCCTAAACTTGACGAAAAATTATTTCATTCCAGATCTCCAATGCACGAAATACAAGACGAGTTGGCTTGCGCTCCAGTGAGGAATGTTGACCGAACTCGGTTCGCACGCTACAAGGAGCTCATGGAATCCGATGAATATATTGATTACTTCAAAGTTGATGAGAAGCTAAAGAACTATCCAAGGGTTCCGGATAGGTTCGTAGAAAAAGTTTAATCATAGACAAAGTCGGAAAGGGTGGAGAAAGGCTCCATAGAAGTGTTCCTTTTAGGGTGACGAAGGGTCCTTTTTTTGAAGGCTCGATAAAGGGACTCATTTTGGTGCCTTCCCGCGGCCTTTTTTGAGCCTCCCGCTTTTGACGGCCAATATTCACCATTTCGGCTTTGCCCGAGATATTTCTCCGTAAATTCGATATTTGTGAAACCGGGAACAATTTCCAGAGTAAAAGCCGAAAAGTTGACTTTTATCAAGCTTTCACTGTTCAAAAATAGGTGGTATGAAAAAAAGACCAGCGAAAATTCAAACTTTAGGGAACTTTCCGACGAAATTTTTTCCGACTTTTTTTCTCGATAAAATCTTCGTTTTAAATATTCCTATGTAAAGTAGGTAGTTGGTTCATGATTAAAACACAAAGAAATAGGAAAAAAAAATGGTTATAGATGTTTTATAAACCGAAAAACATAAGGGAAAAAAAGTCGGAAAGGGATCCGTTGGAAAGTTCCCTAGCGATACGAAAAAATCGGAAAAGTCGCCGTTTGAATTTTCGCTGGTCTTTTTTTCATACCATCAAAAAGGCTCCATAGGAATAATGCTTTTTTGCTGCCTTTTTACGCCATTTCATCGGCTTTTATAGACCATTTTTGCTGCTTCTTCCTTTTTTCACCATTTCTTGAGTCTCTCAAATCCCAGAAGAAATGTAAGGCTTGATAAAGGGACTCTTTTTGCTGCCTTTTTTTTTCTAGCCTCTCCCTTTTAGCGGCCATTATCCACCATTCCGACTTTGCTGTATTCATTTTTATCGTCACTTTAAAAGTGAATAATATAAATTTTTTTCTTCTTCAGTTCAATATGCGCCCCAGGAATGTTAACCGCAGAAGGGGCCCTTCAACACGTGAGACTTGGCCGATTTTTCCGTAAAGCTTATCAAAATTCCAAGCTTTTTCTTCATGGTTTGCTTTGCTTGAATTTCGCTAATCGAGACGAATTTTTAGACGAAGGCTACCGTATCAACGCTACTGTAGTCACTTCACAGTACGCAAGAACTTTACAATCGGCTCTCGCTTTTTCTTCGGAATTCTTGTATAAATTGAGCGAATTTGTTCCGAGTGTCTTTGTCAAGGTGATAAGTTTTATATATTCATCGTTTTCAAACTATTTTTTTAAATCACAATGTTTAAAAAAATGATTTTTTTCAAGAAATCTCTCATTTTATTTTGGGATTATTCATTAGTTGGAAAGAAAATGGGTTCAGAAAAAAATGAATCTTTTATGATTTCGTCACGGTTAATTTTATATATTTCAAGCTGTAGCACTTAATTTTTTTCATATAAAAAAATCGAGTAAAAAAATGATTTATAAAATATTATTTTTTTAAAAGATTCGAATCACTCAATTTCAGTGTGAAATACCTAAAATGAATTTTTCTAAATTTTTCGTAGCTAAATCCCTATAGGGGTAAATTAAAGGTAGTCCCTATATGGCCTTAGGATCTGATCCCTTAGGCCCTAAAGCTTAAGTTGTCCCTCTAGGGATCTTTCAATTTTCTTCAAAAAACGCTTATTTATTCAGTTTTTCGCATGGGAATGCTTCTTCTCTTGGAATTCACAACATTCATCGACTAGCATGTCCCCTAAAGGAACCACTTTTGCAAGCTTTAGTGGCCCCTAGGGGTTTGTAAAGTGGTCCCTAGAGGGAACCCTTCGAAGACCCTTAAGTTTGCCCCTATAGGGATTGCTCTGGAGTTCCTAATTAGCTTTGATTCGATTTTCATTGTGTTTCAACAGTTGAAAGGTTTCGATAATCATTCTTCGAAAAAAGGTATTATTTTAAGTGAAGTTCATTTCTAATTTCTCTATTTATTTCCATTTGAAGGCTGCCCGTCATACTCACCAATGTGTAGATGATTTTTGTGATTGCCCGCTTTCGAAAGAGATGCGAGAAAAATATGAAGAGGTTATCCGCGCAATTTTTAGTTTTTGAGAACATATTTTTAGGAACTACTAGAATATATGGAGAAGGATCCGTTTTCCCGCGAAAAGATCGCCCCGATTGTCAAGGTTTTCCATGAGTTTGGGTGAGAATCGACAATTTTTCCAAAATTCCGAAAAATCGGAGACAAGAAATACCGAGTAAACCCCTTGAAAGTCGAAAAAATTGATTTTTCTTTGAAGATTTTCGAATTTTCCAATCATTTTTACTTGATTATAAAACTCTGTGAAGTGATTCTGAATCAATTTTCGATAATTTTGAACCGAAAATTTTCCAGAAATTACTCCGAACCACTGCATATCCTTGACGTCTCGTTGGGCAACTATATATGTAGGAAAAAAAGTTTGCCTTGTCGAGGCGATTTGTGTCTGGATTTTAACCTTCTCAAGGAGGTTTGTTTCATTAGCGCATAAGAAAAATGGTATGAATTCCAACAAGCTAAAAAAATTTACGTTCAAATTTCTGTCTCGGGCAAAGTCGGATTGGTAGATACTGGCCGCTAGAAGGGAGAGGCTCAGATAGGCTGCAGAAAGGCCCCAAAAAGGCAGCAAAAAGGCCCCAAAAAGTCCCCGAAAAAGCAGCAAAAAGACGGAAAAAAGGCTCCAAAAAGGCCACAAAAAGGCAGCAAAAAGACTGAAAAAAGGCTCCGAAAAGGCAGAAAAAAGGCCCCAAAAAGGCAGCAAAAAGGCCCCAAAAATGCAGCAAAAAGGCCCCAAAAATGCAGCAAAAAGGCCCCAAAAAGGCAGCGAAAAGGCCCCAAAAAGGCAGCAAAAAGGCAGCAAAAAGAGTTCCTTTATCGAGCCTTCCATTTTTTCTGGAATTTTAAAGGCTCAAGAAAAAGTGGGAAAAGAAAGAAGCAGCAAAAATGGTCCATAAAAGCCGATAAAATGGCGCAAAAAGGCAGCAAAAAGGAACATTTTTATGGAGTTTTTTCCTATTTTTTCTGGCTTTGCCTGTGGTTGAGCTGAACAGAATGAAAAAAATAAAATATTTTTATAAAAAAATATATTTGTAAAGCGAGAAGTTTTAAAAAGATTTTTGTGAACTAGACGTTGATTGGGCTTTTTTTCAATCGAAAAAAAGTGCAGAATTCTTTTTTACGTTCAATTTTTTTGATCTTTTTAAAGTCTAATTAGCGGTATTTTCATGAATTTTTTTAAAGTTGAATTAAACATTGCTGCAAGATTATCTAATTCTATCTGATGGAAAATTATTCCCTCCTGGAAATTATCGTTTCTTTCACCTTCATAGGCATAGTCGGAAAGGGTGGAAAGAGGCTCCAGAAATGATCCCTTTTTCTGCCTTTTTGCGCCATTTCATCGGCTTTTATGCACCATTTTTGCTGCCTCTCCCTTTTTTCACCATTTCTTGAGTCTTTGAAATCCTGGAAAAAATGGAAGGCTCGATAAAGGGGCTCTCTTTGTTGCCTTTTTTGAGCCTTTTTGCAACCTTTTTTGAGCCTCTCCCTTTTAGCGGCCATTATCCAACATTCCGACTTTGCCAAAGTTCAAATTTTCTGTTGAGCTGAATAAATTAAAGAAAAAAATAATTTTTTTCATAAATGCTATTGATCTCTGATAAAAGGAGCAAAATATTATGTTTTACGCGCAATTTTTGATCGTTAAAAGCCTAATTAGCCTTAATTTCTGACTTGTTATCGTTAAATTAGACATCGCTGCAATTTTATTCAACTTGGAAATTGTAGTTTTTATCACTATTCATTATCTCCTTTGCTCGCAACTTGGAAAAATTCGCTAAAAGAAAAATATAAAGTTTATAGAATAACATTGATTTTCAATGATAGAGTAAGTTTTTCTCAATTTTCAGTTGGTCGTCAAAACATCAGCCCGTGCCCAGGCGTTGTTTGATGATAAGCAGGGCGGAATCTCCAAAAGACTTCAAGTTATCGAGGCGAATTCGATCCTCGGCTACGTCGCCCAAACTATCGACCGTGTTCAACGTTTTCCTCACACCAATTTTATCAAGGTTCATGATTTTTCTATCATTCACGTACAGCTCTTTTCTGCAGTTTCTCGTTAAAAAAAAATCATTTTTATAACATTTCGCGTCTAATCTACTCACAGTACCGCCAGAAAATATTCGAAAAAAACTTTTGTTTACTTCTTCCTTGTAAGGAGCTCAGTCTTTCTGAAACTGCCCTTTTTTCTCTGCATGTTGGATTTTCATCATAATGTTACAAATAACAATCTTCAAGACTCCGGAAAGTACCAGAAAGATTGAATTCCATACGAGACTTGGGAATCAAAGAACTGTTTTTAGGCGAATTTCTCAAAATCGAGAAAAATTAGTTAATTTTCGTGCAAAGTTCCTTCAAATTGATCCCGAAAGCTATTCGTATAATCAACTTGAAACAAAACCTTTCCCTCGGAAATTTTTCATAATTTAAAAAAATGAACTTTAAAATTTGTAATGAAGGTAGTCTCATTCTCTGAAAAAAAGTTTAACAAAGTTTCGTAGAAGAAAAATTCTTCATTTTTTTATGTGTAGAATAATAAGAACTTCATTTGAATTGATAGAGGTTTTTCGAATTTTTCAGAAAATTTGTCAGAATGTCCGTTTACATACCAAATTACGGACAAATCACGGTAGAGAATTTTTTTTTTTTCGAGATTTTTATCCGGAAAAAATGGCTCAAACCCCCAGAATGGAACTTTTTAACGGCTTCTGAGGTTTTTGAGGTCTCCTTTATGCCGTGTTCAAAGTGATTCCGCGAAATTCAAAATAGCCGTCAGAGAAAGAGAAAGATAACTAAATTTCGGAGGGTCAGAGATCATTTTGCATTTCGCGGAAATTACTTTGAACACGGCATTATCAAGAACTAGAATTTTGTGCGGATAGGGACCTTCATGATTTTTTTTATTGTGCATCAAGAATATTCTGTCCAATTTTGAGGAAAATCCGAGCTTCAAAAAAAAAAATTGGGATTATTTTTTTAGTTTCTCATTATAAAGTGTCCACGGAGAGCGAAAAAATGACAATTTTTGACCACTTTTTTTTCGATTTATTCCTATTGAATGTTTTTTTTTTCGATTTTTCACTTTTTAAAAAGGTTATTATAGATCTTCTCCGGCCACGATACAGTAGTGGGACCGATTCTCCGAGTTCTTGGCCTGTACAATAACGATCCGCCGCATTATACGTCAAGAGTTGTTTTTGAGGTAAAAAGAAAAATGAAAAAAATCCTTTGAAAAATCCAATTTCAGATCTACGAACACCCGGAGGAAGGAACTCTATTGAGAATCCTTCAAAATGGCCTCGATGTGACCAAAAATGTCGAATTTTGCCGGGATCATTTATTCCTCAAACTTTGCAAAACTCAAGCTTTTCTCGAATTTTTCAATAATTTGTTTAGAAAGGTCGGCGTGAAGAGCATGAAGGAGGCTTGTCATGTTTAATTTTATCGAGAAATTTAGAATTTTTCGGGTTTTGTGGCATTTTTTTGGAAATTTGCAGGGTTTTAGAAGGTTTTTTTTTTGAATAAGAAGAAAAATGCGATTCCCTGTGTACTTTTCTGTTATCAACCTCAAGTTTTAGAGTTGAGGATTTTTATTGAAAAAAAACGACTTCAGATTGATTTATTTAATGAATATTTTTTTCAGAGTAGGAAACGTATGAAATGTCCGAAAACGCGGTTTTTTTGATTTTTTTCAAATTTTTTTCAATGAATTTCTTTCAAAAAGGTAGTCATTTTCAAGTTTTTTTAGAAGTTCGAATTTTTCGGCTAGTTTTTTTTTTTTTAAAAATGAATTTCGGATAGGACGAGCTTTTTAAAAAAATTAGTTTTTTTCAACTGGTTTTTCATTTTTTTACAAAAAAATTTGAGTTGCAATACCAAATCCGGGTGGTTTTCTTGGAGTTTTATAACGATTTCGAGTGTTTTTTTAAGTGCAATATCTTTTTTTCCAAGATTTTTTTAAAATCGGTTTTTTTGTTGATTTTTTTATGCTACTGGTCAGTTCCCTTTGACGGCAGCTATATTATCGCTTTTCCCAGAAGTTTTTTTTATGTATTTCATGTATATTCTATCTTTTTTTTACCTTTTTTTTCTTGTTAAGAATTTTTCTGGGTTTTTATTGTTTTTTTTTTGTCTCTCTATATATGACTTTTCTGTTGAATTTGGTCGGTTTCCTGTTTTTCTCTAATAATTCCATGTTTTTTTTGCTATTTTTTTTTCCGATTCGAGGGCATTTTTTGGTTTTCAAACTGGTTTCTGAATGTCATAACAACAATCCTGCAATTGTTGATTATTTCGAAACAAATATGTTATTTTCAATATTAATTCACTTTCTTTTTTAATCCTCTGTGATAAAATTGAAATAAAAAAATTTTTTTTTAAAAAAGATTTTTTTGTTGGTTATGGTGTAATTTTCACTGCGATATCTTTAAAAAAAATTTATTTTTTTAGAAATTTCAACGGTTTTTAGACTTTTGTAGCAGCTGGATGATCGAGGCTCGGAAAAGTGAGTTTTTGAATTTTTTTAGGACTACTAAAGTGACCACTTCACGATTTTCTGGTCTCTTCCAAGATTCCATTAGAAAGGGTTCAGAATTTTATTAATAATTGCTTGAAGCCTCTCTAGTGGTCCCTTGGAAAGGAGCGGACTTTCCTTCCAGTAACTCTGATAATTAAAAAAAAACAGATTGGACGAATTATGTTGATCCATTGACCCCTAAAGTGGCCACTCAAATTTTAGTGGTCTAGTAGTAGCGCTTAGACCACTATAGTGGCCACTAACTTTTAACCCCTTAAGTGGTCACAAACTTGACTACTATAGTGCCCACTAGAACGTCAAAACCCTATAGTGGCCACTGAAAAATTTCCCAGTTCCTCTGAAGTTTACACTTTAGGATAACTTTTCAATACGGTAGATAAAAAAATATCCTTATCAAATTATCTCTCAGGATCGGATTCTGAGTCGACGTCATCATCGTCTTCTGATGACGAAGCCCTAGAAGCACTACCAGATGACGTCGTACAAAATTTGGCCGACTGCCAAACCCAAAATGAACCTGGAACATCCTCTTCCACATCTTCTTGGATGGGATCTTTCAATCAAAAATTGAAAAAGTCCTCATCCTTCAAAAAACTTTATGAAAAGGATTTTTTTAGAGCTGGAGCTTCTGTAATGGGAACTCTGAGGTCGAGCACGTCTTCTACGAATTTAGAACAAAAAACTGAGGAGCCGAAGCCTCAAAACAAGAAACACCACTGGAAACATCGGCTGTGGTCTACTTGGAACAATATTAAATATTCCAGTTGGTTTTTGGTGTATTTTGGTTAAAAGAAGCTAGATCTGGTACCCTCCAGAACCCATAGGATTTTCGAAATATTGATTTTTCCGGGTCTCTTTTGTCACTTAAAACTTCGAAAATTCATATCTGGGTTCAAAATGCTCAGAATGGCGTAGAAAGAAGTTTTTTATCGTGTTCAGTGGGCCCTCTTGCATATAGAACCATCTGGTACCCGCAAGAACCCATAGGATTTTTGAAATATCGATTTTTCCTTATTTTGGGCCAATTTCGTCAGTTACAAATTCAAAATCTCATGTCTCGGATTGAAATGCTCAGAATCGGGTGGAAAAAAAATGTTTATTGTCTTCAGAGGGCCCACTTTCTCATAGAACTATCTGGTAGCCGCAAGAACCCATATAGTTCTCGAAATATCGATTTATCAATGTTTCAGTCAAGATAGTTACTGTAAACTTCAAAAATTTATATTTTGGTTAAAAATGCTCAGAATCAGGTGAAGAAAAGTTTTTTATTGTCTTCAGAGGGCCCTTTTTCATATAGAACTATCTGGTACCCTCCAGAACCCATAGGGTTTTCGAAATATCGATTTTTCTTTTTTCTAGGTCTATTTTGTCACTTAGAACTTCAAAAATTCATATCTCGGCCCAAAATGCTCAGAATCGGGTGAAGAAAATTTTTTATTGTTTTCAGAGGACGCTCTTTCATATAGAAACATCTGGTTCCCTCCAAAACCCATAGGAATTTTAAAATAGCCGCTTTTTAGAAAAGTCTGCTTATGTATACTAGGAAAACTGAAGCGTGTACTAAAGGAAAAAGGGAAACAAGGACCCCCTAAATGGTCATTTAGGACCTGATATAGGGAATTTTTCAAAAAGTGTCTGGTAGGACTTCGGGAAAAAAAAAGAAATTTTTTTCAGGATCGCAAACTTTTGAGCAAACTTATCAAAAAGAAACTAGTTGACACTTCCCAAATATGAATTTTATCAGGGTTTTTTCGAAAAAATTGGAAATTCTTCAATTTTACCTCTGAGCTGGAATGGAGCATTTTTTCAAATATTTTTTTTGTTACTTTTTATGAGAACTTATCCAAAAGGGTTTTAGAGGAATTTTTCCTTTCATTTTGTTGGAAAACAAGTATTTTTCTGATTAGTTAGGTTTTCAACTGAAAATCTCATTTTGGACTCTTTTTAGACGATAATTCATGCAACAGAAACGGAAAAATGAAAAAAAGCTGTTTTTTTAAGTCAAAGAAATTTATTAATTTTATAATTTTTTTCCTTAGAAGTTTATTTCTAAATTTTTAGAGAATTTTTTTAATGTTTTTCGAATTTTTTTGTTTACAGAAAAAAATATCAATTTTTTTCAATTCAAAAAAATCTCTTTTTGGAACGATTTAGGCGCTTGGATGAGCGATCGAAGCGATGAGTACGGCGGAGCGAACAAGGTCGTTCTTCTTGGGCGATTTTTATATCACTGATAAAGATGGTAAGAAGTTGTTACCATTCGATTAAAAGTACAGCTGTATTTTTAATAATTCCTAGAGTTCAGAAGCCAATGGAGCATGTGGATTCGAAGATTTCTATCTGGATTATTATTCCCGTATTTGGATTACGTATAGAACTAATTTTGCGCCTTTACTTGGCACTGAGGTTGGCGAAATGATAATTCAAAATAATTATTTGAATTTCAAGACGACGTCCGACTGTGGCTGGGGTTGTATGTTAAGAACGACACAAATGATGGTAGCCCATGCGATTTTTTTGAACCGATTGTCTAGAAGTGAATTTTTTCACCTATATTGAACTGTAGTTCAAGGAAAAAATTTTCAGATTGGCGGTATACTCGAAGGAAAAAGTCGAATATTCATGGCCAAAGTGTCCAGACACCCGATTTCGACGCTCATCTTCAGATTTTACAGCTTTTTGAAGTATTTCGAATTTTATCTCTGCCTATTTTATGTGCTTTTTCAAGGACTGTGAGAAGGCCCCATTGGGAATCCATCAATTGGTAAAAATCGCGTCGAAGAACAAAGGGAAATCGGCTATCGGCTCTTGGTACACTCCTTCGGAGGCTGTGAATCTTTTGAGGTAATTAAAAAAATAAGGAATATTTTCAGGTCTACTTTTAGCTCAAATATTGATATAGAAAATATCAGAGAGTTCATTTAGGGGGGCGCGCCGTAGCGCAACAGGTTGTGTGCCTGTCTACGGTCCACAGGGTCACAAGTTCGATCCCCGCCCCGACCCAACCAAGGGGTTTAAGAAATGTTGGTAGTGGGAAACCACGACTTTAAAATCCCCAGCCGTCACACACAAAGACGGATATGTCACTAGAGCCAGTCCACTGATATCAGGATAGGACCTCGGCTAATCGACTTGGGGCGCCGACGCCGCTCAAGCGGTACAAAGGCGTAAGAAGAAGAAAAAGAAGAGAGCTCATTTAGGACTAGTCCGTTCAGGTTTTGAGCTACAATTAAAATGACATCATTAGAAAACGCTCTTGCTCGTTGATTGGTTGTTACGTCATTAGGGGCGGAGCTTCAGACTTGAAATTCAAAATCTGAATGGTCTACATGGCGATTATTTGGCCGAAGTCCTGCTAGGAGTAAAAAAGTGGCAGCGCCTAAGAATATCGAAATTGGAAGCGCCTGACTAGGGTATGGTCTCCCCTGAACATCGAGTTGAGAATTGAGACTGTGTGGGTTTGATAGACTTTATTGTCATTTTCCTAAATTTTTAGTGTAAATATTTGAAAAATTTCTTAAAAATATGAAAGTTATGAAGTTATAAGTCGACAAAAATTTTATCCGCCAAAAGGATTCGAACCCTGGTCACAATATTGACAAGTTTCGGGAGACCACTACCACTACACCACGCCGCCAGTTGCTAACCGAGGGCTCCGAGCGCGGCCATATCCGCGCTGGAAAACTTTCGACGATCTTTTCCTCCGCCGCCCGTGGGGTTTAGCAGAATTTTATTTTTGAGTCCGAGAGCTCCTACCCAGAACTGTCAAACCCACATAGTCTCAATTTTGAGAGAGACCATACCCTAGTAAGAATATCGAAATTGGCAGCGCCTGAGAAGATAGAAATTGGCAGCGCCTAAAAATATCAAAATTGGCAGCACCTGAACTTTCGAATGTCTTCGAAACTTGGCTGGAAAATTTCTATTCTCATGCAGGCCAGTAGCACCCGCGGATGCTACCGCCGAGCACCCGAAACGCAATTTTCAGCCGCGCATAGTTCAGCGGATCTAAGCAAACGCCCAGTTCACGCGCCGAGCCCCCGTTTAGGTCCGGGACAACACGTGAAACGTTAAAAAACACCGGGTGATCGGCAGTAGTGCCCGTTTCGCAAAATTATGACGTATTAGCCCAACGGGGGCTACTGGCCAGCATTAGAGAACATTAAGCTTCTACAAAATGGCAGCGCCTGAATAAAAAAAAATTTCAAAGCATTTTGAAAAAATGGAAGTTCCTTGACAGGGGAGCTCATTTTACTTTGCGGATGGGAGTTACCTGAAAATTGGCCAGAACACTTCTTCATGTACCAGAAGAAGATTCTAGGAGTTTCAACCGGCACAACTTCCTAGATTTCGAGAAATAAGCGCTTTAAGCCTCAAAATAGCCTTTCTTTTATGAATTTGGGGGATTTCTCTGACTTTGAGGCGTCTTATCTCAAAAATAAGGAAGTTGTGAAGGTTTAGGTCTTCAGAATCTTTTTCTGGTACGTTAAGGAGCTCTCTGGCCAATTTTCAATCCCAACCGCAAAATAAAATGATCTTCCTTGTGAGAATCTCCTTGTCAGTTATTTATCTTCTTCTTTCCCTTCTCTAATTGGAATTTTGTCCTTCATTTCTTTTTTTTCGTAGAAAAAATTGCTATCCGATCATCCGAACTTCCTAGAAGCAGCTGTTAAATTTTTTTCGAATCGCGCTTTTTTTAACAATTTTTTTTTCTATTTCATCACTTAATTTTTCGATTTCTTTATAAAATAGTCTGTTTTTTGCTTTTATCAACCGTAGTAAGATTATATTTTTCCAGAACAGCCTTACTGGAGTCATCTTCGCCAGTGACGGGAGACCTGGCGATGATGGTCTCAATCGGCTCCATACATATCCGAGACGTTGATTTGGAGACGCGCGATTGGTCCAAGAGACTTTTATTAGTAATCGTTCTACGGTTGGGGGCTACTGAAATTAATACGGTTTGTACCTAAAAATAAAATTCAATATGATGGACTAGCTGAAAAATCTAAATTTTTGTTTATTATCCGATATTTGTGCTCTTTTACCACCTTTTTTTCAGGTCTACGTCCCTCACCTACAGTTTTTGTTCAGTTTATCGTGTTTTTTGGGCGTTTGTGGTGGCCGACCCGATCATTCACTTTATTTTGCTGGTTTTTATGGAGATGTGATTCATTTATTTTTGATAATAGAAGTTTAATTTCATTCAGCAAGTTATTTATTTGGACCCGCACGTCGCTCACGAATATATCCCATTGACGGAGGATTCAGAAGAAAGAAAGTCGAGTTTGGAAGAACATAATGATGAGAAGGTATGGGTGAAGAAGTGTCGCACTTGGAATGGGTAGATGCGTCGCGGTTGCGTAGCGGCTCGCATTTTTTAGACTTTTCTTGGCGCTTACGAACGTTGAGTCATTTCAAATGCGACCTTGAGCTTCTGCTCTAACAGATTTTTCTAATATTACTGTTTTTTTTTTCAGAAGATAAAGAACCCCCTGAGAAGCTATCATTGCAAGTTGATGTCGAAAATGCACTTTGCTGATATGGATCCGAGTTGTGCGGTACCTGAAAATTTAAGTCTAATTTTAAATTTTAATATTTGAGATCGGTTTCCTGTTCAAATCGAGAGCTGAGTTCGATGAGGTCGTCAAGGCGATGAATTTGGTTGGTTTTTATTTTTCCTAGAAGCTTTTTTCAGCGGTGAATGGCTTCATAATGAGCTCTAGCTTAATTTGAAAAAAAAAAAACTATTAACAACTTCATATTCGTTTCAAGACCAAACTTGAATTTCAGAAGTGAAGCCATATTCAATTCAACTTCTTTCTTCCCGTTATTCAAAGTTTTAAATTCAAATAACTTCAGGATTTTTTTACTCTATTCGTATACCTTATATGACGTCAGTCAAAATCTCTCTCAAGTCGATTTTCAATTCCAAGTGACTTGAATATATAATGAAGAGTTTTCTTTCAAACGAAACGACGCTATGATCCTTCCAAGATCATTTTCAAGTTTCAAAGTACGACGCGGTTATTTTCAAATCAATTTTGAGCCATAGGTTACTCAATATCACTTAAAAGGTCTTGATAAATGTTCTAATCCCATTTTTTAAGCTCTGATTGGTTCGAGAATCTTTTTGAGGAAGATTTGGATTTCTCAATGTCAAAGTGCTATTTAGCTCGCTTTTTGAAAAATTTCAAAGTGGGAGTGGGCCGTAGCGCAACAGGATGTGTGCCTGTTTATTGTCCAAAGGGTCGCAAGTTCGATCCCCGCCGAGACCCAACCAGGGGGTTTAAGAAATTTTGGTAGTAGGCTTCCTAATCTGCCACACAGTCGGCGGCTTGACAACATAGATTAGAAAAAAAAAATGGACACGTTCATTTTTTTCAGAGCCAAGTGATCGACGTGGACCTCGGCAAAGGAGAAGGAATGAAAAGAACCCGAGATCCGCTTTTTAGTGTCATTTATGGCGAAAGAGCGGCCCCATCGGAATTTTCGAGGGAAAATTCAAACTCGGAAGCCGAAATAGCACAGGCCCAGCAGCACGGCTTTGAACTTCTCTGAGCCTTTTTCCTATTCCTGATTATTCTTATTGGACACTATGATATTTTAGTACATTTTTTGAGTAGTTTTTTCCATTTTTCTTTAATTTCGCAAAATTGAGCTCCAAAATGGCCACAAGTGCGCTCTATTGAGAAGTTCCTGGATTTTTTGATAATGTCTCCTGGAATCGTGCTTTGAACATTTCTATTCAAATTTTTTCGATTTTTTTTTGAAATATCGTTTAGAAAATAACCTGTAATCTTGGTGCAAGTGTGCTCCAGGGAAAGTTCAGTTTGAGCCTTTTTTGTCCTTGGAGCGCACTTGAGCTTTTTGCAAAATTTTTTTTCTTCTCAATTTTCGAAGTTTCTGTAGATACCTTTGTATAGTCTGTTCAGATTTAGAATGTCAAGTCGCCAAGCTCCGCCCCTATTGGTGCAATAAATCAATCAAAGAGCGTTTTCAAATGACGTCATGGTGCTTGACATTCAAAATCAGAGCTTATTTTTCTGGTAACTTTGAAAATAATTGTAAAATAAGCGTATTTTTTAAAAAGTTCATATTTTTCAGTTTTCCCATCATTTCTTGTACAGTATTTAATATAATCGTCTTGATAGGCGAGTTTAAAGGCGCATAGTTGTCAATTTTTTGAATTTTCTGGTACGGTAGACTAATAATTTTCAACTGGTTTGGATATTTTAATTTTAATAAACCTTATTTGGATTTTTTTTAATTTGTAAAGGTTTATTTTCTCTCTCTAAGTCTTCATTATTGCTCATTAATCAATTTTTGCTATTTTGTAGAATTTTTCTTTCTCTGTACATAACTGTTCCCCTTTCATTAATTATTATTCTTCCCGAGCTTCTTTGTACATTTTTATGGTGAAAAATTGTGCCTTTTTCCTGTGCTGCTGGGCGGTTTTGTGCGAAACTGTGAGTTGGTTTTAATTGTACAAAAAAATAATAATCATGAAAAAAAAATTTTGCGGTTTTTTTCACAAAAAAACACATGAAAAAAAGGAAGTTTATTGAGTCATGAACGTCAAGAAAAAAAGATATTCTAGTCTAATTCAACCATATTTTTCAAATTTTTCTTGATTTTTTTATTTTTATAAGAATCACCTTTGAGATCTGTTACAAGTACTGGAAAAAAAGTAAAAGTTAAAACTTTTTTTCTCGAAAAATTGAGATTTTTTTAAATTATTAATACAGATTTAAGACCAGAACCAACAATAAGTCTAATAAAAAAAGGGGCAAAAAAACGAATGAATTTTTAAAACAATTTACATTTTCAACAAAAAAGGGCTTGAAAATGGAGGTTTTTCAGGTTTTTTAATGCTTTTTCAAGATCGGAGTCAATAATTAGTTAACTGAAAAGATGCAAAAAATGGATCAAATTATAAAAAAATCCAAAACTTGAACATTTCCAACAAAAAAAGGGCTCGAAAATTGAAATTTTACAGGTTTTTTTAAACTCTTTTTCAATATCTGAGAAAATAATGAGTCTACTAAAAAGAGTGCAAGAAACGAATTAATTTTTGGAAAGTTCAAAAAAATGAACATTTTCTAAGAAAAATAGCTCAAAAATTGAGTTTTTCAGATTCTTTAAACGGTTTTTCAAAATCTGAGCCAATAATTAGTTTACTGAAAATGAAGCAAACAAACGGATATAATTAAAAAAAACTTTAACATTTTCAACGAAAAATAGCTCAAAAATTGAGATTTTTCAGATTTTTTTATACTGTTTTTCAAGGTTGGAGTCAATAATGAGTCTACTAAAAGAGTGCAAAGAAACAAAATTCATTTCAAGAAAATTCAAAAAAATTATGAATTTTTCAACAAAAAAAGGGCTCGAAAATGGAGATTTTTTTCAAGTTTTTTTAAATGTTTTTTTCAAAATCTGAGACAATAATTAGTGAACTGAAAATGTGCGAAAAAAACAATCAATTTCAAATAAAATTCAACATTTTGACCGAAAAGGGCTCAAAAACTGAGATTTTTTTCAGATTCTTTTAACGCTTTTTTTCAAGATCTGAGCCGAAAAAAATTGATTACTGAAAAAAAGTGAAAAATTGAAAAATTTTTTTAACAAAAAAAGGGCTCGAAAATTGAGATTTTTTTCAGATTTTTTTCATATTGTTTTTCGAGATCATAACCAACAAGTTTACTGAAAAAAAGTATAGATTTTTGGAATTTTTCAGACAGCAAATGAGGCGTAGTCTCTTTTGAGTAGGGCCGTCGTTTCCGTTTCTTCCTTGTCGCAAATCGAATCCATAACTTCTATCGTTCTTGACTGACCAACGCCTGAAGTTGATTTTATTGATTAGATTGGAAAATATGAGCACTTTTCGCTTTTTTTCTTACAAGAAAGATCATTTCACTTCACGGTTCTGAGAAATCTGCCAGAAAAAACTCCTTAAAAAACCCAAAAAAGGATTCTGAAAACTTCAAGCTAAAATTAGGGCCCAGAGTCAAAGAAAACCTTCAAAATTAGTCAAAAAGGCCAGTTTTGGGCTATTTCTTGAAAACTAGGAGGAAGTGCAGTTTGAAACTTCCCGGGCCTTAATTTGGTACTTCAAGGGATATTGTGACAGATTTTCAGAAAATTCCCGAGTAAAATGACCTCCCTTGTTGGTGCTCTCAATAAAATTCTCAATTTTCACAAATCATGTGATTTTCTAAATGTAGAGTCATGTGCAAAATGGTATTGGTACGGAAAAAGTCGAATTTTGTCTCAAAAGACGCTTTTTTCGAAGTAACGGGGATATAGTCCATTCACCGCTAGCTGCCACGAAAAAAGGACTTAAAAATAGGTTTAGACATTTTTTTTAGTAAGATAGCATTGAATGGAATCGATTCCATTTTTCTAATTTGAAAAAAAAAACCAACAATGCTTGTGAAATTCGATTTTGTCGGTTTTGATGAAAAGCGCCCTGGATAATGGCGACCTTTGGCCGTCTTTGAACACGGCGGTTGCACTGAAAAATTAATTTTTTGTCGAAAAAAATCAATAAATCCCACCTGAACATGTAGAACCAGTCAAAGCGGAGGTCAGGAAATACTACCTAAATTTTTCTTGATCAAAAATGACCGCACTTGGAATGGCTCGAAGCGTCTTTTTCAAATCTTGGGCGCAAGTCATTTTGGGTCGGGCGCTTCGAGCCATTCTAAGTCTGGGTGAAAATCTTACTCTCCGTCCATTGACTGGAATTTTCTCCCATTCGGATAGAGATGCATTCGGGTTTTCTGTGAAGTAGACGATGTAGTTCTGAAAAATTTGTTTTAGATTGAATTTCAACTCAAAAATAGTACAGGAAAAATGCTCTTGAAGAGTTGAAAAATATTAAACTTGACTGAAAACTGAACAGTTTGCAATTTTAACGAACCGGGGAAGTTTTCAATGGCGATATTAGGGTTTTGGAGATCCAGTGGTCACTATAGTGGCTGGATTAAATGTCACTTAAGTGGCTAAAAGTCAGTGGCCCCTTAAGAAGTCTTAGTGCGACTACTAGGTCACTAAAACTACTATAGTGGCCGCTAAGACCCAAAATAAAGACTTCTACAGAGGTGGCTTTAGCGGCCACTTTAGTGTCCTTGAAAAATTTTTTAAGTGGTCACTTTAGGGTTAAAAACATCCTCTTTACCTTAACTTCATGAGACTTTTTATACGGCGGCTCCCAGGTGAGTTCGATGGAATTTGCGCTCAGACGAGTCGCCAAAATGTGCTGTGGACTCAGTTGAGGCTCTGGAATTTTTTTCCATCGGAATTTACGAAAAAAAGAAAGAAACCTGTGTATTGGACCAAATATACAGGTTTGCTCTCCCCGAATTTGCTGACGGCCGTGATTCGAAATTCATATAACGAGCAGGAATCAACGCTCATTATTTCCACCGCATTCCCTTTGATTCCCCGGAGTTCTCGGGTCTTTGCGTCTTCATTGTGTCTAAAATTGGCTTGGCTTGAAGATCAAAAAGGAATTTTTGGAGTTTAGGAGCCATTTTGATAGAATTTCACGAGTTTTTCACATTTTATAGTCCATCCGACAGTTTTCGCATGTCTGCGTCTCTCTGTTCCCTCGCTGGCGAGGTCAGGGAAACATGGAAATAGCACGTAAACATGAGAGAGACGTCGAGAGACAAGGAGGGCGCAGAGAAGTCAAGTCACGAAAAACAGACTATGTGTAAGATTTTCAAAAATATCAGGAAAGAAAATGATTTCGAGAGATATAGTCTGTTCAGGTTTAAAATGTCAAGTCGTCGCTCAAGCTCCGCCCCTAATGGCGTGATAAACCAATCAGAGAGCGAGCCATCCACAGAGTGTTTTTGAATGACGTCATTGCACTTGACATTCAAAATCTGAACGGATTATATTTCTAACTTCAATCGATATCTGATATTGTAGGTCAGATCAGAATCGGTCGAAAATGCCGGCGCCCAGGCAAGTCGTACTGAATAGGCCGATGTACTGACGACCTGAAATTTGAGAATCTTGTCAAATTTCGGAGCATCAAATTTCAAAAATTCAACCGTTTCTGGTTATTTTGTACACAGTTATGACCAAAAAACCTAATAGATGGTACTGTAATTTTTGTTTTATGGAAAATAGTGCAGTCACTGGGATAACTTTTAGTGGCCACTATAGTAGTCGAATTAGTGGCCACTATAGTAGTCAAATTAGTGGCCACTATAGTAGTCAAATTAGTGGCCACTTCAAGGGGTTAAAAGTTAGTGGCCACTATAGAGGTCTAAGTGCTACTTCTAGACCAAAAAAAATATTTAGTGGCCACTTTAGGGGTCAATGGATCATAACTGGTCCAATCTGTTTGTTTTAAAATTATCAGAGTTACTGGAAGGGATACTGGATGAAAAACTACTGAAGTGGCCACTAAAACGGTAAATAGTGACCACTATAGAGGTGGGTTTAGTGGCCACTTTAGTGTCCTCTCCAAGTAGTCCTTGGCGAGCCTCTATCGTGGCCACTGAAAATTTTCCCAGCATATGAGAAGGACAGAAGAAAGTTGGGAAAATTATATGAATCCACGAAAAGTTGGAGAAGTACTCTGACGTGGGGCGCATAAAGACCGATTAACCCGTTCTCTGACCTATAGGCCATTCCGCGCCACCTTGTCACGTTTTTCTTTCCGCCAAAAGGCCAGGTCGAATTTGACCAACTTCGCTTCAAGACCTTTGTTTCTTGCCATTATAAAAAATTTGATCTAATTTGGTATACGGTCTTTTTGACGGGAAGAAAAACGTGAAAAGCTGGCGTGGAATAGGCTATACACTGTTTCGTCGTTTTCTCGCAGCTAGATAACGACGAAATAGTGTGTATCAGAGAAAGAGTTGTGGCGGCCTTTAGGCGCCCAGAGTAAGTCATGATTCGTTAGATGAAAGGTGGTCACAGGTCAAATTTGAACTTTCCCCCGCCAAATTTATCTCCTTTTCCCGTTAGTCATTGCTTCTTCGAACGCGTTAAAGCCGGCTTTTCAACGCTCAAAGGTGTTTAGTTAAGTGCTCACTTTAGTGTAATCTATTCTATTTAAGGGACCACTCAACTCGAGAAACTTTCTTCTTGGGGAATCCCTTGCAATTCTTCTCCGCTTATCAGGTTTTTTCTTCGATTTCGTAGGTAAATGTGATAAAGGATGTGAATTACGAATTACATGGCATTAGAAAAAAGATGAATAATTAGAATACGCCTTTTTTCACGTTTTTCTTGATGATTTTTAGAATTATGGTCTATCTTACTCGTATTTTGTTAGAATTGATCTTCAAGTCTTTTTTAAAAAGTTCATTGTTGAATATTTTTCGAATCGCTATTTTACTCGGATACATAGAACAACATGAAATACTGTAAAAGCGAGATTCTCTCTAGTTAAGAGATTTTCAAAGCGATTTAGAAAAAAGAGGTACCTGACAATCACTGGGTGGGTCCGGTGGCAGCCGGGCGAACATGAATTTCTCATTGGGTACTGAAAAAAATTATTTTATTTCGTGTTTTTGATCTTTTAAGAGTGGAAGGTTAAAGAAAAAATTCCCTTAAGGAATTGCTTCATCAAAGAACTTCATTGGAGCGCAACTATAGCTCGTTCACGGCTGACTTGGGACAGCGAAGGGACGGTTTAATTTTCGCGGCGAAGGTAGATCATGGCGTTCATACATGCGCCTTTAACAAGAGCCTCATTTGGTGAATTGTTTCTGTTTTTATTGACTTTAGTTTTTGTTTACATTCACCTCATTGGTTTTTAGATGTTCTTAAAATCGAAAAAAAAAATACAAAATAAAAATAAATAAGTCATAAAATTGGGCTTTTATGGAAGGCGCATAGATGGTCGCCATGATCTACCTTTGCCGCGAAAATTAAACCGTTCGCTGTCCCAAGTCAGCCGTGAACAGGCTATAAAGACTTGAAAAGAGATTATTTGGGAGCTTCAACAAGAATAATTTACGGAAAACTCACAAACATGGCTTCCACGCCGTTTGACCTTCTTTTTCTTCGACTTCTTCCTGGCCAACTCGCTGTAGTCTTTATGAGCGAAAATCATTCCCTTGGCGAGTTGGGCCAGTAGAGAAGCCATTGCGGCGCGACGTCGTCTGGAAAATTCTCAGAATGACTATTTTTCAGTCTTGAACTTGTTTGGAATACAAACTCTGGGAGAAATTCATTTTGTTTTTCTTAAAAAAACTTTGGAAGTGAGGAGATTTTGAAGAGAATATGAAACTACAAAAACTCCAAAAAAATGATAGTTTGAACTTGAAGATGTTCCTAAAGCGCACTTCTATCGGGATCGATGTCAACGTTTTCGTTATAACAAAGTCTGGGTAGGGTTTTTAAAGGGTCTGGGAAAATTTTCAGTGGCCACTAGCTTCCGTTTGAGTGGCCATTTTAGTAGTTTTTCATCCAGTATTCCTTCCAGTAATTCTGATAATTTTAAAAAAGACTGGACCAGTTATGTTGATCCACTGACCCCTAAAGTGGCCACTAAAATTTTTAGTGGTTTAGTAACACTTAGACCTCTATAGTGGCCACTAATTTTTAACCCCTTAAGTGGCCACTAATTCGACTGCTATAGTGGCCACTAAAGCGTCAAAACCCTATAGTGGCCACTAAAAATTTTTCCCGATAGAAGTCCTTGAATTATCGAAAAATAAATCTGAATCGACTTTTCGTTAGATTCTACCCCAGAATTAGCTCATAAGTTTCTTAAAAGCCTAGTGTGTGTTTCTGGAAGGAGCTGTATATATAATAATGATCCTGAAAAGAGATTGATCAGTTTAATTCTGATTTCTTAAATATTTACCTCGCTTTTGCCTCCCGAATGAGGTAGAATGGGTTGTTGCTCTTGAGTTTTCGACCCAAATAATGGATTTCTTTCAGATACATCCGCCCAACGACGTCCATACACATGGTCGTCAGAATTACGCCTCCTGGAAGTTGAGGTTTGAACTGTTTTTTCGAAAAATGATCGATGAAACGACTAAAAACCAAAATTAGGAAGAAAATACCTAAAACAAGGCCCAGAGTGATCCAAATATTGCCAGCCGATGGTCGGAAATCGCCGAAACCTGGAAAATTTGGTTGAATTGATTATTTATCATCAAAATTAGGATATAGGTGAAGAACGCATTTTTGAAATATTTGAAAAAAGTCTCACCAACGGTCAAAATACTGATAAAGACGAAGTACATGCTCTCGACGTACGTCCAAGTTTCGCCTCTCTGAATTTTTCTTCATGCTCAGTTTTGAAATAAAGCTATACCTTGACAAGGTAGGAAGCCAATAAGCCGTAGAGAAAAACGAAGGCGAAGACGACGATTGGCGGGAAACGGACCAGTTTGACCCGGTCTAGGATTTCCTGAAGTTTTGGCAGTTTGTTGAGGGAAAAGGTGATGGAATTTTAGAAAACGTTCATACATGGAATGAGTGAGCCTGGCGTCAGCCAAGTCCCCCCCTTGCCTCGGCCTCCGACTGACTCTCTCGCGTTTTCATCAACTCTAATTGAACTTTTCACATGTTTCTAGATTAAATCAACCACGCTGAATCCGAAAATCACAATGATTTGTTGATTTGAGAAAAAACTTTTTTTTTATAGTGCATTTTATGAAATATCTCAGTTCGCACACCTAAAAAAATTTTTTTAAATTTTTCAATTCCACCCCCCGCTCCTTTCAAATTTTTTTGTCAAGTCCCATCCCCAGTTTGCGGCCAAAACCGAGGTTAATGCAAGTATGGCCTTTTTGAAAGCCAACCCCCCGTGTGATAAAAACTCACCTGTATCTCTGTCAAAACTACCTTCCTTGGGTTAAAATTCATTTTTTTTACCCTCTTCTATAATTTTTCGTAATTTAACCCTTTCTCCCGCTTTGAGGTCTCTATTTTTCCCATGTATGATGCGAGTAGCTACCGGTGAATAGAAGATTTTAAAAATTTTCGAAAAAATGGTCGAAAAGGTAGGTTTTCACTGTACCTTGATTAGAATTTCAATGAAAGAGATTATCCTAATCAGTAGCGTTGATTTTTGCAAGATTCTAAGCTTTGGACCATTTTTCAGAATTTTTCAAGTTCAAGCTAGAAGCGGACGTTACAGTCTATGCTTGTCAGGATTTTTGTTTTCCTTAAATTCTTCCTGTTCTGGACATGCGTCTTAAGTTTATCCTCAAATTTCCGTTTTATTAAAGGCACATGCACAGAAAAAAGCCGCGCGCATCGAAAGGAAGGGTTCTGTAGCTCACAGGAAAACGAAAAAGAGTGATTCCTGATTTTTTACCTGCTCATCCTCATCGTCAGCAAACATTGGTTGATTCGGATCCGTTTCGACTTCGCCTTTCCGTTTGGCCTGAACTTATTTTTGGAAAAGTTTTTTTGTTGTAAAAACACACCTTCCAGCGCATCCAACTTTTCCATAACTCGTAGTGAACCAAGAAAATCGATTCGGATATGAATTTGGCGACGTTGGCGACTGTTACGAGTGTCAGGGGGATTCCTGGAGTATTTAAAGAAATAATTTTTTTGAATCCATTGTGATAGATTTTGAGTAGAACGTTAGAAAAGACGGAAAAAGCCCGAGAATAAAGTTTCTTGAGTCTTCGGTTGTTAGAGAGCGTTCAAAAATGAGAGACCGAGCTTTTTTTTTCCCTGAATGCTCCCTTGTTTAATAGTACTTCCGACGATTCGAACTTTATAGCTGATTCACGGCTGGCTTGAGCCATCAAAAAAGGGTCCTGACACGATAATAAACGAGATAGTGCTTGGTTTGTGGAGAGCGCAGACAGGCCACGCCTCCTCAGCGTCCCAAGCTAGCCGTGAATATACCTTTTTCAAAGGTTCAAATTGAGAAATGACTTACCGATCAAACAATAAATGACACCGAAAAGTCGACCGCCAAACGTACTCGGCGCCACGTAACCGTAGCCAATTGAAGTAAGCATTGTAGTGGTGAAAAATACGGAGTTGGCAAAGTCCCAAGTCGGGGCGTCCTGGAAGGGTTTTAAAATATGAATAAGTTGTAATGAAGCTTGAAAATTAGAAAAGTCCCGAGCAGGAGCGTCCTAGAACAGCTGTAGGATAAATAGACTCCAATGAAGCTTAAAAATTGGAAAAGTCCCGAGCAGGAGCCTTGAATAAGAGTTTCAGGATGATAAAAGGACATTAGGAAGCTTGAAAATGTAAAAAATCACTAGACAGAGCGTCCTAGAATGCTTTTAGAATAGCAATTGACTTCACTAAATTTTAAAAATTGGAAGAGTCCTAAACAAGAGCGTTTAATAAGTGTTTTAGTGTGATGACAGGCTTTAATGAAGCTTAAAAATGAAAAAGTCCCAAGTCAGTGTATCCTAGAATGGTTTTGGGATAGAAATAGACCCTAATGAAGCTCGAAAAGTGAAAAGTCCCGAGCAGGAGCGTTTAATAAGTGTTTTAGTGAGATGACAGACTGTAATGAAGCTTAAAAAGCAAGAAGTCCCAAGTCGGAGCGTCCTGGAAGGGTTTTAAAATATAAATAAGTTGTAATGGAGCTTAAAATTAGAAAAAGTCCCAAGTAGGAGCGTTTAATAAGTTTTTTAGTGCGATAAACGGACGTAAGGTAGCTGAAAAATGAAAAAGTCCCAAGTCAAAACGTTCTAGAAAAGTTGTAGGATAGAAATAGACCCTAATGACGCTTAAAATTTGGAAAAGTCCCGAGCTGGAGCGTTTAATAAGTTTTTTGTGTGATGACAGGATGTAAGGAAGCTCAAAAAGGGAAAAGTCCCAAGTCAGAGCGTCCTGGACGAGTTTTAAAAGAATAAAAAATATGTACTGAATCTCAAAAAAGTCTTAATTATCTTCAAGGAGTTTTTATAAATAATATCAGGTTCTCATGATAATAAAAAAGTCCCCAGCATACAAGGGCAGACCATTTCTGAAGGCCGCCGACCCCTCCTCTCAAGATTTTCTAAATTTGGTTTAATTCTACTCCCCTGAGGCTCAAACTTTCATTATTGTGGTCAAAACTACCTTCCTGAGGTCGCAATTTGATTTGATCCCCTAGTTTTCCAAAATTTTTGTGAGCCAACCCTTTCTCCCGGGCTGAATGAGGTTTGAACCTGCCCATGTTTGACCCACAGAAGAGTCTTGAATTTTTAAGGTTCATAAAGAAAGTTCAGGAAAAAGTCCTTTTAGTTCCGAAAAAAAACCTCATCATAACCGTGTCGAGCTGCTCGATGAGCCGTGAAGACAGTGTCGACATAATCATCGAATTCGTCTTTTGTCTGCTCTTTTACGGCTTCGATTAGCTTTTCAGTGTCCTGAAGCTTCATATTTTGATTTTAAAAAAAAACGCGTTAGACAGAATTTTGGCGGAACTTGGTGGCCTAATTTTTTTCTAAACGACTGCTTTTCACGTTTTTACCAGTTATAAGAATTTTGAACAATTTTAATATTTTTATTGTGAAGAAAAAGCCACCACTGCCTTGGTAATTTTCGCTCCAATGCTAATTTTTCAAGAAAGGCGCATAATTCGCCGGCCAACGCGGCTTTTTTTTCACTTAATTTAGTATCTGGTTCATTTTTCCGAGATCTCACCTGAAAAGAATATTTTTTCTCATTGGCCAGGGTCCAAAGACGATCCAGATACATATCGGCACTTTTTTCGATATTTTTCGTCTGTTCCCGTTTCACTTCCTGAAAATTGTTTTTTTGTGAATTTTTTCCGGGTGAGATCCAGCCGACGTATGGTTTTTCATCTGAGAAAGGCCTTTTTTTGTGAAAAATCCGGTTTTTTTAAAACCATAATGATCATCACATGTCTCGCTTTCTAGTCAGAAAAAAAGAAGTTTAAAAAAATTTTTTTCATTTATTTTTTTAACACTCCTGTAAAATTTGAAAGGCTTGTATAGAAAAAAATTGTGTCTGTATTTTTTTGTGTTTGAGTGAGATAAATAAATAAATAAATAAAGGGTCATTATATGAAGGTAAAAAAAACCAACGTTGAGATTCTCGCCTTCTAGTTTCTGGAAAATGAACGCTCCGAACAGAATATACAAGGCGCAGGAGCCGATGAGCATCAAGTGGGGCGAGAAAAATCGACTCATTATCAGTTGCCAGGCTCTCCTGAAAGTTTTGATGATCGTATTTTTTTCTACTGCGAAAGTTTTCAGTGGCTACTTTAGGGTTTTGACTTTTTAGTGGCCACTATAGTAGTCAAATTAGTGGCCACTTGAGGGGTAAAAATTAGTGGCCACTATAGAGGTCTAAGTGCTACTCCTAGACCACAAAAATTTTAGTGGCCACTTTAGGGGTCAATGGATTAATATAACTCGTCCAATCTGTTTTTTTTTTTAAAATTATCAGAGTTACTGGAAGGAATACTGGATGAAAAATTACTGAAGTGGCCACTAAAACGGAAAATAGTGACCACTATAGAGGTGGGTTTAGTGGTCACTTTAGGGCCCTCTCCGAGTAGTCCTTGGCGAGCCTCTATAGTCGCTACTAAAAATTTTCCCAGAAAGTTGTGAATTTTGAATTGAAATGAATTTTTATTAATGTTCCCTTGGTCATATTATCGATTGAGAAGGGATAATTTTTTTTTAGATTTTTATCGAATTTGTTGATTGAATTTTTTATTGTTAAGTATAGAATCAAGGAGAACGTTTTTTTTTATCCAATTTTTTATTTATAATTCAAGGACTTTTTTTGATCTTATATGAATGAACTAACCTCATTTTAAAGTTCGCAATAGAAATATGAGTTTGAGCAAAGCCAAAAAGAGTAAAATATGGACTTTTGGGCCGAAATTTGATGCCTCTCCGATGTGTGAATTTTCGTCGAGTTCATTTTTTTATGGAATTTCAGGCTGGCTTTTTTTCCAGGATGTCGTGTTTTTTTCAAAAATTTAACCTAAATATGAAGAAAAAAACCTACTTTTTATTTTTGATTCTGACCCTTTTTTTCAGCTTTTTCTTGCTGGTCAGAAAAGTAATTTTAAAAAAAAAATTTTCAAAAAAATAAGAAGCATGAAACTCACAAACAGGAGCAGTATAACACGCAAAAATTCATTGATATATAGGGAATATTCAAAAAAAAAAGAAACGTGAAGAAAAAGGATTGAAATTCGATCCTGCCTGGTTTCCTGTGTGAATTTCGCCAATAGGGACGAGGAGATTATTTTTTTCTAGGTTTTCAAAAAAAATTTAGTGAAATGACTTGAAAAGAAAATAATTCCCGCTAGACATCAAGGGAATCCAATTAACTGTGACACGTTTTTCACTGGGTTACTTTTTAGACTCCCCCTTATAATTTATGATGTTTTTTTCCAAGCTTCAAGCTTGAGAAGAACTTGAAAATCAGGGAAGGAAATATTCACAAGAGCATAATTTATCTATTTTAAGACGGTTACAAGCCATAATTGACCATATTTGAAGCTCAGAATCGATTTTTGAATATAAAGTAGGCGATTTAAAAAAATTTTTACATGACTCTGCTCCTTAAAATCTTTGCAAGTTGAAGAAAACTTATGGAGAAGCTGAAAAAAATATTTAAAATCCAGATTCATACAACCAAATAAGGCTTTCAAGTCGAAATCTACCTTTTTTCAAATTTCGAATTTTTAAAATTTTTATTTCAAACACTTATCGCAAATTTTTTTCAGTGTAACAAGAGTACATAGCCGTAGTCAAACACTTTTTCTAGGAAAACAATAATATGAGCAATACTGTGATATTTTGATCGAGAATAAGCTGATAATATCAATTTTTCAAGCCTCTTTATCAAATTCAACAGAGAAAACCACTCACCTGAGTTGAAAAATTCAAAAAAATATAGGAAAATTATAGAGCTCAAGAAGCTCACGAATGGCAGAACCAACATGAGAAATCAGCCGAAAGGCCTCCTCAAGCACTCCCCCGAGACGCCCTCCGCGCACCCCCCTGAAGAAACAACGATTTGTCTATTTTTAGTGAGGAGGAGAGAAGGTTCAGGCGCCTTAAAAAAATGATCTTGGGATGTTTTTGAAAATAGTTTATTCACCGCTATGTTAAAACAAAGCTGGGGTACTGTAAAACTCTCATTTTTGCACACTAGCTCGTATATCGCTCCAAGACCTTGAAAAAGAGATGGAGAGCAGAGAAAATCATGTTTTTTGCGTTTTCCCAGCTTCTCACCCCATATTTTCCGCGCTTTCTCTCATGGCGCAGTGGCTAAAAAGCTTGTCTCTCGTTCGAAAGGTCGAGGGATCGGATCCTTTTGATGATTTTGGTATTTTTCTTGTTTTTCTTCAAACAGGGCCAGGAACTCAAAATATGAAATTAATCCATTCACCGTAACCGTAAAAAAAATTTGGGTTACTGTAGAGCTTTTTCTCTATTCGTTCCAGGACCTTCCAACTTTCAATTTTCCAATTTTTAACATGTTGAATTTTAACCTAATAGTCATACTCCTTTCACCACTAGTTTAGATAGAAAAAAATGACGAGATTACTGTAAAAGTCTCTCATTTTTGCACACTATCTCGTATATCGCTTCAAGACCTTGAAAAAGAGATGGAGAGCAGAAAAAATCATGTTTTTGGCTCTTTTCCAGCTCCTTCTTTTCCGCATTTTCTCTCACGGCGCAGTGGCTAAAAAGCTTGTCTCTCGCTCGAAAGGTCGAGGGATCGAATCCTTTTGATCTTTTTTTGCGTTCAACATCATTTTCTCTACTTCAACAACATTTATTAGCAAATACCCGCAAAAAACAACTGGGCAGAAACAGGAACTTGAGCTTCATTTAAGAATTAAAGTTAAAGTCATGGAATTGATTGCGGTGTTTTTTGGCTTTTCGGGAGAAAAAAACAAGAAAAAAGAACAATTTCAAGCGTTTCCATTGCCCTTGTTCTTCCGGACGCCTTGGAATGTGATGAAGCTGGGGGATTTGTGGAAATATCTGGAATTCGATCATTTTTCGAATATTCTTTTTTGGACGAGTGGCTAGTCTTTTGAAACAACACCATAAAGGTCACGGGTTCAATCCCGGTCCAGTTTTTCGATTTTTGCCATTTATTCTCTATACATATTTTGATTAAAAACTAGCTTTCGATAGCCTTTCCGTTTCACAAATTGCCTTTTGAGCTGATCAAGTTATAATTGAACATTAAAGCAGTGGCTAACGCTTTTGGTTATCACCAAATAGGTCACAGGTTCAATCCCCATCAGAAATTTTGATTTTTGCCATTTTAATTCCTACATAATTTGGGTAAAAATCAATTTTCGGTCGCTGTTCCTCATCAAAAATTATGTCATTTTTCTTTCAAGCCGATCAATTGCGTCTATCTTGATAATTCGGATCCTAAAGCAGTGGCTAACGCTTTTGGTTATCATCAAGTAGGTCCCAGGTTCAATCCCCATCAAAAGTTTTCATTCTTGCCATTTTGATTCCTACATAATTTGAGTAAAAATCAATTTTCCATCGTTTTTCCTTGTCGAAAATTGCCTTATGTTCCTTCCAAACCGATGGGATTTGTCTATTTTGAAAGTTGGAGCCCTAAAGCAGCGGCTAACGCTCTTGGTTATCACCAAATAGGTCCCAGGTTCAATCCCCGTCCAGTTTTCGGGTTTTTGTCATTATATTTCTTACATAATTTGATTTAAAATCAATTTTTCGATCGTTTTTTTCCTTATCAAAAAAATTATATCATTTTTCCTTTCAAACCGATCGAATTTGTCTGTTTTGATATTTCGAACCTTAAAACAGTGGCTAACGCTCTTATTTATCACCAAACAAGTCACAGGTTCAATCCCCATCCAAATTTCTAATTTTTGCCATTTTCGTCACACTCTTTGCTATAATACAATACTCTGTTTGAAAAAAAAAAGTTTTTTTTAATCTTCTGAACTGATTGAGTACACAACTTGAAGAAAAAACCGTCTTGGAGCAGCGGCTAAAGCTCTTCGTCATCACAAAATAGGTCACAGGTTCAATCCCCGTCCAATTTTTCGATTTTTGCCATTTTTTCTTCCATAATTTGAATGAAAACCGATTTTCGATAGCCTTTCTCCTACCAAAAATTGTCTTATTTTTCTCTTAAGCCCATCAAATTCGTCATTTATGAGAATTAGCATCTTAAATCAGCGGCTAACGCTGTTAATTATCACCAAATAGGTCCCAGGTTCAATCCCCATCGAAAATTTTGATTTTTGCCATTTTATTTCCTACATAATTTGTTTGAAAAAACCAACTTTCGATAGCCTTTCCGTTTCAAAAATCGACTCTGAGTTTTTCGGAACCGACTGACACCACCCCTTGTACGATATACCAGTCGTACTGGCTGTCTTCCCTGGAAAAAAAAATTGGTTTTATCGATAAGATGAGGAAAAATCACCGAATGGAGCTTGTTCAAATGGTAGGTCTTGTCGAAAACCGTTGGATTTCTGGTGGTGAACGAAATTCCTGAAAGAAATTCCTTAAAATACGGTTGGCCGCATTGGGAATGGCTCAAAATTTTTTTTGAAGTCGTTTTAAGTCGGGTGCAGATAGAGCCATTGTATGTCCATTATGGACTGAGGAGTTTCAAGTGGCCTCTTTAGGGTTTCGAAGTTTTAGTGGCCACTTGAGGAGCTAAAAGTTAGTGGCCTGTCTTGAAGTCTAAGTGGTACATCGGGGCTACTGAAAGCTACTAGAATGGCCACTAGCGGTTTCAGTGGTCACTTTAGGGTTTTGACGTTTTAGTGACCACTATGAAGTCGAGTTAGTGACCTCTTAAGGGATTTGAGCTTAGTGGCCTTTTTAGAAGTCTAACAAAGTGGTAAGTGGTACCACTAGGCCACTGATAGCAAAAAAAAACCCTAAAGTGACCACTAAAAGGACCTTCAAAAAAGCCACTAGAGGGTCACTTTAGGGTTTTGACGTTTTAGTGACCACTATAAAAGTCGAGGTAGTGGCCACTGGAGGGTTTTTAATTTAGTGGCCTCTTTAGAAGTCTAAGTGGCCACTGAAAGCTACTAAAAAGGCCACTAGTGGCTTCTATGGAGGTGGTTTTAGTGGCCACTTTAGTGTCCTCTCCAAGTAGTCCTTGAGGAGCCTCTTAAGTGGACGACTCACTTTTTGGCCCTTTTTTGCCTTTGACCGTCTTCCTGAGCAGGTTTTTCGTGTTGAAGTGGGTATTTTGGACCCTTGTCATCTGAAAACTGACTTTTTCTTGATGAAGCTCGAGGTTTTATTGATAGTTGAAAGGTATCCAAAATGACCTGAAGAACTGGAAGAAGTTGATTTCTGAAGGCCAAAACCGGCGGAACCACGGCTCTTGGCGGCTCTTGGATCTCACTGTCCACCTTTTTCCGCTTCATTTTCTCTGAAACTCGATTTTTTCAAGGGGCCGAGGAAGTAATTTTAAGAACAGGGTGAATCGCAGGTTTTAAAAGAGTTTTTCCAAGTGATCACTTGTGGGACTTCTCGAAGTAACTGCTAGAGGCGCGGGTGACGAGAAAAAACGAGAAAAATTGCAAATTTTGTGAAGAGCGTGCTCTGAGGTGGACTTAGTAAAGTAAGAAAAATATGATTTGAAAAAAAAAACCTTGATTTCCTCAAATTTTTGAAATTAGCCATGGAGCGCATAAGAAACTTTTTTGAGGCTCTTTTTTTGGCTCTCTTTTTGGGCCTGTCTCAATCTCTACAGACATTGCGAAAAGCTTGAAAAAGTAGATTTTAATGGTTTAAAGATAAAACCACTTGTATGGGTTTGGAAGAACCCGAGTGAAGTAAATGAATGAAAAAAAGCTCAAAAAACCACGAATATTGATCCAAAACTACCTTTCGGGACCTTGCAAACGATGCAAAATCGGTCGATTTCATCATCAGCCGTGGGATTCCCATTAATAATCGGCGGCTGAAGAATCGCCTTGGGAAGGTGGCAAAACTCGAACTTTTTCTTGATCGTTGAAGTGTCTTTGGAGTATTGGCACAGTTTTGTCTGGGAATCGTAGTAGGCGACCTGGAAATTTGAGAAAATTGAAATGGAGCTTGTATATACTTTTTTCATTGGTTTGAACGCTTCTGAGCAATCCTAGGGATCACTTAAGAGTGCTGAAGCCACTAAAGTGGTTACTAGACGTGCTCCGATATTCCGATTCGCGTTACCAATTTCTGAGCAATCCTAGAGATCCCTTAGGAGTACTAAAGCCACTAAAGTGGTCACTAGAAGTGCTCCGATATTCCGGTCCGCGTTACCAACTTCTGAGCCATTCTAGGGATCACTTAAGACGTCTGAAGCTACTAAAGTGGTCACTAGACGTGCTCCGATATTCCGGTCCGCGTTACTAACTTCTGAGCCATTCTAGGGATCACTTAAGACGTCTGAAGCTACTAAAGTGGTCACTAAGGATCGGATAATTCTATTTCGCGTTACCAAGGTCCGAATAGTTTCATAGCCTATTCTCGGCTAGCTTAGGACGAAGAACTGTCTGCGCCCTCCATCTAATAGACACTATTTCTTCTTTCATCGTGTCAAGACCATTTTTCGATGACTTAGCCAGGAGTTAGCTAGACACTCTCGAGAGATAAGAGAGCGCAGAAATGTTAGATTTTTTCCAAGTTGAAGCGAATGGAGTATGAGGCTAGAAAACGTTCCCTAGTGAAGAAATGTTTTTTCAGACTCACATCGCAATTGTTCATGTAGCAGTGGAGCGCACATTGCCGACTATTCGAGGCGGTTATTTTGGTTGATAAAATTGCCGATAGAAGTGGAGGAAGTTGGGAACCGTCAACGACGTCGATCCGAGGTGAACAATCTTGAAAAATTGTTTAGTATAACTCAAAAAATTATGGTACTTTTTTGGTATATTTTTCAAAGTGAAAGGTTCCAAAATACCCTTTTCAAAAGCTTAAAATCTGCTCCGAGGTACAGTAAAACCCGAAAAAGGCCCACAAGTTCGTTTGTTTATTTTTTCTCAAGCTTGGGGGTTAAAAGACTTTGGACCTTCTGGTCCAGTTATTTTCGTTTTTTGGCGCCCAATTTATGTTTATTGACACCACGAGGTTCCTTTCTTTACTTTGAAAAATTATTATTCGAAATAAAAACCTGTAGCTGCGACGGCGATGAACGTTGCAAAGGCCGTGTTTAGTATTAACCGCAAGATCATCTGAAGAATATTTTATTTAAAAAAAAACAGGAAAAAATAAGTTCAAAACGCGGTATAATGTGGATCAGTTTTGAGAAAATCCAGAAAAAAAAATTTTTGGGCTCTCTATGGGTGTACTTGGATGCTTCTAGTCGCACTTGGAAAAACTGCGCCCGACCTGAAACGACTTTCGCCAAAAGCCATAGGAAAAATTTAGAGTCAGCCGCAACGCGAGCCATTCCAAATGCGACCACAAGTAACTTGATTTCGAATTTTTATGGCATGCAGAATATTCAGTGAAACGGTTGTGATATTGATTTTGAGCTAATTGGACCTTATCAACTAGAATCTACCCCCTTCTGACGGCTCAATCGGCAAGCTTGCCAAATACCAAAATGACGACCAAGGTTCGATTCCCGGCATCGATTTTTCCCCCTTTTTCCTTTTTTCCTTGTAAGCCTGCGATTATTCGCCGCTCCGGCGTGTAATCTCCTTGAAAAGCAACTTTTTTCAACTTTTTTTTTTGGTTTGAAGCTTTAAGTCTCTTCTCCCAACTCTATGTACTTTGGTTTGGAGGGGAATTTGCAGAAAGAATAGGAAAAAACTTTTTTTTCCATTTGAGCACACTTTCAATTCAAAAAAAAAAAATGGAACAAGTAAGGTAAATCAAGTCTAAAAAACCTCTTGTCAATAAAATTTCAAAGCCTAGAAAAGCTGGATTTTTTTTCTCGAGAGAAAGCAAAAGTCATCTCAAGAGCCTTATAATTGCCGTTGGCCAGCGATTCTCGTCAAAAAAACGACCGTTCGCAATTTACAACTTTTTTTCTCAGAGAACTGAGTCTTGTGGAATTTTCCACGTGTTAGGTTTTAAATAGAGATGAAAAATAGAGACATTTTCTTGATTGATAACTAAGATTTATTTCTGTAGACAGTGTTACGACTAGAGATAGAGAGAAGATGAGAGAGTTCAGAGAGAAAAAGTACAAAGGTAAAGGTAGAGAATGACGTCATAGTTTGAGCTCAGAATTTATTGACGTCAGGGAAAGATTTTTTGGCTCAGAAGCTTAAAAATGAAGTCATATTCAAAGACTTGATTTTTAGACTTCGAGTGACGAGAGATAGAGAAAACTGGAGAGAGTCCAGAGAGGAAAAGTAGAAAGAAAGCGGATGATGTCATAAATTAAGCGTCGAGTTAATTGACGTCATTTAAAAAAATTTCAGAAGCTTAAAAGTGACGTCATTTACAAAGACCAAACTTATAGACTTTATAAATATGAGTGACGAGAGATAGAGAAGACTGAAAAGGTTACAGACATCAAGAGTTACAAGCTGACAAATGACAGATGACGTCATTTTCAAATTTGATGACTTCATTTAAAAAAAATTCGAATCAGAAGCTTAAAAATGACGTCATATTAAAAAAAAATCTAACTTATAGGCTTCATCAAAATGGGTGACGAGGGATAGAGAAAACTGGAGAGATTACAGACGTCAAGAGTGACGTCATTTATCAAAATTATTGGCTCCTTTTTTTTCGAAAAATTGTTTCAGAAGCTCAAAAATGACGTCATTTACAAAGACCAAACTTATAGACTTCATCAAAATTAGTGACGAGAGATAAAGTAAACTGAGGAGATTACAGACACTATGAAAGATAAGCTGACAGATGACGTCATTTTTCGAGCTTGAGGACGAGAGATAAATAGAATGGGAGAGAGTTCAGACAGAGAGGCTCAAATTTTTTTTTCAAATATTTTCAGAAACTTCTGTAGTTTTAACTTAAATGTTGAAAGATCGGGAAGTTGGAGCGAGTTTTTGAGAATAACTTCATAAACCGAAGTCCGAAAAAAAATTAGAGGAAGAATGAAAAATTGGAGAGAAAAGGTTCAGATTTCCCAGAATGAATAGCCTTGAGAAAACTCCAAGACGGGTTCATATTCATTTCATATCTGCAATAAAAGACGAAAAAAACGCGGTATAACTTAATCGGGAGGTATCTCTCGTCCTTTTTCTCGTGAGGTCTAATTGGATTAGGCCGAAATCTCTCACGTTTAATGTCCGCTCCAACGCTAACGAATCTGTGAGAGGTATAAGAAGTTCTGAGAAAGGTTTTCCACTGGGAAAGATTGAAAGATCAAACGGAATCGTACAGAAAAAAAAGACAAGATTCGAGATTTTTGGAGAAAATAGGGTGTGGGAGCAGAGGTGCTAGAGAAAGCGGAATCCGAGAAAAATAAGATTTTGTTGTTTTAAATTTTAATAAAAACAAGAAAAGTCAGAAACAAGAGAGTGTGGGATTCAGAGAGAGTTTAAAGATATCGAGAAAAATCAGAGAAAAAGAGGGAGTGTTTAGTCAGAGTTAAAGGTATCAGAGATGAGAAAGAAAATTAAATTTTTCCAAAAAGCTTTGTAAACCCCCCAAAAAGAAAAAAACAAAGAGATAGTTCGTGATTTTAAGAGAGTTCAGAGAGGTGACGGACCAAAATTTCAAATTTTTATAGTACATTCACCGTTATCTTGTCACAAGATCGGTTAAATTTGAAAAAAAAAAAGAGGTCTCGAAGCGAAACCTACAGTAACCCGAGAATTTTTGAAAAAGCTCATATTGAATGGACTATTCTCGATTTTCAGCCCTTTATATAACCTCCAAGGCCTCGAATTAACCTTAAATTGCCTCGAGACTCCATTGAATGGACATAATTTATGCGAAAAGTAATTTTTCCAGAAAACCTTCAAGATTGACCTCAAACAACCTTGAGATTCGCATATTTTATTGGGAGAAAAATCTACAAAGAACGATAAATCGACCGCCAATAAATCGGGTCGCGAAAAACCCGTTGAACTCCCGGGAAAAAAAAATACGATAATTGTGATGAGTTTTCTCGACGGCAATTCGTTGTCCCGCGCGATTTATGGGCTCTGGTCCAAACGAAAAATCTCACTTTTCCGTGTTCATTCCATGTAGATTTACAACATTAGGAGGATGATGGAAATGGCATGAAATTGGAAGGATATCGAGTTTTGAGTGGCAACAGGAATGGAGGGTTATGAAAAATTTCACTTCTCAAGGTTTTGGGGGGGGTTTAAGGTTGAGACAGATGGTATGACTCATTTAGGACAGGCTGGAAAAACGGGCTTTTCTACCCCTTGGTTCAAAAAATCATTCTAGAACTGAGCTCAAAAAAATGAAAAATAAAAATAAAGCAGAGAAGTTTCCTAGTGTTTGCGTACAATGAAAAAAAGAGAACTATCAAAAAAAAAAGTCGGAGAGGAGTCGAACCTGTGACCCTTTTGACAGCAATCAAAGCTTCTAACCACTTGACTAAGGTGTCTTAACATTCATTTTCCGTATTTTATGGACTGTAGATGAAAAAAAATGTGATTTTTTGCATATTTCGAGCTCAATTTCAAAAATTGCAAGAACGTCTGTCCTCCCTGTGGTACTCTCATATTTACATGCTATTTCTTCATTTTCATGTCCTTTTTGTTGAGAGAAAAGAGAGCGCAGAGAGGTCAGAGAAATGATAAAAATTAAGCTTTTTAGAAGGGTCAAGTTTCAAAAAAATAACTTTTAACGGAAATTGAACCTTTTGATCTAAATCTAAGCCAAACCAGTAACCAAAAAAACCAATGAAAAAGTACAAAACGTGCCAGGAAAGTTGAGAGATACAAGGCGAACGAGACGCCCTCTCTTTCTCGTTGTTGTGTCCGACTCCGCCCATTTTTGGCGGCGGAAAATCCACCGGAGGGCAACGAGCCAAGACGGCCAGAATGAAAACGAAAGTTTAGCCGAAAAAGACACACAAGGTGGACACTTCTCCTTCGGCACAGGATGCCCAAAAATCGTACAGGTGTCGGCAAACAAACTGCCGATGGAAGGGGGACAGGTAATTTGAGGGTTTGACGCGTTTTTGGCAAGGCTATTCCGTGGTTCTGAAGGATATGGGGACCCCTTGACTTATGGTTGCGGGCTGGAGAAAAATGGCAAAAATAAGGTTTTGCTTGGGAGGAGTCGAACCTGTTACCCCTCTGAGCAAAATTGAAGTTTTTAGTGACTTTGAAGGATTGGATTATGATTTGTGGTTGCGAGCTGGAGAAAATGGCAAAAATCAGTTTTCACCCGAGAGGAGTCGAACCAGTGACCCTTCTGAGTGTGACTGAGACCTTTAACGACTTTAAATGATTGGATTATGATTTGTGGTTTCATGCTGGAGAAAAGAAAATGGCAAAAATCAGTTATCACTTGAGAGGAGTCGAACCAGTGACCCTTCTGAGCAAAAGTAATGCTTTTAGCGACTTTGAAGGATTGGTATTATGGTTCATGGTTAGGGGCTGGAGAAAAAAATGGAAAAAATCGGATTTTAGCCGAGAGGAGTTGAACCAGAGACCCTTTGGAACGTGATTGATGCTTTTAGCGACTTTAACGGATTGGATTATGATTTGTGGTTGCGAGCTGGAGAAAATGGCAAAAATAAGCTTTCTCTTGGGCGGAGTCGAACCAGTGACCCTTCTGAGCAAAATTGAAGTTTTTAGCGACTTTCAAGGAGTGGATTTTTTAAGTATCACATTGATACAAGTAAATGAATTGTATTTGAATCGATAAATAATGGCAAAAATTAGTTTTCACCTGAGAGGAGTCGAACCTGTGACCTTTCCGACTAAGCTCAAGGCTTTTAGCCATAAGACCATGTCTTCAGCACATCAAGAAAAGCAACTAGTGTGTTCAAATGAACAAGTATCCATAATTACCAGTCTCAAGGAAAGGAAATTCGGTTTTTTTTGTTTATATAATAGGATTATATCAAAAATTATTGCACTGTGAAAGAAAATTTCGATTTCCAGTGATTTGGGTATCAATAAAAAGACCCTAAATATTTTCTTCAAAAATGGCAAAAATCAGTCTTTAGGTGAGAGGAGTCGAACCTGGGACCTTTCTGAGCGTGATTGAAGCTTTTAGCGACTTTAAAGGAGTTCGATTTGATGAAATATTGGCGAATATCAGTTTTTTTTAGAGAGGAGTC